CGGGAACAATCATGCAAAGTATTTAGATAAACATTTAGCATTTTGCACAAATACCCTATCATTAAATACATGTGTCATTTGTGCAGCTGCTGTGAAAAAGACAAATTTCATATTGGGGATTATTAGGAAAGGAATTGAAAATAAAAGTGCCAGTATCCTAAACACTGTAAATGCAATAGTTTCTTTATCAAAAGATTTAATGGATTAATCTAATGAGTTGACTAAACACTGCAGTACTAGGAGCAGAGAAACCTGGTTTCAAATACACACATGGCCATGGAGTCTATTGGGCAATTTTGGGATAATTAGACAGTGGGAATATAAATATAACCACTGCCTTTGAACTTGCCCTAGGCAGCACTGCTATCAGCTTGCAATTGTTTCAGTAACCCACAATGGAAGCAAAAGTAAGGAAATGCTTTTGAAAACATGATCCCATACCAAATCTGTGTGTTTTCCCCCAGCTATTCTCAAGAGCATGAACATTACCATGTTTTATTTAACTCCTCTCCCTCGTCTCTTAGGATTTTGTGCCAAGCACCTGACCCAACTTTCCTCCAGAGTGAGATCTTAATGAGGCTCATTTGCAGTCAAGTGTCTGCAGAGTAGGAAGTTGGCAAACAATTCCCCTTGTTAAGCACCCTGGCTCATGATTGTCTTAATGATGCAGCTAACATGGTGATGTGAATGCCTTGCCGAGACTGAACACAAAAGGGGGAGCCATCACAAAGAAAAGGGGAAAGAGAGAAAGATTCACCAAACATTGAAATGAGGTGGGGGGGGGGGTCCTTTTCTTTATTTTAGGGGATTATTATCCTCATTAACTCCACCAACCGAGTACCCTGGGCAATTCATAGAAGGAAAAATTACAGTGTTTACAAATAACTATACACGAGTTGTTTTGTGTTCTCGCAGCAAAAGACTGAAGTGAGGAAAAAGAAACACAGAAGGGCAACTAATGCTACAAGAAAATTAAGGGAACCGTTTAGAAGATTTCTTTAAGCCATTTTAATTAAAGTTTCAACCCACCCAGCTCACCACCAAGGTTGATCTCTTTAGGAACTTTTTTTAATCTAAGGGCCACATTCCCTCTTAGCCAACCCTTTGAGGGCCACATGACAGTGACAGGTGTGGCCCTCCATCCAAAGCACATCCATACTCACAGCACACAAACCGACTCCTCCCTGCCCCAGGTATTAGGTTTAAAAAACCTTTTAAACCTAATTTGAGAGTTTCACTAGGTAGTAAGTATATACTATCAGTTTCTTCAACATTTGGACTGAGCTCATGCTTGAAGAAGAGTGGGGCAAAAAGTGTTCCGGGTCATCACTTCAAGTCCTGCTGAGAGGCTTTTCATCCCAAATATTTGTCTCCAAAGCTGAGCACTTTTCTCTGTGACATTTCACAGTCATAAACTCAGTCATTACAAACTCAAAAAGAAAAAGGAGGGTGGTAGATGCCTTCGGAAATATTGACAGGTCCCCTATGCTCAGCTGACAATGTACAAATGACCCTTGAAGTGTTATTGGAATAATTTTTTATACATCAGACATATGTCTTTTCCTTTCCATGATGCACCTGTTTCATTCTTTAGAGTGATTGCCTTCTGCAACAGGCCAGTCTCAAAACAAAATTGAGTGTTTGTGACCCTGACCAGAACCTCATTAACATTTTCTTCAGGCAGCTTTAATGCAATGAACACTTTTACATAGGTAACACACCCAATCTTATAGACTTATCATTATATCAAAGATATTGGCATGGCTGCTGGAGTCCAGCAATTTATACAGGGCAACAGATCCCCCATCCCTGGAGTAAATGTTGGCATTTAAAAGCACTGACCTCTGTATAGTTCAGGTTCATTTATATGCAGGGCACTGTAGAAAACTGAGTCGTTATAAATCAGGGACAAGTGGAATATGCAATTGTGGAGTGCTCCTATTCAGAGACCCAAGCATTGAATCAGCCTACCTTTTCCAGGAAGCTCCATTCCATTAGACTCTCAGTTGCTCCATTCACAAATAAAGATGGAGATCTGTGACCAAATAGGGCTGCCCCATAGGCCTTTGGGGAGTTCAGGAAGGGCTATGCTGAAGAAGGAGCCTTTAAGACAGAGAGAGTGGAAGGAGGTGAAGAAACAGCTTGGCTAATGAAGTGGAAGGCAGTTTTAGATGTAGCTAGAAACATAACACAAGGCACCAATGGGAAGTGATAGTTTCACCTCTTGACTACTCCCATCACAGAATCCAAATACTGAATGAAAGTGTTTTTCTTAGTACCAGAATGCTGAGCTCCTTCACCCACTATATTATGGTTCTGTAAAACAGACAATTTCTATAATCAAGTCTTTAAATGAAGTCACACAAGTCTTCAGACAACTGCATCTAAAAATAGGCTCCCATGACTCAAAGCAGTGGGCCTGCAAGTCTTATGTGTTACATGAAGTTAGGGAGGATTACTAGGCCAATTCCACCAGACCTCCTACAATGGATGCTTATTACTACCCTCTGACACTTAAGAGATCAGAAACCTTTCCCTAGATGATAGATATGAAATAGCAGAGGGACAAAATAAGTTGCACTGGTTATACAAGTTGATACCGTAGCCCTCTGATGATCTGTAGGCTACTGTATGATGTTCATGGCAGTGAAGCCTCACCATCAAAAGTGCCTACTTGACATTGGTTAGGAGGGATTTCTGTGCACATCCTCCCTCTAAGAGCAATGCTAGTCTGGGCAGAGATTAATCCCTGCCCCCTTCCTTGAAGTTTGGCTCCAGGGTCCTTGGCTTGGATTCCAGGCGGCACTTGCTCCAGATAGGGACAGCAGAAATGACCAGGCATCATTCCTAGGCTGGCTGGCAGCATCCCCCACACCTACACCCTTCTGACTCTCCTATCAGATGCCCAGGATCCACGATGAACAATCACAGAGGAGAAGGAACGCCAAGAGTGTGCGTGGCTGAAGCAGCAAATAGCACGTTTTGAGAAAGTGAGGCATTGGGAGGGGGTGGCTAATGAATGATCTGCACATAACCTGTGTAGCTTGCCAGACTGGCTATCTATAAAATCGGATGGTTTGGGCAATTTCATTGAAGCTCGTGCACAGACTGATTGGCCACAGGGCCGTGCAAACTGAGGCTACCTGGTGGAGTCACTTCGCTGCTTCTTGAGGGCTTCCAAGTGGCGGATTGAAGTGCTTGCTTGGTATGTATACATTGCTTACTGTTTGTGTATTTTGTATCGCTTCTGAATCTCATTTTAAATGAACCACCTTGCCTTGGGCAAGACACATGGGAAAAGAGATTGTTGCAGCAGTAGTGGGAGACACCCATGACTCTTCTGCCTCTGATTCTGGCCTTCTCTCTGTCACAGACTCTTCCAGCTCCCTAAGCCCTTCAGCTTCCAACACCTCCTCTTCCCAGTCCTCTCCCTTCTCACTACTCATCATTGTTCTACCACCACGCCCAGGGCTCTGGGCTTCTTCCCTTGGGGGTTCCCCAGCTAGTTCCTCCCACCATTCCTCTGCATCCAACCAGTCCACAACACCCACTAAGAATTAATAAATCCTCTTGTTTTGGTAGAAGGGTCACATCCTCAATGGGATTTGCTTGTTGCTGCCCAAGAAGCAGGGCATTAAGGGGAGCTTACATGGAGATGGAAGGAGCTTCTGAGAAGAGGAACTTGTACAATGGAAGTGGAGCTGAAAGAGAATCTCTTGCATGCAGCCCAGGGAAAGGGACCGTGGAATGAAGGGACAAAGGAAATTATGGAGGTTGGGACACCTATGGGCCAGGGAATCTAAGGAGTAGATTGTAGCTAAATGCAGCAAAGTTTCATAAACTGATGGAAATTTACCAGCCACATCTCTAGCTGCCAGTCTCTACTCCATTTGTGTTTCGGCACATAATACTTCTCTCCCTCCTGGATGCTTAATCCTGCTCAAGTAGTGGCTAGAAAAAGGATGCTACTTCAATCGAGCAGGAGAACCATAACCTGCACAAATCATCAAATTCCATCCTGAAGGAGAAACCGGTGTTGCAATTATTGAAATTTTAAAGTTCAAACTTGAATTCAGCATAGTGACCTTCTTTTGACGGATTTATGGTAGTTTTAGCACAGCCTAATTAGAAACAGGTTGGAGGCTATGTGACTTGATTAGCAACAATTCCAGCTATGTCACATCACTTTCTACCCAGTCCCCCTAGGAAAAAAATTGAATCCTCTTTGTCTCTAGGAGAAAAATGCATAAACATAACATGCACGCTTCTTCCACTGGGAGAGAACTAGTTGATTGGCACCAGCACTTTTGAAAGAAAAAAGGTTAAGTACCTTATTCTCAAACAGCCATTCTTTTAATTCACCTACCATTACCTGTTTTAAACACAGATTTCTCTATGACTTTCACAGTGAACTGATCTCTCTTTCCGCCTCCATGAGGATCTTAGCTGAATAGGACAACGTATTTTTGCACTTTTGCTGTCCCTATAGATTAGGAGTCATTTGTTGCCATTGAGTAAACCAAACATATGCATATTCTTCACAATACTGTATCAACAAAGTGCCCTTACATTCCATATTTGTTCTCAGCTGAACTGGCTAAATGTAATAGCGCTTGAGGACCAAGGCATACTTTACACTGCAAATGCGTAAAACCGTTGGTTCTCTTTGTGAGAAAAATAGAAGAGGTTGAAATCAGCAGATGATCCGTGGTTATGAGGATGTGGTTAACTATTTCCCCTGTGTTTTTAACCTGTAGACCCATGATTACTTTACTCCAATGGTTCGCCATGCAGCCATGAACTCATGGACAGAAAAACACATAGACTTGTGAAGTGCTGCAACACTTGAGGGTATTGGAATTTGAGAAAGAGGCTTGATACGAGATAGGAAGCTGCCTTATACTGAAGCAAACCCTTCGTCCATCTAGTCCAGCTCGATAACGACAACACTCTTATACTGAATCAGATCAATCGGTCCATCTAGTTCAGTAATGACTACCTGAAGATGCCAGAGATTAAACCTGGGATTCCCTGCATGCAAAGCAGATGCTCTTCCACTGAGTTACAAGCCTTTCCCATAGCTAAAGTTCAAGAATGCCTTTTACAAGATTAAAAAAGCAAAGCAAAACTCAACAACTCTTGCTACAAGCTGCAGTGGTAGGGAAAATAAACCCCACCAAGGTCCACCACTCACTGTGACCCAATGATCATGCAGTCAAACTTCCACTGTATAGACAAGAACACTCCAGGCTTCCTTCTCCCCTTTCCACCTTAGCAAGTACCATAAATACATGCTTACTACTTTTACACCAATCCAATACTGAGCAAGTACCAGATAAAGTGGTTATCACTGATGAGCAACTCTCCTCCTCCCCAAAGCAGTAGGTGTGTGTATTATAAACTCAGAATTCTTCAGACAGAATAAGCATCAGCATTTTAAAAAATTCATTCTACCAATTTCAAAGGAGTCCTTTGAAATTCATGATTCTTGTTGCAAATCAAATCCTCCAAATTACATTAAATAAGGAGACTCTCCTATTATCCCCTCAGGCTCCTAAGTATTTAAATCCTGCCACCTGCACAAGGCACTCTATTGTGAAAACAATAGATCCATGCTGCTGGAGGGGTTCAGTGGATGTCCCTGACATCCCACTACAGAAGTGTGGCACAGGAAGTGATGTTGCTGGTGGTAGATCCTGAAATGTGTCATGAGGGGGGTAGAGCAGGGCTGGCCATAGATCTGCTAGATCAGAGTTCCCCAAACTTGGGTCTCCAGTTGTTTTTGGACTACAACTCTCATCATCCCTAGCTAGTAGGACCAGTGGTCAGGCATGATAGGAATTGTAGACCAAAATCAGCTGGAGGCCCAAGTTTGAGAAACCCTATGCTAGATCCTAAGTTGATCCACACGCTTTTGCTGCTAGCCTGGAAGCTGGTGCAGCAAAAAAGTAAACACTGCCTCTTCTGTCCTGGCCTGCAGGGTTGTGGATGCTGTGGTCCCTGGCCCCACTCAAGATTGCTCTGTCATCTGTGAATAATTCATTGTTGTGTTGTTGCTCCTATTGGCAGAAGAGGTACTGCCAAGAGATGGAAGGCTATTCGTTTCTAAGGCTGAGCCTTCTTAATCATATACCCAAAACTGCAGTGTCTCTATTATTGGATTAGTAGCAAATAATAAATGAAAGGAATAAATGAAATAGTAAGCAGTGAAGTGGAAGCTCTGAGAGTGGGCACCAACATATGCTTCTTCAGAATTGTCAAGCCTTCAGTTGCCATGGTAGCAGGTTCCTAAAGAAACCAAAGATGTTTTGTGCCTTACCACAGCAATGGTCCAAAAGAAAAGCCTTGAGAATTAAATAGGCAGATCTTTTCTAAAAAAACTAATTTGCAAAACAGCCCCTTTTCTAATGATCATACACAAAATTAGTGTCTCTGGGGGAAATATACCCACATGGGTCTAAGATCAATAGATTATTTTTATACCAGCAATAGGAGAGAGGAGGAAAGGGAGTTTTCTTAGAGCTTTGTTTAAGCTAAAGGATGAATTATCCAGTTTAAGAACCCATGCAGACACACTGCAGAATTCTTGCACTGCGGGAATACAAACTCCAATATTTATTTGTTGGATTATTTGCACTTGCTTTCCCTCTCTCACACACAGCAAGAAATGTTTTAGTGGGTGAGTTAGGCAAGAAGAAAGCAATATATAATCAAGTTATAATTTCATCTGCAGGGCTGAAAAGTGATTGAAACTAACAGAAACAGCAGCAAAGTGTTGCAGTGTATCCTTACCTCCTGTTGCTCAAGGCCAGCCAGCCACAACATGCTCCACGATAGTTTAAAATATAAGGGGTCCAAGGAGGTCAGTTCACTCGGAGAGTTTTCCATTTTTCTTTTCCAAATGGCCCATAGTTCCAGGTTGTCACTTAGCATGTTCAGTGCTCCTTGGGCTGCTTGTGAGGAGGGATTATTCCCTTTGTTTAGACCTCTACTCTATTGTGAGAGAATCTCTGCATTTCTAAGGCAACATTTCTACACCTAGGATTAAGGTCCACTGAACTAAATGGGGCATACTTCTGTATAGAACTGCAACGTTACATCCAGTTTGAGAAAAGGGGATCTGTAGAGTAATTCAAATAGTAAAAAGGAAACAAACCACAACAACCCAGTTTAGAGATGAGGTAAGTTTAATTCTCAGTACACTATTAATTAATGTGTCACATACATAGGGAGATTTCTTCCTGAGTTTTCCAATGCCTTTTAAAAATCATTAGCTATGGAGCACGTTAAAACTGTACCAGCTTAAAGTACATTTAAAAACCACAGTATATAATAATATAATTAATAACCTTCACTAATGGTACAATGTATAAAAGACCTTAAGTGTAGCCATTCTTCATAGGCAGTAATAATAAAAGCATATAAATACATAACTTTTATTTAAAGGCAAAACGTGAAGATAGGCAGGCTGAGTTAGGATAATTGCGATTCAGATCCTTCTAGCATATTGACTTTGTTGCATCTCCTGCTCCTTCAACATGAACACTGATCTTTTAAAAGTTAGATTCTTCCCACTTTTCACAATTCACTGGCCTAAATTTTCAGCAGCTACAAGCAAATTTAAATAACGTTCTTGAACCTGAGGTGAGCAGCCTTAGTACTTCCAATAAAGCAAGGCTTCTTAAGATACTGAAGATGAAGTCACTAGCTTTGTGTTAAAATAAGACTATTGTGGGACCACAGGTGATTTTCAAACCACCAACTTAATCCTCAGTGGTATACTTAATTTAAAAAACAATCTGATGTTACTCCCATAACTTATATTGCCACAAACCCACTCAAAAGCTCATTGCACTGGCGCCTGCAAGGCTTGAGATGACCCAAGCCTACTCCAAACAAATTCTCTTGTCTGAGATAATATGGGAAGGGATGCAGACAGGGCAACAGCTGAGTAAGAAGTCACAGATGACCATGAGAAAATGTGTGCTACAAAAAATGGCATATACAAACCCTGAACACTCCCCTTCTCCACCTTCAACTATATATCTGTAAATAAGTATGGAATGTATATTTCAACAGTGTGAACCCACCATGAACCAAATTAAGAGCAGCCCCATGCTGGCTTACCCATCTCAATGGTATATCTTTCTGCTTACTAAAAAAGACTTTTTACCAAAATTGCACTTAGAAATTACGTTGCTAACCTGGAGGACCACTGTCCAAGCAAACAATTAAGTGCTTCTAAGGTGGCTGGAGATGGTGAAAACAGTTCTGCAAAAATGGAGGATGACGAAGTTTAAAATTAGAGCATGCTACAACACAAACCTCATTTGAAGCAAACAATCATAGGGTTAGTTTAGCCAGCCAGGAGAAATATCTAAGCAAGGAGTTAGGGGACCTCCCCAAATCAGGACCAGTCCAAATTACGGTCATGATGTGGGCACTGTGAAGGAAGCTCTTCCTTGTGGTGGCACTGCACATAGAAGCTTTGACATCACTGCTAACACCCGTCCAAACACACAAAGCAGACCGCATAAGCAGTGCACTGTCACGGTGCTACATGCCACTAGAGTGCACATAATTACAAGCTTTCAGACACTCCCATTTCTGTGTAGACCACCATCACAGGAAGCTTTGCAGTGGTGCTCACACAGGAGTAGTAACATTTTGATCTCTTCTGTAGGTCATAATAAAAAGGTACATTCCTTGTGGAAATGGTTTATAAAGAATTAAACCCATCGCTTCAAGCAATTGCAAAAGTAGATCACCTGGAAATGTCAACAACGAAACAGGAAGGAAGGTGTTACTGAGGATAGGAAGTATTTACATCCCGAGGGCTGGTTTCAAAATTCATTTTTGACAACACTTTTTAAGATGTAACTTGTAACAGGTCAAAACATTATTTTGATGTGAGGGTGGAAATAACCCAATTCTGATGGTATTATTTCTGCATGAACCTTCTGAATGTCACACGAGCAGACATCCAGGCAAATATAAGGCCCCTAATAAGTTACAAGTACTACTGAAAGCAACCACCAAAGGTAAGTAGTTTGTACATTTAGTTCAAACTCAGAACTTATAGCAAAGAAAGCTAAAAATGCAGATAAGCAAAGCTTCCTAAAGGGTGATCCACATAATTATTTGGTGACTGCAGGTACAGATCTGGTGTTGTGCAACTATTTTAAGCTCATTCGGGAGCCTGTGAACTCCAAGCCACATTTCCACTATTCACAGGGCTGGTGGCAGAGATTTATCTTCTGGTTACAGAACACTGTGTGCAAACATTGCCTTATGTGGTTTGTTATGTCAGTAACACAGCAGCAATGTCATTTAAGAACATCATATAATTCAACACATTCATTAAAAAATAAAAATAAAATCCCAAGGAAATAGTCCCTTAAATCATTTCATCATAAACTTTGTTGGGAAAAAAGTCTTTTTAAAACGCTGATGCACCCATGAGTTCTTTAAAATGACCATACAAAAGCTGACCCCCAACTCTGGCAAACAGGAAATGTACATCAAAGGGCTGCATGAGGGGCAGGCTGGAAGTCGCTGCTTTTCGTGGCCTGAGCCATGGCTCTGCGTTTGGCAAGGCGGGATTTGGAGGGGGGAGAAAGCTTCATGGAGCAGAGGGCCTGGGTGATGCTCTCTTGCTCTTCACTGAGCTGATTCTCGTGCTGGGAGAGCTGACGGTTCAGGGCAATGGCCTCAGCTGCAAAGAGAGTCAGCTCTTTCGTGCTGCTGTTCCTGTAGGTGGGGAAGGAAAATTTCAGTTGAGGCCTTAAAGCTGGCAGAAAGGCACAGGTTGTCTCTTCACTGCCTCTCTTATACATAACTAAGTTAAGTTCTGTGATTAATTTCCAAATAAAGTAAGAACCACAGTAAGGGGTAGTCCTTCAGACAATGGAAGTCACGTGCTCTTGGCAAAGAGCTCTTCTGACTAATGCAGCCCACTACTTTGTCCCTAAACTCCCCTGATTTGATTGGATCCACCCGACAACCACCCTTTCATCTAGTTGTGTGAGAAGCTCAGGAAAGGTTACCTTTGGAGAACCTGTGGCGTAGGCAGTCCTCTCTCAGAAGCATGCTGCACACAATGGAAATGATACGAGATTAGTTGAGGATCCTTAGCAGAAAAATGGATCCTTACAGAGTTCACTATATGGAATGACCATTTATAAACAGATAAAATTTCAGGTGAATTAGATAGTCTGATACAGGCAATGAACATAGAAATAGAGAGATCACAAGAACAAAATACGTAAGACTTTGCATTTTGCCCATATCAACATAAGGAGAACCTGGTTCTTCCTAAATTGAACCTAGAATTAGTCTCGCGCTAAAATCCCCATTCAGGCTACGGTGGAGATATTGAGGATGCATGGAAATAATTTAGGCCTTTACTAGCGGCTGCTAAAACATGAGCCACGTGGCTCAAGGCTCAACCACTATTCACTTTTATAGCCTAGTACATGACAAAGATATATCCTGTGCAGAAACCTGCGCTTATTACTGATGCTATATAAATAAATGTTGTTGAAAGGCTTACACCTTGTACTTACACCTTGTACCCATGGATGCTGTAGAACCTGAGCGGCACTAAGCCTCTCCTTGGCATCCCGGACCAGTAACTTTGAGATGAGATCCTTAGCATCACTGGAAATATGAGACCAGTCCTTTTCAGGAAACTCATACTTGCCTTCCTGGATACTCTCAAACAGCTTGCTCTAGAATAAACACACACACACACATATAAATATACTACGTTGACAGAAGCTGACGACTTAAAACTTTCATTTCCAACCTTTTACAGAATGACCCAAGTCACCTTAAAATCCTTACAGCCCTATATTCCTGAATTTTGATGGAAGACTAGCATTGCTAGTCTTTATTAATTGAATCCATATCCCACCCCTTTGCGACAAAGGAGCTATGGGCAGCAAACAGTATTTGCTAACACAGCTTTAGAATGGAACTCTGCATGTCTCGAGGGCAACAACATATAGCCCTTCTCCAATCAAATCACTTCTGAAGATGTGCAGAGGTGGAAATTGCTGCTACCTTCCTCCACACATGCCCAACATACTTCTCTAGTTACCTGGCAAGTTTTGCAGGCTTCTCCCCTGTCCCAGCCGCAGTCTGCGCCACAGTTCCCCACAAACGGTGGGTACCCGCTGAGCATGATATACAAGATCACACCCAGGCTCCACAAATCACAGCGCTTGTCGTAGAATGTGGCTTCTTCTGTGAAGACTTCCACCACCTCGGGGGCCATGTACTCTGCAGAACCACACTAGCAAAGCACATATGAGAGAGTTAAGACAGAAACAAAAACCAAGCCAAATGAAAGTGACAGAAAAACTTCTGCTAACTGCACCAGGTCTTTTGTTTCCAAAGGAGCATCTAAAACATACTGATCAATAGATGCTCCTCTGCTTGGTGGTTGCTGTTTTTAGACCATTTTAATACATAATTTTTTTAATGTTACTACATTAGATTATTATTTTTCACAAAACTGTTGAAACCTCATTGCTCTCTGAACATCTAACCTTTTCATACAAAGCTGGCAGAGTATAAACCCAGCATAGGGAGTTCTTCTACTGATACTTTTGAATGCATCGTTGAGGAAATCCAAGGCAAGATACAGTGGTGCCTCGCAAGACGAAATTAATTCGTTCTGCGAGTTTTTTCGTCTTGTGAATTTTTCGTCTTGCGAAGCACGGTTTCCCAAAGTCTTCAAAATCACCAAAGTCTTCAAAAACCTCAAAAAAGGCTACCACACCGCGTGCTATGAGTTGCTCCTCGAAGTCACCCTGGGTATTAACGGTTTTAAGAAAAAGGAAACAAACTTGCAAGACGTTTTCATTTTTTTTCGTTTTTCGTCTTGTGAAGCAAGCCCATAGGGAAATTCGTCTTGCGAAGCAACTCAAAAAAACGAAAAACTCTTTCGTCTTGCGAGTTTTTCGTCTTGCGAGGCATTTGTCTTGCGAGGTACCACTGTAATGGCCAGGTGATAGGTGGATGCTAGGACAGTGGTCAGGAGGGAACTAAGTACTCAGTACTTGCCCTGTTAACCACCTACTTTACCACAGATGCAGATGGTTAACAATCTGAAAATTCAACCTACTGCAAATCACTCACTCCAAGGCAGGCAAACGCAGACTCCAAAACACCAGGAACAAATCTGTAGCATAAGTCTAATTCACACTCATAACACATTACCAAGCCAACACATTCAAAACCAATGATTTTCACTCATGGCAAATTTCATACTCCTTGCAAATAAGCATGAGATTGCTGGTTTGCCACCCACAACTCTGGCAATAAAATACTGAACAGTTGCTGGGCAACAGCAAGACTTATGCAGAAGCAAATGATATCATGAAGAATTTTAATTCTTAGCTATTTCAGTAATTATTCATTAAAAATATTGCTTAACTGCCCTTTATCAACAGATAAACCAGGGCAGTGTACGAAAGTGTGAATACAATTATTTCACACCACATTGGTATTTGAAAAAGCACAATTTTAGACTATTTCTGCACAGTAAGAAATTGTTAATGTGGTGACATAATCTATTCTTGCAATACTTTGGACTTGCAAATATGAAGTGTATATATATTTGCTTCCGCAATTCTACATTTTTTTCAGGTTTCCTGCTCCCTTAAATCATTCCACTCATTCTTCTTTCATGCCCATTATGTCTGGAACAACCTCCCCAAACAGCTTGCTCGTTCTGTCTCCCTCCCTCCCTCCCCCCCCTCATTCAATACCACTGATTCTGTGAAGCCATATGCTGAAATGTAATTGAATGCATATTCACTGCCCCCCCATGTTTACCCAAATTTATAACTTTCTCCCTTTCCCTCTATTTTATCCCATATCAAACTTTAGATTGCAAGTTCCTCAAGGCCTTTCTTTTTGTTAAAACACCCAACACATTGGTGGTGCTATATTAACACATATATTATTTAATACTAACGAAGTTAATGCCTTTCAGATCAAACACGTTCATTTTGCAGCTGGTTCTCTTAAACCCTTAAAATCAATATTCCCCTAAAAGGATGGTGAAATATTAGCATTATCAATATAATGTTAATGATTGGTTAACTTGCCTCCAGTAAAACTGTGTTATGCTGCAGCAGAAACTTCCCACATGCCCATGTCTACCAATTAAATACAGCCCTGAGCGTTGGCTTGAGGAAGCGCCATAGTCTCCATGGTACAGCACACGGGTTACATATGCAAATTTGATCCCTGGCATCACCAGGTGAGACTGCAAAAAGTCTCCATCCTGAATTCTGGAGAACTGCTACCAGTGAGTGCAGACCAGGGGTAGCCAACACGGTGCCTTCCAGAGATGTTATTGAACTACAATTCCCATGAGCCTTGGCCACCGCGACTAAAGATAAAGTATGATGGATGTTGTAGTCTAAAAGCATCTGGAGGGGCACCATTGTTGGCTACTTCTTGTGAGGGCAAGACTGAGCTAGATAGGCCAAAAGTCTGACTTGGTCTAATGCAGCTTCCTATTCTCCTATGCAGCATTTAAGTCCTTCTCCACAATGTGTCATTTTTGCATGCTACCAGCCACATATGCCAGTCTTGTGACCCAGAGGCCCTCACGCAAATGGCTGGGTGGCAGTTTGGTCCCATAAACTGGAAGCAGATCTCATGAATGTGATGTTACATTTCTTTGCAGAGATTGGAGGGAGAGGGAGAAAGGAAACACATGTAAGACACCTGTCAAGCACCTCTTTTGAAGTCAGACTTTGTGCAACATCATACATACTAGAACTAGGGCTGGAGCACTATTACTATGTAGGAAATTGTCTCTTTTAGTTGCAAAAATTGAGCATGCAGATTTGAAGGTTGGGTGAGATTTGCTATACACACTTCACATAACTTAAGAACAATTGCCCTTCAAAAGACTAGTTTACTTTGAGTGCCCTTTAAAAAATATGAAGTTGTCGGGGCACCAACCATACGATATCTGCAAGAGACTGGAGTACACTCAACCAACATGTCTGAAGTTCCACCTTCAGCAATTCTGCTGAACTGCAACTTGATTACTATGCACATTTGTGCAACTTTGGGGCACAAAAGATTAAGTGTCGCAGATAAGATGCCCATCCTTCTCCCTGCATTTCAAGAGGATAGCTAATACACAGTAGTCTACATACTGGAGTGGTCAACTCAGGAGTAGTGATTGGAGTACATGCGCTGTTGAGTTTCACCCCACTTCCAAGGTCAAAGTCACAAATTCTCACTGGCGACACCTGAAACGAGGGAAGGAGAAAAACCAGAAACTAATTCACTCAACCCTGAAATCCACCTAACAACAACCAAAAGGGTATCACAAAAGAATGATGTACCTTACTGGGAGATTCGCACAATATGTTTTCAGGTTTTAGGTCTCGGTGAGCAATACCTAACATATAAAACAAGAAGAAGTGAGTTGTGTCAAACTTAAAAGAAAAGAACGGCATTTGCTTCTTGGTGTTAACATACAGGCTGAAGCTGTAATCAAGCAGGTTGCAAGCTGCACTGTGTGCCAAACCAGGATACTAGGGTACAGTCAGCCAGGTTGAGCAGCCCTAAATGGCCACAGTCACATGGGGATGGAGCCCACGCCATGCCTCCTTCCCCTGCCAGCACTGATCATATTTCTGAGAAGGGCAGTGCCAATGTAAGATGAGGACAGGGCATCATCTCCTTCCGTGTGACCAGAGGCTTCTGACATTTCCAAGCAGCATGGAAAAGAGCCATGCTGCAGTAGTTTTCAAGACACTAAATTAAATAGAAAGGGGCTTTGCTGGGAGGCTTGAACCCGCCACAGGAAATCCTCATGTTGTATAAAGTATGTAGCACTGTTCAGATGTTTAAGAAAAATATGTACTGAAAAAAAAGTTTATTTTGGAACTTTCTGCACAACACTAATACAGTGTCTTACATCTAAAAAGCAGCAAGGGGGAAAAAACAAGCTTTCTACTGCAGCAAGGTGATGAAAAACAAGCCTCTCTCACCTTCTGAGATTTCTATAATTTTAAACAGCAAAATGATTAAGTGCTGAATTGCAACGATTGCTTCAGTTTCCTGTTTAATATTGTGCATGCTATTGTTTAATAAAGATGTTAATAGTACACAGTGGAACCATAAACTAAATGACAAAAATCAAGAGATATGGCAGTAGATGATTCCAGAAACACGTATTCCCACTGCATAGCTTCTTTCCCAAAACATAATTTTAACAGCTCTGCATGTAAAGTCTTTTGCAGGGCATCACTGCTCTTGCCATTTCTCTCCTCCAGTGAGCAGCAAGCTCCATGGACAGTTTACAAAGAAACAAGCCACAGAATTCGCAAACAGCAAGCATTCATACTACTCCTAGCTCACTATTTGGTTTATATAAAATATTTATACCCTACATCTTCCACTGAAATCACAGCCTCCCTATGGCTTAGTATCGATTTAAGAATAAAACACAATAAAACTACAAAACATTGAACAGCACCATAAAATATTGAAATGTAATCTTTTTAACCGGCTATCTCTACACGCTGAAAGAAGTGGAGAAGCATGCCTGGAACAGTGAATTCCGTACTCTGAATGCTCCTAATGAGAAGATCCAATACAGCAGAGGTATGGTAGAAAGCCTCTTTTAATGACCTCTGTGTGCAATTATGTACACAATCCCTCAAACCATCCGAGTCTAAAACCATTTAGGGCAATGATATGGGACCTGTGCTTCCTCCCTGCCCTGATACCCTGGATGTTGTTAAGACTCCTATTGGTGCAATACTTTCATAGGACTGAGCTCCCAATAACATTTTGTTTCAACTGAAATTTCTGGACCCTTTCGAAAGGCAAACCCAAAAAGAGTGTGTCTAATTTCAAAGCAACCAATGAATGTGTAACTGTGGCAAGGTCAGCCTTTTCTAGGAAAAGCTGCAGTTGATACACCAGTTGAAGATGAGAAGAAGTGCCCCTGGCTGCAGCCACTTGTCTGTCTAGTTTACAAAAGCTTACGTCATATGGAATCTGTTAGTCTTTAAGGTACCCTAAGACTCTTTGCTCTTTTTGCAGACTAAACACAGTTCCCTCAAACACCTAGAACGTGTCAAACACTTTCTTCCAGATTGGCTTCACAATATTTCCACCTCCATCTCATCTGGATGAAGCTTCAGTCTGAGAATTAAGCTTCAACTTGCTGGATGAGAACATAAGAAGAGCCTGCTGGATCAGGCCAAAGGAGCATCTAGTCCAACGTTCTGTTCTCACAGTGGACAACAAGATGCCTGTGGGACGGCTGCAACCAAGACACAGGGGCAACAGCCCTCTCCTGTTCATGACGCCAGCAACTGGTACTCAGAGGCACACTGCCTCCAATTCTGGAGCCACTAGAAGTCTTATCCGTCATGAATTTGTCCAATCCCTTTTCAAATCTGTCTGAATCAGTGGCTATCACGGTATCTTCTGGTAGCTAATTCCACCGTTTATTTGTGTGTTGTGTGAAATACTTCCTTTTGTCTTTCTTGAATGCTCCAACATTCAGCTTCCTTGGGTGGCCCCGGGATCTTATGAGACAGAGAAAAACAACTCTCTGCCTACTTTCTTCACATCATACCTGATCTTATGCATATCAATCATCCCTCCCCCATACTCAACTTTTTTTCCTAAACGATAATGCACCAAACACTGTAATATTTCCTTAGAGGTGAGTTGCTCAAACCCTTTTATCATCTTGGTTGCCCTCTCCTGAACCCTTTCCAGCTCTGCAATATTCATTCAGAACTATACAAAGCACTCAGGTTCACATAATACAATATAGTACTGGCAGCTTTATTTTCAGTCCATTTCCTAATGGTCCCTAACATAGATTTCTCTGTTTTCACAGCTGCCACACACTGGACCAACATAGATTTCTCTGTTTTCACAGCTGCCACACACTGGACCAGCATTGTCACCGAGTCATTCACCGTGACCTTGGGACTCCTTCCTAGTTGTCACCGCCAAGTTAAACCCTCTGTGTTGTTTAAAGATATCATGCACTGATTTAGGACTTTCACTGCTCCCCTGGAGTCAAATAGAAAGGAGAACTAGAGCTATATGTCATCAACATTCTGAGGATAGCACACACACAGACACCACTGCCAAAATGCCAATGACCTCTCAGTGGTTTCAGATAGAAGCTAATAATACAAATTTAGTTTGCGTAGGCAGGCAGACATCCCCCCCTATATATACTTCAAGAAACAAAGGATGTCTTCATAGCCCTGTTACACCTCATTAAGTCATTACCAACAATTATTCAGTGCAGATTACAACCAATAGCTTCATCTTCTGTTTTCACCTCAAGTCCACCCAACTTGTGTTTGACTCCAAGCTTCAGTCCTTAACCACTCTAAACAAAACATCTCTGCTTCAGTATTTGTTTTCACTTTCTCCATCTCAAGTCAAGCTATTCAACTCAGCAATGCTATTTCCACAAATCAATTTCTCCTGCAGACTAGCCATTCAAGCCCCTCCAATTCTAAGCCCTCAAATGGAATTCTGCCACCTTCAAAGCACACTGGTAAGTTGTTGCTATGGTGGTACCAGAAAACAACATACCAAAGTAGTTACATCAGTTTTTAATCAAATTATGAGTAAGAAAACCCCCTCAATCTTTCTTTTAGCTTTTACTTGGCTTTTAACTTTTAATTTAGCATAAAAAGAATATTCTGGAGATCTAAAAGAGCAAAATTAAAATTTCTGGCATGAATGATTGGATGGAGATGGTTCTCACACCAGTTTCTCTGAAATTAAACTGCTTGCCTGGAAATTAACAGCTGCTCATTTGTGACGTAATGTCAGATTTCTTAAAAGGAAAAAAATGCATAAATTACTGGCCATGCATAAGACACACCCAAATAATATCAGTATAGCAAAACCAAACTACTATTACTAAGGGATGAATCCAGACAGTTACTTCTACTTAAGTTTCCATTCAAATCAATGGGAACTAAATCTAACCCTGGAAAGATCCAATCCTAATAAAATGCAGGAATCTGAAAACCATGCTTAAAATTGTAGAAAAATGTATAATTTGCTTTATGATTCCTGCAGCAACACTCTCATTGACACTTATTTTACACGGGCAAAATGATAGCAAAGTGATTTTGGGGGCACTGCAGGCAGTTCCCACAACAAATGAACATGGCAGGTCCTCTGCCACTCCAGAACCAGATGCATATAGCTTACATTTATCACTAAACCCTTGATACCTGCTCTCAGGAACATTTGTAGTAATGAACTGGAGCCTTAAACTTTTAAAAGCCTACTGCAAAAAAAGCAGTTAGCTTGCAGAAGTATTTATCAACCTTAATTTGCTCATTATCCCTAACTCAAGAGCTTGATCAAACAACCAGCTTCCTTCATAAAGCCCAAACCTATTTGGCTACCAGACACAATAGTTACCTTTAAGTGCAGAATGGATACTAGTCATCATCTCCAAATACCAGTAGGCTTTTGCAAATGACATGTACCCTGAATCACCGTGTCAACCAATTCTTGCTAATCACAAACACTGTGGCACAAAGCCAACAGCCAGCGCTAGTTGGCATGTCACATGTGGGGAGAAAGGGAGTAAATCACAGAAATGCCCTGCTTTTCACGCTGATCTTGTATTTATGTTAGCAGACCTTGTCTGGCTTGAACACTGCTGGCTAATGAGCCTGTAAAATGGAGGAAACGCATTTTCACCTTTTGTGTGGAGGAAATCCAGAGCACAGGCGATGTCTCTCACCACCCTGCTGGCTTCTCTCTCATTAAAGTGTTTTTGCTTTTGTATGTGGGCCAGGATAGAACCTGTGGAGAAAAAGGCAAGCAGGTGCTTTGAAAAATACAGTGTGACTTGAAAGCAAACTATGCTAGACTCAAAGCATCCAACAGACTATGTAGTGTGAACACACATGCTAAGATTCAAGTTGAATAGCACGGTTCTCTTCTCAACATGAACAGGGTCAAAGGTAACTATGGTAAAGTATTTGCTTTTAGCAGCCAACAATTTCACAGCTCTATAATAGAGAACACACCGCTTGACCTATGCATGATTTTTTCAGAAGCAAATCCTAAATTCAATAGGACTTATTCCAAATCTAAGTGCATATACTACAGGGGCAAGGAGCCTGTTGCCCTCAAGATGTTGCTGGAGCACAATTCCCATCATCCCTGGGAGAGGGCTTGGCTGGAATTTAGGAAAAGCCCTCCCATGCATTTGGGGAATACTCAAAACCACTTGATGTGAAGTTCTTTATGATCCTTGTCACAGCACGGAAGAAGCAGATTCCCCACCCCCTTTGTCTCTACCCCTCTGTACATTTCCCAAAACCACAGGCTCGACAAATCCTGAGCACGTTACTATCGTTTAACTGTTCTAGCTGCCAGAATGCACCAAACTCTTCTTATAAGAAGAAATCCAATCTGACTTTAGGTATGTATCGCCCTGGTACATGTGCACCATAAGAAGAAACCCAACTTTTCCTAGAAGTGCTTTGCGGAGTAAAAAGGCCACAACCCCATCCGCTGCCAGGGTTGGCTCGAGACATTGTGCCACTGTAGACAGAACAGCCCCCACCACACCCTGCTACAGATCTAGTTCCCCACTCTGCTGTGTCTCTGCCCCCACACTGCTGTCAGCCTCATCACCACAACTGTACCCTCACCTGCAGCTGCACATGCGCTGCCACCACAGCATGGTGGCAAGGGCACAGTAGCAGTGATGAGAGTAACAGGGCTGTGTTGGCAGCATGGGGGTGGGGGGCGGGTGCTGGATCCGCCACCTGAAGCAAATGGCTGCACCTTGCCTAAAGCTGTTGCACAGCGGCCAGGGTGAAGTTGTGGGGAGTGGCATTCAGCAATTGGCACATCTCGGGAGAGCCAACTCAGAACCCAATGGATTCTGGTTTGGCTCAGCCCTGCCCTCACCTTGGAAAGCCCCACTTTGCGGTTTCTGGTGTTTGGTACCAGTCGCACTTCTGTCTGCTAGCATGTTTGGTGGGTGGAAGGGGAGCTCTGGGTCCGCAGTGATGCTGGCATTACTCCCCAGGTGGCAGCAGGCCAACAGGGGCCAGCAGGGCTGGGAGGAAGGAATCCTCTTCCCAATATAGCCCCCCAAGCCTGGCACAAAAAGGGCTTGGATTATCTCTGCCAAAGTGGCCTTGAAGTAGAGGGAGGATACGATCCATAAAGTGATAAATCTAGTTATAGAGTTTGCCAAAGCAAATTTTTAAACAGTAATGTAGAATAGACTTCACTGAGTTTTGGAACATGCTAACTTCAGAGAGGCACAAGGCCAAGAGCTCATATGTTTGTTCCTGCGATTTTGAAATTCATGCATTCAAGTTCTTTCCCCCTGCCTGTTCCCCGCAAGTAAACACACATCTAACCAGCAAATAACATAAAATAGTCTGGGTTTTTGAAGGCCTCTCCATTAGGCTAACCCAGTTCTGTGCCCTTAACATCCTATCGGCATTAATGGAAAACTGGCAAAATGCCAACTGCTAATCTGTAAGCACAGAAAACAATTTTCAGAGGTGATGTCGCAGACATCCAGTGTGAAACAAGCATCCAAAGGACTCAAGAACTAACCACCAGGACCAGCGACATTTTGTGGACTTCCAGCTATTTGCAGGGGGAAGCAATGGTTCATTAATTAATCTATTTTAATGGCTTAGTACAGCAGCTTGCTCTAGTGTTCAAAAGCAATGTCTCCCTCCCCAGAGTGCTACACGATAATATTCAAATTTTCACTATGAGTTGTGAGCACAATTTCCTGAATGAGTTCAGGATCCTGCCAACAAACATTCCAGACTTGAAGCTTCCTGGAACAGAGCATGGGCTTTTATTGATAGATTTTCAGCATGTTAAGAAAATCAGGCAAAGCCTCTGTAGGAGGTGACAGATTAAGATGTTCTTATGAATCAAGTTCTCAGATTTGTCCTATACACTTGTCTATTCATTTATCCACAGAGAAGTCTGTAACAACTTGTAATTATACAAGCGACTATTATGATCTCATTTGATGGGTAAAGCTTTACATGCCTGTTAAAAGTTTCAGTATGAAAAAATAGTTATTTAAAAACCAGATTTACATCCGTTGTCCAATGACTAAACAGGGGAAAATACTAACTACTCATCATCATCACCATCATTCCTACTACTACTATTGAGAAGCTTGAGTCAATGTATATTGCAGTTAGAATTCTGAAACCATTTACACGTTCTTTTAATAGGTTTCCAGTTACATGAATACTAAGACTATGTGCTCATCCTCCCTTTAAAATAACTGCCCCCAAAGGTCACATGTGACACACACACACACCAGCTATGTAGATACTATGCAGCTTCAACATGTCAAAAAAAATTGAAGAGGTGTTTTTTTTTTAAATAGATTATTAAAATTTGCGGGGAAATACAAAGATGAATGTCAGATATCTTTTAATCAAAACTAAAAAGCTAATCTTGATTAAAACACACAAAGAGAGAGAGAGAGAGAGAGAGAGAGAGAGAGAGAAGAAAAAGATGAAGAAAAAAGAAAAAATGGAAAGAAAAAGAAAAGAGAACCTCCAATTCTTCATCTGTCAGCTATATATAGAAAATTACTCAACATAACACCCAGCAAATCCACTTTATATAAACCAACATTATCTTCAGTTCCCAAACCCAGATATTGTGAGTTCATTTTCTTTAATAAATGTTGACAATGATACCTCTGAAGAAGTATTTTTAAAATAATTTCTACCCCAGCTTCTGTGCTGAGGTACACTCAATATATGCGATCAAAAGAACTGTAGATAATAAAATGCAAGATCTCTTTTACAAGCAAAGCAGTAATCAGAACATCCAAGAGCTCAAATCAGGATAATGTCCAATGGAATAAAATTGTCTTTACACAAGAATGTGCCAAACACATCAGTATCCACTGTCTTGGCTTGTTTCTAATGCAGTGCTAGGTAATTATCCCATTGGCGCAAATATTTCTGCTTGTGCCATGGGATTCCCCACCCCACACATGTGCTGCACCATCCCCAAATCTACTCTGGAGTGTTGGAGGGGGGGATGCATAACATATTTAGGGGGCACACAAGGGGAGAAGGAGGAAGTCCCATTACACAAGCGGCAGTGATGGGACAGTTATGCACTAAATGCAAGCCCTGATGTAAGAGAAGCATGCATTATCACAGGAAACACATTTCCCAAGTCTCAATTCTGACCAGTAGCAGCTTTCCAGGGTTTCAGTTAGCAGTCCTTCCTAGCCTTAGCTGGAAACGCCAGGGAATGAACCTGAACCCTTTTCCACACAAAATAGCCCACCCACATTGGGGGGAAACAATTCTATCTTTATCAAGCTAATTTATTACAAGAAGATTAAATAAATCACGTACACACATACCTCCGTGCAGTTTTTCAAAGACAAGGTAGTACCTTGCATTATCTTCAAAAAATTCTATTAATTCCAAAATGTTCCTTAAAAAAAAAACACAAAAAGGCAGTTTTGTTAAATTTGTTGTTCTGTATAATTAAAGCCAAAATATTTATGGAGTACCCAACAAAAAGGTATCATTGGGAAATGTGTTTAATATTTTGGTAGCATTTTCTGCTAAACATGGAGGAGTGCTCTAATCAACATAAAAACAGTGTAACTGTTCACATTTCCAAGTTTCACTAAGTGAACTACACTGTTTTGGGTTCAAAGCAATGTCACATCCAATACATGATTACACTAAAGACTTAAAACTCATAACTGTATTGTTAAATGCTGTAACAATTACTTACTTGTTACCTTGACACTGATACAATGTCTCCACTTCCCGAAATACCCGACTACGACTATGCCCAGCGTTCTTCTCAATTATCTGTTATAAAAACAAAAGCCAGTGTGTTTTTTTTTAAAAAAACAAGAAACATCATGCTGAGCAGCTACTGTTAGTATCTGTCAGCTTTCAAAAAAAGTGTCCATATAAATATTAGGCACTCTTTGCTTTGTGTTTGATAACAGATGTTTACTGGCATGATACAGTTTTTGCATGTTCCACATCCACCAAGCCCCCATAATGCCCTGTTTCCATTTCAAGATCTTACAATGGCTACCACTGCAGGAAACACTGCTGGCAGTAGCATGTAGCCTACTGCACTTTTGCTGGGCACAGTGGGAAGATCCACAGCAGTAGAACACAGCCAAGAAACACCTCTGTCTCATCCTAAACCAGCCTTTCTCAACCTTGAGTCCCCAGATGTTTTGGCTTACAACTCCCATGATCCCTAGCTCACAGGACCAGTGGTCAGGGATGATGGGAGTTGTAGGCCAAAAACATCTGGGGACCCAAGGTTGAGAAAGGCTGTAACCCCTCCAGCAGCACTGACTGGGAACTAGGATTGCTCTGCCCATCTCTCACTGAAAATTGACAAAACTTCTGCTTTGGTAATTCTAATGCAACCCATCTCCCTTCTTGAGTCATGGCCAAAGGTTAAAGAATAAAATTAGCGACGTTGAATAAAGTTGTTCATATTTCAACATTTTTATTTCCCAACAAGAAATGAAGACAAGTAAATGAAGACATTTAGAACCCTCTCAAAATCAAATTTCGACCTAGAAAGAGGAGCAGAGGAAGTGGGAGATAATATCATGGGAGATAAGGCATGGGGCACAGTCCTGGCAGTCACAAACACTGCAGTCTCATGTGATATGCATGGCTGTAGATTTAAAAAGTAATGTGCCTATATTAGTGCAAATGTTTGGGATAAGACTTTCTGAATGATTATTTAATATTTAGTTAACATAGGATAGAAAGCAAGCTTTATTTTAAACTGGAAATTGACCACTGTTTTCTCAAAGATTTGTAGATTGTTTCGGATGAGCATACACACTACAACCAGCTTTCCCTCTTTCAGTTTTGCCCTTGGTGAGCAGGCTTCTGTATTGTTTGGAAAACTAGCACAGCCTATTTGATCGGACAAAATAAATGTATTTTCACAATGGAAAATATGCCTCTCTGAAGCCGCTTCCATCTGTTAATAATTTACTGGGATGAATCAGACAATTCCAATCCTCAAAACCATGGTCTAACAAGAGGGGAAGAGTTTTGTTCTTGCATGCTCCCTCCTCACACACTCAGCTAAAAGACAATCTACTTTGTTTGACCAAACCATAGTTTTCCAGTTTAGAGGCAACAATGGCTTGATCAAGCTAGGACAATACTCATTAAACTAAGCAAAGTAGGCAAAGTAGGAAGAGGTATTGCACAAGCACAGGGCTCATTCACAATCCCCCATACCATGGTTTAAAGAATCAGAAATCTAAGAACTAAATTCAATAAAGAAGTGTGCATGCACATGAAAGTTTATACCAGAACAAACTTAGTTGGTCTATAAGGTACTACTGGTTTTCCCAGTAGTGATGTATGGAAGGCTGATCGCCGAAAAATCAATGCTTTTGAATTATGGTGCTGGAGGAGACTCTTGAGAGTCCCATGGACTGCAAGAAGATCAAACCTATCCATTCTGAGGGAAATCAGCCCTGAGTGCTCACTGGAAGGACAGATCCTGAAGCTGAGGCTCCAATACTTTGGCCACCTCATGAGAAGAGAAAACTCCCTGGAATAGACCCTGAAGCTGGGAAAGATTGAGGGCACAAGGAGAAGGGGACAACAGAGGACGAGATGGTTGGACAGTGTTCTCAAAGCTACCAACATGAGTTTGACCAAACTGCGGGAGGCAGTGAAAGACAGGAGTGCCTGGTGTGCTCTGGTCCATGGGGTCACAAAGAGTCAGATATGACTAAACGACTAAACAACAACAACAAGGTACTACTGGACAATTTTATTTTATTTTATTTTATTTATTTTGACTGTGTCAGACCAACACAGACCTACCTGAATCTAAATTCCATGATGTTAGCAATATCAATGATTTATGACAGAATACATTAGCACAGCAGCATCTGTGAAGAACAATTTCAGGCAGCGAAGACCTTTAATGAATGAAAATAATACTGGAGTACTTTACTTACCTTAACTGCATATTCTTTCCCATTCTGCAAGCTAACTGCTCCCTGAACTTTGGCATATGATCCTTCACCAAGTAACTCTGCAGTGAGTTTGTACAGATCTGCCAAAGAATTCCAGTATACAGAAATCATTATTAGAAAACCTTTTTATGAACTGCACATATAAACAACTGAGCTAATCCCTACCCCTGATAATAAAACAAGAACAGGTGCTCCCTTGGTAATTAACTGAGTTGAAACAGCAGCTTTAGTTTTATTATCTGTTCTCAGTTAGACAAAAGCAAAGGAGTGAAGTTGAGACCTTCTTACCATAAAAATATTAGACTATGCCCAGGAAGGCTGTGATCCTATGTTTTCTGTCTTATAAAACAAACAGAATAAAATATAAGATAGAGATAAGATAACTTAACTTAACTAATATAAGCCAAGATATTTCAAGATTGCTTTGAAATGGGGAGCAGGGTGTCTCCAGAGGAAATCTGAATCATTAGAGTAGTTTTGTGATAACATCTTACAGTATCTACAGTGAGAACATCCTGCACCAAGGAAATAACTCAGTAAATGAAGGTATTTAACAGATGGGTCACAAGCTAGAGAAGGGTTGGCAAACTAAGGCCTGTGGGCCGGATGCGGCCCAATCGCCTTCTCAATCCGGCCCACGGACGGTCCAGGAATCAGCATATTTTTACATGAGTAGAATGTGTCCTTTTATTTAAAATGCATCTCTGGGTTATTTGTGGGGCCTGCCTGGTGTTTTTACATTAGTAGAATGTGTGCTTTTATTTAAAATGCATCTCTGGGGTATTTGTGGGGCATAGGAATTCATTCATTCCCCCCCCCCCTTCAAAATATAATCCAGCCCACCACATGGTCTGAGGGACGGTGGACCGGCCTACGGCTGAAAAAGGTTGCTGACCCCTGATCTAGAGTGCCCATTAAGCTTCAATGAATTCAACATGCTCAGTGCAACCTAATCCAATGCACATTTATATAGAAATAAGCCCTGAAGAACTCAAGGGAGCAAACCCTCATACACATGTTCATAGGACTGCAGGCTCAAGTGATAACTTTTCCTTCTCTCAAAATTGTTTTGAAATAATCCTATGACAGCAGAAGAAAGACTACTCCCCATGAAATGAAACTATACCATCACATATAATTTCAACACGTTGCTGCCTTTCAAAGAAAGCAAAGAACTAAGAGGGAAGCCACACAACAAAACCACAAAGGCATAATGCAGCCCCCACAAAAGGGGCTATAGAAATGCAATGGCTCAAACAGAGTTTTTGCCATGAAGTAAACAGCAACCCTGAAGCAACTGCTTAACTACTGTGAAAGATCAGGAGGAAACAAAAGCAATGCAGAACATGGGACCGACCTTCAAACCTTCCAGGGACATGGTCTGTAGCTCTGGTTCTTTTTTTCTTTTTTCTTTTCCCATTGTCTGATATGGGAACAGGCTGGCTAATGACCATCTCTACATAGCAGAAGAAAGTTAGAGTTAACGTATGTATATGTAGAGGGAGATAATATGCCATTGTGCTCTTAAAGATTCCAATGTTCAGATTTTGTTTTTAATCATTCTGTGTTTGAGTCTTTAAAACCCAGCAATTTTTGGTTACACCAAAGGAACAATGTTTTTTTCCAAATCATAAAAAGCAAAGAAAAGCTAAGAAGTAGTTATAGAGAATCTACTCTGAAAAGCAGCACTGTCTTTTTATACTATGGCAATTAGTTTATGTACCAGGCTGGCTCAGCAGAAGCACCAATGCTGTTTTAAGAGTGCCCAGTTGCAGGATCTCCATACCGCAGGTTACTGGTCTGTTCTTAATAGGAACAGTATTATTTCTTCACCATTTCAGTTTTCAAAACTAAAGTAGAACCATCTTTGTTATGCTTGAAACAAAACAATAAGGGTGGTGAGAAGAATGTTAAAGGGTATTAACAAGGCAAGGAGGCAGCAGAATTCAGGCCAAATCTACTAACAAGAAATCACTATACTAGGCCATATCACACCTTACTGTACTGTCCTGGCCTTTTTTGGCTTAAACACCTTGGACTGAATCCAGAGTTCTTGTGAGCAGAACCAATCACTGTGAATTGGGTTCAGAAATGTGTAAGTGGGTGGAACAGAACTGGTGGTACAGAATCTGTTTCTCTTGATCCTGTCAACAGTGAGGCAACCACATTCAGCACTAACTGAAGCCTCCAAACAGTTTTCCAACAGCCCCATATAAAATGCTTTGAAGTGATTCAACCTTGAGGTTCCAGAGCATAGATAACTGCAGCCAAGTTATCCCTGTCCAGATAGGGTCATAGATAGGTAACCAGCATAAGCTGATGGAAGGCACCCCATGCCACCAAGGCCACCTGTGTCTCAAGTGACAGTAATGGAGTTATTAGTATGAACACTTATATTTGACCAAGTGTACTTTGGGGGCAATTTGTTCCTGCAAAGATTTAAGAGAACTGCAAAGATTTCCCGTTTATATCCAATGAACTGTAACAAATAAATAATGTTTCCAATATATATTTAAGTATTATCTTCCATCACCCTCACAAATACTAGCAGACTATTTCATCATCATTTATTTGTAGAAAAACAGAGTAATTAAGCATTATTTGTATGTTTCCAAACAACAAATGCTCAAGAAAAATGCACCATCATGTATGGACAGAATGAAGAGAGCCTAGAAGCAAGTGTCAGTCTGACTTCTCCACTGCTTTTGCTAAGACTTCCAAATAAATCCATTCTACAGGGCTGCAATATTATCCTTTTTTTAAAAAAAACGCAGGTTTTTTTATCCCTACTAACAGCCTCTGAATCTGTACTTACAATGCTACTATGTTGTAGAAACCATGCTAGTGTCTAAAGGTTTCTATTTGCAGAAGGGGAGAGTACTTTCCTGGAATGAACCAAACTATGTAAATAAAATTAATAGAATCACAGAATTGTAGATTTGGAAGGGATCCTGAGGGTCCTCTATTCCAACCCCCTGCAATGCAGAAATCTCAACCAGATCATGACAGACAGCCATCCAACCTCTGCTTTGAAGCCTCCAAGGAAGGAGAGTCCACCACTTCTCATGGGAGTCTGTTCCACTGTCAAATGGCTCTTAATGTCAGAAAGTTCCTCCTGACGTTTTGCCAGAACCTCCTTTCTTGCAACTTGAATCCATTGGTTTGGGTCCTAGCCTCCAGGCCAGGAGAAAACAAGCTTGCTCCATCCTTCATGTGACAGCCCTTTAGATATTTAAGGATGACTATTGTATCTCCTCTTTACCAGGTTAAACATACCCAATTCCCTCAACTGTTAATGGCTGAATTGTCATCCATCAACTCAACAGAAAACATATCATGGTTCATTTTTTTTGTTATTGTTTTATCCTTATGTCAACAGTAGCAAATTAAGACCTTATCCAAGCCAGGAAAAAACAACTTAAGATTTCCTGCGCAACAGTACAAATAATTGATTTGTTTTGTCTATTTTACACTGGGTCAGCCAGCATATGCTACCCATTGGCTGGCTAACTTCTCAAGCCAGACTTCTATCAGTTTCTTCCATGTCTGACACACCAGAGGTTAAAGAGTTTTCTTTCACACCAGAAAATAACTGGGCTTGTTGATATCTCCAACTTGTGTTCAGGCAGGCATACAAGAGGTGTTAGTTTGGCAGGTTATTCAGCCTGAGGTATACAATCAGAAATGCATGACATATCCTTGCATGACCTCAGGCTTTCTAAGGATACTTTCTTTGCAAGAATAAAACACACATTGCTCGTTTTAATGTCATTTTGTATGTGTGCATGTGCATACAAATGACCTCTGAAAGTCCTCTTAGCCAATCTACAGTTCACTGTTTTATAAAGGGTGTAGTCTGCTGCAGCAAAAATAAGGAGCCCTATGGTACCTTAAAAACAAACACTCATTACGCTCTAGAACAACTTTCTTCATGATGGTGCCTTTCCTATGTAGGGCCTACAAGTCCCATCATTCATGTCCATTGGCCAGGCTCCCTGGAACTGATGGGAGTTGTAGTCCAAAACACTTGGAAGACACCCGCTTGGGGAAGGCTGGTTTGAAGTCCACTTTAGTAAAACAGTTACAGTTAAAAGCGATCCCACTCATCTACTTGTAATGAGCAAATCTTCCAATGCCCAAGATGGTCAAGAGTGTCTCACAGCAAATCACTTTCTTAACCTTGAGAAAAGTTTATATTTGTAAGACATGCTAACATATCTTGTGGACGTGCACAAAAACTCAGCCTTGGCATTAATAAACAGCAACCTGGGGTAAGCAATACTGCTTGGCTATCTTAAATATATTGTACAAAAGGAAGGTATGGAAATGACGGTTCATCGGTTAACTGCAGCAAGGATAACAGTTTGCCAAAATTGGAAAAAATACTAATTGTCCCTCTTTAGATGTCTGGTTAACAAAGGTTTAGGACTTCACATGCATGGGAAAGCTGACAAACTTAATTAGAGGTACACAGGGCAGACAATTTGGAAATGTAATTATAGAGAAGCCGAGGCTTTTCGTTCAGTATGGGAATAATATAGTGCAGGACTCATCAAATCCATCTACTTTGCTAGGGAAAGTTAAGCAATTTAAATAATTAAGGATTATAAATTTCAACACTAATAAAATTGAATGATGATCACTGTTACTTATTTGTCTGTTTTATAATACTGCCATCTATTAGATGTATCAAATTTATGTGAAGAAAAGAAGATGAGGTGAAATTCTCTATATTAGATCATTGGCTGCACTGGAACTGTGTTGGTGATTTTTCTGTTTGTAAAGCATACAAATATATATTTAAAAATAAAAAGAGAGAAATGATGAAAGTTCAGCTTTGCGAAATGACTATGTAATTATGAGACATTGGCTCAATCTAAACAACTTCTGTGATACAAATGCAGAGATAGGGGAGGGCTGTAGCTTATCTGCTTTGCAGGAGGTCCCAGGCTTAATCCCTGTCATCTCCATGTGGGGCTGGGAAAGACACCTGCCAGGAACCCAGGAGAGCCCCTGCCAGCCAGTGTAGACAAAAGTGAACTAGATTGTCCTATGATCTGTTTCATTAAAAGGTGCCTTTTTATGTTTTCAAACTAGATTTACTGATAATGACATTTGGATTTTCAGTTTGAACACGTGTTTGGGATAACGTTCAACTAAGGTCAAGGTAATGGTACCCCTGACCATTAGGTCCAGTCGCAGACGACTCTGGGGTTGCACGCTCATCTTGCTCTATAGACTGAGGGAGCCAGTGTTTGTCCGCAGACAGCTTCCAGGTCATGTGGCCAGCATGACTGAGCCGCTTCTGGAGAACCAGAGCAGCGCACAGAAACACCGTTTACCTTCCCACCGGAGCGGTACCTATTTATCCACTTGCACTTTGACGTGCTTTCGAACTGCTAGGTGGGCAGGAACTGAGACCGAACAACAGGAGCTCACCCCGTCGTGGGGATTCAAGCCGCCGACCTTCTGATCGGCAAGCCCTAGGCTCTGTGGTTTAGATCACAGCACCACCCGCATCCCACAGTGCCACCCACGTTCAACTAAATGTGTTTTAATACAACTATAAGCTTTGTTTGGTCACCTCGAACAAATCATGAGACTTTGGAGTAGAAAAGAGAAGAGACTTGTAATTTTGGAAACATCAGAATGAAGAGACTTTGAAGTCCTGCTAGCCTGCTAGCCTCTTGCAGCCAAATTTGACAAACTTCAAGAAGATTTCTCCCTTCCAATTTTTATTGAAAGCGAGCAGATTTCTGTCCATTCATGGTACAACGACCATGGGTTCCAGTGACACTAGTGACAGTGTGCACTGAAATCAACATTGATGTGCCTTCTAAATCTGGGCCTTCCACTTATCAGCAGTGGGTCTCAGGCCTTCATTTTTGAAACAGTATTTAGCTCTGGTATATAATCTAACAAGAAAACAAATATTAAAGGCAGCATTTCTCAATGATGAATAGCAGATATATTCAAGTATTAAAATGATGTATTTGCAGGAAAGTGTTCTATTTATTTAAGAATGTAAAAATGTTTAGCAATGTTTATATTTAATTAACTGGCTAAAAAAAGCTATGAGCAATCTAGACTGCACTGTCCAATAAGATACCAGTATTTAGGGAGTAAAACAAAGGATTGGAAAACTGTAAACTGCAAATTCAGTGAAGAAGTTCAAAGTCCCTCATGATATTCTTGCAGAAAAACTGGTAAAATGTGGGTTGGATGAGATAACTGTTAGGTGGATTTGTATCTCGTTGACTGAATGAACCCAAGGAGTACTCATTAATGGTTCCTCGTCTTCCTGGAAATAGGTGGCAGGTGGGGCGCCGCTGGGTTCTGTCCTGGGCCCACAGTTTTTCAATGTTCTTTATAAACAACCTGGATGAAGGAATTGAGTTACCAGAAAGGAGAACTAAACATCAGGAAGAGCTTTCCAACAGCAAGAGCTGTCTGGCAGTGGAACGGACTCCCTCAGGAGGTGGCGGACCCTACTTCCTTGGAGGTTTTTAAGCAGAGATTGGGTGGCCATCTGTCATGGATGCTTTAGTTGAGATTCCTGAATTGCAGGGGGTTGGACTAGAGGACCCTCGGGGTCCCTTCCAACTCTACAATTCTAATATTCTATGAATTATTGCTTAACCGCTAATGCTCAGTTAAGTAGGTCAGCAGTATATACGTAGCTAGCCTATATTTATCCATATAGATAAGCAAGTCTACAATGGTCAGAGCAAAGGGTATATTGCCGCCCACCTGCTCGGTAGGCAACCATGGATAATTTTGTCCTTTTGAATATTCTAAGGACAAGTGTACCACAGGGATAAATATAAGCACAGCAGTTTAATATTCAAAGCAAGATACCTGGTTTATGCTGGATTGGTTTCGCTGAAAAGATGGTTGGTGTAGCCTGGCAACACGTTTCACCCACAAGCGAGCTCAGTGAAGGTTGGCTTTGTGACTGAAAGTAACAAAACCCTATTTAGTTTTGCAGGTTAGCGCCTAGAAAATACCCACTATGCACTATACAGTACAGGGAGATATAACAAAAGGCAAACCCTCAGCAACAGAGGTTACCCATTTGCACATACAAAAGAAAGCTTATCCCTTATTTGCAGCTGCAGAATTAATACATGCATATACACGCTAGGCAAACTCAGAAGACAGAATTAACACTTCTCTCTTGATGCCCAATCATTTGCATTTGTGCATATTCCTTGCTCCTTCCCTTTGTTTTCCCCATTGTGTATCTTAAGCCAAATTCCTAGGAGAGAAGTATCTGTTTTTCCACATGAAACTCTGCATGGCACTATAAATAAAATAAATAGGGCAACTGGAGACATTTACTACCTCCTAGTCCTAGTTCTAATCCAACTCCTTAATAAACTAGTTCACCAGAGGCACATTTGCCAAAGTTGCATGTTTCCAGGAGGGCAAACTGAACTCAGGGAAGGTTCATTAAATGGGAACACTAACTCCTAGCAGTCCATTAAAGAGACTCTTCATTTGGTGAAGATTATATAAGGGCAAGGGGTGGATAATGTTTATGGGGGTAGCACTCAGGGTTTCCCAAGGACAGAAAGTTAATGATGCCATTTGATCTTGACTGGGCAGACTTTATGTTCTGAGAAGTAAACCTTTCCATTCTCTCTCTGTTTCTCAATTCCCTAAAGCAGAGTACTTCTCATGAACAACTGTGCACTGCAACTACAATTTTCAAGCAACCTGCAGGTTCCGGCAGACAAAAAACTCATACTTCCCCATACACATGTGGTTCACAGCAGATTGCAGAACTAGATGTACATATGCATGCCATGCAGTCTTGCACACCCACAGAATTTAGTTTTCATCAAAAGAGCAATCTTTCTGTTGGTATGGTTCTGAAGTCTGTCTGCAGTACTCGGTAACATCCAAGAGCTGCTGACTATATTTTCTAGTAGTCAGATGCCCACCCCCAAAACAAGAAGGATAATGCATTATGAGAAATAGTAAGAATGGAAGATTTGTGCCAAATATCGCAAATTACACACATTTGCTTAATTTATATATGCTGATTTTGATTTTGTAGAACTTGAGATCTCTTGGTGCAGGGAGTACACTCAGGCAAAAGGGATCTCTGGGCAGACTAAGTGGTGACTCTGCTGTCTCCGCAAAACACAGAGAAACACAAGGCAATCATTCCAAAGTCGACCCCTTGATAAGCTAAGATTTATGGAACAAACAAAGGGTGTATTCAAGCACTCTTCTGCACGTTTTAAAAAAGCACAATTGTTCTCAGCATGTACGGTAATGCACAATCAATACTACTAGAAAAAGATGGCCACTTGTACTTTTGCCTGTAAGAATCTCACAACTTGGCAGGTTCTGTCCCATTTTGTAAGTTAAGTTCCTCTTGTCTCCTGAGCACAGGTCCAGAGGAACCATCACCAGCACACTTGGAACTGAGTTCTGCTCCTCACCAATCCCAATCTACCCTGCCCCACCTATTTATTAAACAGACTTTGAAAAGGTGCCTGCCTTCAAAAAGCACAGTCCTTTGGATGGCTTTTCAAACTGCATTGTTGCACTGGTGCTATGAGTTTGGTTAGTTTCTTAACAGACAGTATATTTGCAATGCAGTTTCAATGAACCTGGGATCTTCTGCATGCCAAGCATGTTCTTTGCTACTGAGCTATGGATGATGACTCCAAGCATTGCTTCATTAGGAACAGCAAAAGATGAAAACATAGCTCAAGATAGACAGACTAGACTATTCATGTTTATAAAGAGAATAATGTCATTGAGAACTGGACACCATATTCCCCCCCAGTCTCAAATTTCTAATGGGAGAGTGCACACACAGCAAAGATGAGTGATACTACAGGTCAAATGCAACAACTTTCTTAAACAGATTAAAAAAGTTATTTTCCTCCCCAACATTTAGTGTATATAGCATGTGAATCAACATTTTACAATTCCCCAAGCGAGAACAGTTATTTCAGACATTAAAGGATCTATGAATAAGCTTCCCAATCTCATTTCAAAAACTTGGGGTTTGTCTCCTTACCTAATATAAAGATGGAATTTTTCTAGGGAAAGTATGTTTTGATTATACGCATTTGTAGGCATCTCTTTTCTCAAGAGAACCCACAAATTATTTGGCAGTGTGACATTAAATTTGTTATATCTTGTTATATATACGTCACATTCTCTTCCTCCTCATCTACCCTCCAAGCAACCATTCACTCATACATGTATCATATTTAATCACTGCAATCCCTGATTGAAGATTTACTCACCAGCATGAAAAAATTTTCTTTGCACACATTGTCCCGAAAACCAAAAAGACTAATTCCCAGGGAAGTTTAGCCCAAGAATGACAGTCTGAATTTGCCATGTAGTCAACAAAAAGAAGCTCCTAGCCCGCCTCTCACACCACATATACCTTTGAGGTCCAGGAAAAGAGAGTGACAGAGTCTACAACTGCAAAACCTCACACTGCCTGGAGATTTGTGTTCAACATAAGGAATGAGCTATTTAGTTTATAAACCTCATTTTAGATATACTCTATATCCTCCCAGTAAGGGTGGAGTACAAACTGACAACATGCTCCTAGAAATAAACAGAAATAAAGCAAAAAATAAATAATCAATAAAAATGCTGTATGTTAGGAGGAACAAAGTAGACCAATACAACAAAATTCGCAAAAACAAGCTAGGTTACTTTTGTATTCTTAGTAGTAAAACAAATGCAATGTAAGAAGCCTCAGAGAGATAACAGTGAAAGTGAATGAATATACCGTATTTTTCGCTCTATAGGACGCACCGGACCACAAGACACACCTAGTTTTTAGAGGGGGAAATCAAGGGGGAAAAAGCTTCTCGGGGCTGCGGGGGAAGCCCGGGTTGGGGGAAGCTTCTGCCATAGCCGCGCAACCTCTCCAGCCGGGAGCTAAACCTAAAGAAGCCAAGGCAGCGAGCGCAATCCATCCCCCGGCTGGAGAGGCTGCGCAAGGCTAAAGAGGAAGCCAAGGCAGCAAGCGGGATGGATCGCACTCGCTGCCTTGGCTTCTTTAGCCTTGCGCAGCCTCTCCTGGCTGGAGAGGCTGCGCGTGGCTATGGCCATTCCCCCATCTCCCGCAAAAGCCCACAGGAGCCACACACCCTTTAAGGAGCGCACGGCTCCTGTGGGCTTTTCTACGAGGAGGGAGAAGGGACTGACTGGCCGCGTCAGTCCCTTCTCCCTCCTGAGGAAAAGCCCGCAAGAGCCGCGCGAAGCTTGTGTGCTGCTCTTGGGGGCTTTTCCTGCCAGCCTCCCCCCTGCATTCGCTCCATAGGACGCACAGACTTTTCCCCTTAGTTTTTAAGAGGGAAAAAGTGTGTCCTATGGAGCGAAAAATATGGTATTTCTTTCTATATAGAGAGCCTAGAACTGTGACTGGGCTGAGTCACCAACTATTATTTAATAGAAGCAATCTATCTGTTTAATGCATTTGCTTCCATACAGTCTTAGCTAATAAATTAAAAATTTATATATAACCTGTAATCTGTGGTTATTAGTTTATAATTATTGACAACTTTATCCATTGAGATTTAAGAGTGAAGCTTTTATAAAAGTTACATTGGGCAAGATCCAATGTTGTGCAAATGGTTTTTTCCCCTCCTCCTCCCAGAAGACTCCCAATTGCTCTCCAAATATCCTGTGGAGGGTTAGGAAGAAAATGACTCTGAAAGGTCCACTCTTTGAAACTAAGGACCAAACAGAAGGCGTGCAAGGATTTGCTTCCTCCCTTCCTTCATCTCTTTCTCTCTCTCTCTCTCTCTCAGGAGTAAGCAAGGAGGGAGGAAATAAAAATGATAGGTTGGGGGCAGGGTAAAAAAGTGCTCTACACTACCCCATAAAATCTCCCTAACTTCTGAGAAGAACAAAGCTTGTCTTCCCTGAAACTCTATTGGGCTCCTCCTGCAATGCTGTGAGTCACTCTCCCACTCAGCTGGTGAGGGGCAAGTTCACCTTTTCTAAGCTGCTCACAGTGTTGCATACAATGCAAAATGGAACCAGTACTTCCAGTACTTGCATCTAAAGTGCAGCCACTGATTATCTACGCCTCTTCTTGGAAAAGCTGCCTCTGCCATCAGGCTCAGAGTTACCCTGCTGCAAGGCATTTTGGTCAACGTATTGACTGTCTGGCAATCTGAAAAGTGTTTTGTGGATTATTCCCCAATTACCAAACCTATGGAAGAGATAAGCAGATTGGATATTGGGATACAAGTCCCATCCACACAATTAAAACAATATCATACCCCTTTAAACAGTCAAGGCTTCCCCCAAAGTTCCCTTCAGAACTGAAGCTTGTTACGGGTGCTGTGAGGTGTTAGGAAGCCCCATTCCTCCCCACAGGTCTACAATTCCCAGCATTCCCCAGAAAGAGAGATTGACTGTTAAATCACTCTAGGAACAAATCTGGTGAGGGAAATAGGGAACTCCCAAGACCCTTAACAAACTACAGTTCCCAGGATACTTTAGGGGAAGCTATGACTGCTCATGATACTGCTTTAAATGTATGGTGCTGATGGAGACACAGTGTAGCACTAAGGTGGTATGAGTTTCAAGAGCCGAGAATTGAAGCTAATGACAAGATAAATATGACTCAGCAATGTACTGTAGTGCCACTGCAAAGAAAGGTAATGCTATGTTGGATTGCAATGATATGGTACTATGTATGACGCTGGAATTTATTTTGTATTGGCAAGGCAATGGCAAGAGGAGTACATTCAGTTCTGGTCAACATGCTTAAAGATATGAAGCAGCTGGATGTAAGAATAACAAACATGAAAAATTAAGACATGCAGAGAAATACCAAAAGAGCTAAGAATGGAGAAAATACAACTAAGAGTCTTCAGAAGCATTTTTTGCCTTGAGAAGCGTGGGAATGGTTTTTATTGGTTAAAACAGATGACAAGAAAGAATGTGCTCAAACTGCATCCAAAGATTTAGGCAGGGTATTAGGAACTACTTTCTAAATGTAGGAATGCTGGAGCACAGCAACAGGCTGCATTATTTATGCTGCAATCCAAACTCCTTTTGCCCTGGGCTAGAGGGCAGGGAAAGAGGGTTTGGATTGGGTGAATGTTCCCCTTCTGTCCACCAAACAGGCGGATGGAAGGACCACTATCAGAATACCCCACTGGTGCTAGCCTGCAAGAAACCTCAAACCAGGACATTATGGGAGCAGGGAGGGAAAACAGCTGAGCCAGGATCTGGATCTGAACCCAGTTCCATTGCAGTCACTCTGTGGTGATTTGCCTGCCGCCACTGCCTTTTGGCAGCACGAGCAATGGGGCTGCAAATGCAGAACTGCCTCCGTTGCTGCCTATCCAGGGATTGGACTGTCCTGCCAGTTATTAATTATATTTATTGGCTGCCTTTTAGCCATTGCATCTGCCTACGGAATCTAGAATAAAAAGATTTTTAAAAAGAATTCTTAGTGGATTTTCCAACATGGGTGGTTTTTAAAGCATGTTATAGACAGATTCAGTACTCAGAATAGAGGCACTGAACAATGGCTCACTCATCCATCCCTGCAGATGTCAACTTGAAGCCCTTGGGGGGAGAAAGACAGGTGTGGTTAGGAACCCAGTTTCTAAACCTCCACAATATGTTAGGATTCTTCCAACTTTGGAGACCTCATTTCTAGAAAGATGAAATAGTCAGCGGCATGTTTAAGACAAAACCTCCTCCTAAAGCCATATCATAGCTATTTTTAAATACCGTATTTTTTGCTCTATGAGACGCACCAGACCATAAGATGCACCTAGTTTTTGGAGGAGGAAAACAAGAAAAAAAATATTCTGAATCCCAGAAGCCAGAACAGCAAGAGTGATCACTGCGCAGCGAAAGCAGCGATCCCCCTTGCTGTTCTGGCTTCTGTGATAGCTGCGCAGCCTGCATTCGCTCCATAGGATGCACACACATTTCCCCTTACTTTTTAGGAGGGAAAAAGTGAGTCTTATAGAGTAAAAAATATGGTACACAGTATATACATTATTGGACATGACTGTATCAAGAAATCTAGACTCCCTTTGGAAGGAAGTGCAGGATACACATTTAATTAATTAACAGCTCATGAACATGAAGAATTAATGAGAGGCTCTTCACATTTTACCTCAACAAAACAAGGGAAGATCTTCCGTTCCAAAATATTATTTTGACTCATGTGTGGAAAGACTGAAAGTAGCAAAATTATCCCTGACCTGCAAAACAGGCATAATATTGCTGAGATTCTCAGAGTTCTGTACACCATCTCTTTATGGGACAATCACAGGACTTGCAAGTCGATCCACAAGCCATTTTAAAGTAACACTTGCCACCTACCTGATTTAAATGTCCAAGCTACAAAGGGTAATAACCTCTCATGAGAGGAACTGACAGGATCTCATCAGAACCCACTCAAGACTGACTTAAAATTATTAGATGGGTTGCATCATAAGATCAGAAATAACTGGTTTATTGTTACAGAGCAAATAGAGGTAGCCAAATTTATACAAGATAAGGTCCTATACTTCAATCATTAAGATGTCCACAGCATATGTTTCACTCCCAGCACTTTATCATTATACTACCTTTGAGTCCCCATTAACCCTCTAAACACATTAAAATCCCAGGCCTAAAAAAAGAAAATCCAGTCCTGGGGTAAGAGAAGTCTTCTACGCAATCCTTCTGAAATTAATTATGACTGTTTTAACACAAGCTTCTTCTTTTTTTAACTATGCTTTAAGGTTCTTCCTTATTTATTTATTTATTGAATTTATATATCCTCCCCTTCCTCCCCAAAGGAGTCCAAGGCAGCAAACAGATACACAATTTAAAAACAAAAACAAATACAGTGGTACCTCGGGTTACATACGCTTCAGGTTACATACGCTTCAGGTTACAGACTCCGCTAACCCAGAAACAGTGCTTCAGGTTAAGAACTTTGCTTCAGGATGAGAACAGAAATCGTGCTCCAGCGGCGCGGCAGCAGCGGCAGGCCCCATTAGCTAAAGTGGTGCTTCAGGTTAAGAACAGTTTCAGGTTAAGTACGGACCTCCGGAACGAATTAAGTACTTAACCCGAGGTACCACTGTACTTTGTCCTTCAATACCAATAATCCTGTGCATGTTCACTCTGAAGTAAGTCCCACTATGTTCAATGGAGCTTAGTACTTGAAAAGGCATTGCCCCCAAATAAGGATTCAAGTATGCACCCTAGAAAATAAGAATAGCCCACAATATCTGTCAACATTAGTTGGCCATGTAGTCAGTGCTGGATTTACATATAAGCTAAACAAGCTATAGCTTAGGGCCCCACTCTCTTGGGGGGGCCAAAAAATTAAAAGGAAAAAAAACCTGGATGTACATTTCCAAAATATAAGATAAAAAACAAATAAAATAAAACCTACACACAGCAACAGTGTTATGTGTTGTGTAGGCTCCTATGATGTAAGTAATGGACCCCGCCCATATCACTGGTTTGCTCATTTCTATATCAATTACTTTGATAAAATACATATTTTGTTATGTGCAAATGGCTTTAGGTACCTATTAGGTCCATAAATTACCATATAGCACATAATCAACACAAAAAACACTGACAATTTATTGTTGACAAAGGACAGCTGGACATATAAAGGGCCCCATTACCTTCAGTAGCTTAGGGCCTCTTCAAACCTAAATCCGGCCCTGTGTGTAGTGCAGAACAAATGCACAACTACAAGGAGCTATGCCATTTCCAGGACCAAATACAGAACTATCTCCAAGAATGTCTACTGTAGTTTCATTGACAAGAAAAGGAGGGCCTTGACTACATCAATTGATGCTCTATTTTCAGGCAATGGACGAGATGTTATTGCATGTCAGCCAAATTTTTCTGTTTAAGAAATACACAGAGGGCCTGGTATTAATAGTAGTAGTAGTAATAAATACACGCATACGAAGTATAAAACAGCATTTGAATGCAAACATAGGAATGCGCAGCATCACCACTATTTAGAAGGTGAAAAAAATTATAACCCCAGCAAAGGCACTGAATGATTGTGTAAAGAAATTGTGTGAATTGGAAAGTTAATCTCCACAGGACTATTTTCTCAAAGAACAAAACAAAACCCCAAGATCTGTTGAATCCAATTTTCATAGAGTCTCCGTTCAGAGGAATGAGCAGGTGAACTCCTATGAGAGCAGGATGGAAAATATGTGGCTCTCCAGATGTTGTTGTGGACTCCACCAGCCCCACCAGCTTTGTAAATGGTCTGGGGTGATGGGAATTATAGTCCAACATTTGGAGTACTGCAGGTTCCCTATCACTGTCCTAAGGAGAGGACACATCTACAGCTGCTAGCTGTAGCAATATACAGGGAAGGCCAACACTTACTTTCACATTTTCCTGGCAAGATTTCAGAAGCAACAGATTGCAGAACTAGAGGGACCATGATGTAATCCAGTGAGGCAATTCTTACATCTAAACTTTGAGGGCAAAGGAACCATGACTTAGTGCTCCCAATACCTGTGTGCAGGGTGCTTCAGCTCTCTAGCATGGCTACTGCTCCTAGGCTGCAACAACCCTAGGCTGCAACAAAGCTTACATACAACCCTTGACAAATTCCTGTACTCCCAGAAGAGCACTACAAAGCAGACTCTGCGGGCTAGAAAAGACTTTCTCTAAAAACCTCAAATATTCTTATTCTCTCAGCTCAATGTGTTAGCCCACTAAATAGATACTCTTTTATCTCCTTGTACCTTATCTAGTATTATTCAGCTTAGCGCAGGCACAGTAACAGCCGCCTACAAAACCAAACCTCAAATCTCATTGTGAGTTTGACAAGTTGGAAATGTCTTTCTGATGCCTCGAGTTCAAAAGTCCTTCCAGCTCCTGCATTACCTTACAACTCATAAAGCGAAGTCACACATTCTACCACTCCAAAAGGAAACTGGGGACGCGCAGAGTGCACTGCTAACCACAAAACCAACATGGTGGGGGGGGGGTGGAGGAGCACCTCTACTCTATCCAATTACTCCTCCTATTTGTTGTGCCACTTTACGTATCGCCTCATCAGGGAGGACTCCTCCCCTCCCACTTTCCCCATTCCTGGAAGAAAGAATGAAAGAAAACAATTATCTGCTCTATAGACGGTCCCTATCCCTGCGCCCATCCTGTTTCCCACGCTCATCCCCGGGGAGGTCCAGAAAGTACTTTCTGGCAGAGCTCAGGTGAAACCCCCAAGACACAGGATCATCATTGCAGAACGCCTCTGAGCATGTGAAGAGTTCCTTTCCTCCACCAATAACGAGCGGCTCTTAACTCACCCATCCCTTCGGGCTCCGAAGAAGCTGGGAGGCCCCCCGAGGGACAGGGCTTCCCCCCAGCAGGCTTCCCGGCGCCGGCCGCTCCTCGGAAGCGAGCGCTTCCCCGCTCCGCCCGCCTCCGCGCTTGCCACGCCGCGGCCCTCTCCCGCCCCGTCGGACGCGGCTCCCGCTTAGCCACGGGGAGGAAGGGCGAGCGAGGGAGCGCGGAGAAGCTCGCCGGCCAGCTGCCGCCCCTCAAGGGTTAAAGACTTTAAAAGGCCGGGCCAGCGCATGCCCAAGGAATGCCCTGCCGGTCGCGGGAGGAAACGGCGCACGCGCGCAAGGGCAGGCCGGGTGGGGAGAAGTCTGTGCACATGCGCAAAACATTCTGAAACGGGCTGGCTCCCTCTTTTTTGTGTGGGGTTTTTTCTCTCTCGATTCCGGATGGCAGACGCAATAGGAAGGCTGTGTTGCGTTGGGAGAGCAGGCGAGCTCTCCATGGCAGCGGGTATGCCAGAAACACGGCTTAGGCCGTTGGTTACTCATAGTCCAAAAGATGTTATACATAAACACTGATCCCACGCACCCTAATTTGGATTCCCGCTTGCTTCTCAAGCTCTGGCCTGTGAAGTCATGGGAAAGCTAAAAATTAGTTCAAAGGCTGTGCTTAATTGTCATGACAAAAATCACACCCGTGCAGAAGAATCCAGAAACCGCCTAAATCAGGGGACTTGGGCATCTAGGGTGTGGCTAAGAAGGCCAGCGTAAATTGTCTATGAATTGTCTCTTGAGCAAGCCATGAGCTTAATTAAGGTAAACCCATTGCAAGGAGTAAGGGAACAGAGCAAGGCAAAAGTTGGGACCATGAGGTATTGCATTGCATTGCAGGCCAGAGTTGAACTCGGTGACCCTTGTCGTACCTTCCAACTCTACAGTTCTGTTATGTACTAAGCTTGGTTACTAGAATAATAGGCAAGTAGGATCCTAAAATGCAACAACGGTTTGGCTTGCAGGAAAAGACCAATCAGGCTCCATGAGGAAGTTAATCAGCCTAGTAGGCTGGTAGGATGTAGAATGCAACAACTGATTGGCCTGCAGGAAAAGACAAATCAGGCTCCAGGAGGGAAGCAGACTCAGCCAATCAGACGGGACTCATTGTGTAAATAATGTATATAAAAGCCTGAGGTTTGGGGGCCAATTCAATCACTGTTTTACAAGCTGCGATAAAGAGCATGAAAGCACTACAGGACTTGGAGTATATTTCAAGTTCTATGATCCTACCTTTGGAAATGTGATTATCCTAGATGTGAAATGACATCCACTCTAGTTACGAGTCAAGACCACAAACTTTTACACCCACAACCTCACCCTTGAAAATTTATCATACCATGCCCATGCTACTTTTTTTTCCTCCAAAAAGCAATATGTGCTATATTTTATGCCCGTCAACAATGTTTAGTTTTCATATTGCTGACAGCTTGCATTTTGAAAATTTCTTCACCTCCCTGCTTACTTTCTCTTCTCTTCTTGATTCACTTAATCAAGGTTGATACATTGCATAACACATTGATTTCTTAAAGATTTGCAAGCCAGGAAGAAGAACAAAATCAGCAAGGGGCTCCAGGATTTCAGCTGCCTACCAGCCTATCATGCAAATGGAAGTTTTCACTGTTGGTTTTTGTCCTAAGGAAATTTTGTCTTCAGCCAAGTCTCCATATAAGCAATTTTTGTTTTTCATTGGGCAAGACTAACAACTAGCAGAGTGGGATGTAATGTAATGTAACACTTTGTGCTACTGCAACTTAAGGGGGAGGGTGGTCAGGATGCTAACAGGTTAAGCCTTGATCTGAATAAACAGTGAAATATACACTGCAAGTTTTTGTTATTGGAAGGACTTTACTTGGGTGGGTATGTTATTGTACTTTCTTTCAAAGCGAGACTCTGGTGCTACAGTTTGCCATGCTTTACTCAAGGATAGTTGAAATGCAGGGAAGACCTTGTGACAAACTGTTAACATCCCCACCTTCCCTACCTCTACCCCTAAGTGCCAGTCGACTGACCTTTACCTTGATGCCTAGAGGGCAACCTGTGTGCATCTAAATGCTGTCCAAGAAAAGGCAACAAATCAGTACGACATCAAAATATGAGCATAGCCAGGTGGGGATGGGGGCAGCTGCCCCCCATCAAGGAAATAAATAAAAATACCTTTTTTAAGGTTCTGTCCCCATCCCCAACATAAATCCTGGCTATGCCCATGACACAGTTGGATCCATTTTGTTTCTGACCACAATTAAATAATAGTGCTAGCAGACTAACCCAGCCAAGTGCTTGTGTGGAGTTAAGCAATCAAGGCTAGGAGGTTGTATCAAGAAAAAGCCCATGGTATATTAAACCTCACAGGACCTCTTGTTTGTTTGGGATATAACACTGTTATTTATTACTGTAGGAGACTGTGATTCTCTCCTGATTTGAAGCCAGCTTACCTAGTGCCAGGCTTCATTCTGGATCATGTGAGGAAGCAAAATGGATATCCTGGCACCAAAAATTCTGAATCATTTTTATTGATTTTTCCAATTTTTTACCAAATCAGCCATATTAAAACAAATTTAATACAAATTTTCCAAAAAGTGGTTTCCCATGTTCCGTTCTTGATGTGTCCGAAGGTTCTTCTTGTTGCTGCCCTAATTATCTCTAATTCACATTCCATCTCTTACAATTAACCTTATATTACAATAGTGTTTTTTTAAAAACGTATTATCCTTAACCATCAGCTATCCACTTTCCAAGTCCTGCATGTACAATATTTAACATTTACAATATCTACAAGTGAGGTCAGTCAACTAATTATCATTAATTATCCGTTTGGAAATTATCATTTCTAAAATAATTTCTTTTCTTTCATTCTGCTTGTATGAAAGCCTAATAGTTCACATTCACTAGATGTTTCCCTCTTCTTAATAGTACAGTCCAGACCAAAGATTCCAAATTTGAATCGTGCATTTCATCTTGCTATAACCAATTCCTCTCTTTTGGCAAGCCCTGTAACCACAGATCATATTTTACTCATCTCCTCCTGATAACAATAACTTTGAACTTACTGTAGCAAAATAATATACAAGGACATCTTCACTGGAAAAGCATCACATCCCAAGGACCTGCAGCAAGTGCTTACTCACTCTGTCAGCTTTCCCAGAGCACCTGGGAAAGGAATCACCATCCAACTTAGCCAGATGTAACTTGATTCCAGTTAGGAGTAAGGGGTTTATAAATAAGCTCCCTCTAATTTGACTAGAAATATGACTGGTATGCTGTCTTCAACTTTGTTTGCTGTGTCACAACCCCTGACTGCTGTAGAATTCCTTTTTTCAATTCACTCTCTGAAATATACACACGTATCATTCTTGGAAAATGACCCAAAGCCTGTCTTGATCCAAGGAAAGATAGCATCTCTTCCAGCAGGGTGTATGTGACCAGATCACTTCCAGAAATAGCAGCTATGAACTAAAGAGGAAGAAATGTAATCGACAGACTTGTGACTCTAGTGTCAAGATCCTGTGTAATAAATCGCTTGATACTATATGGGTTCTTACTTTATTTGACAGAAAGACAGCTGGCTTTGCTGAAGGCAGTAACCAATTCTAAAGTGGCTTTCCAATCAATGTGGGGGGTTTTTTAACTTATAAAAAAAAAATGAGGAGGAAATCCAAGCCTGTGTTATTATGATGGTGTTTCCTGCTTGCCAGGGGGTTGGACTCGATGGCCCTTGTGGTCTCTTCCAACTCTATGATTCTATGATTCTATCCTTGGTCAGCTATGATCTCACTAGCTTTATTGACTTAAATCCTCATATTACAAAGGAAATCTGAAGTCCATCATGAGTGTTTACCTAAGGAGGAAGCAAGAATGTGCCTCTTGTTTCATTGCAACTAACACCAAGAAAAGACGTAAGGTTGCACCCAACATTAGCTCTGCTCAAGGAAGCACAGTGAAATAAATGGCATTGACTCGCTTAGGTCCATTGATTTCAATGGGTCTATTCTGAATAGAACTTAGTTGGCTAGAACCCATAAATTGCACAAGAGTTCGGTTTCCCTTTCTCCCCATTCCCCTCCCCACAAATCTGCTCTGGAATCCCTTAATGGTGAGGAGGAGAGGTAGAAGCAGCCTAGCTGTGCAGGAGGATGCCTGGCCATTCTAAGGTATCTCGTCCATGGGCAAAAATGGGCCATAGTTTTATGGATTGTGACCATTATTCAGCCAGATCAGAGCAAGTCAGACCTCTCTGAGGATTGATTGTTCTTTACCTCATGGACTTGTCCTGGGCAATCTTTCTGAAAAGGTCTGCAGCATTTTCCAGAAGCCATCTGTGTAACCACTCCATTTTAGCCATGAACAGCCACTATCAGACGCACATGTGTACATGTACACACAAATGCTCAAAAGCCAATTCCAAGGATGCCTGTATAGTATTACAAACTTTAGACTGATTTTATATTTTGCGGCATTAATCTAACCTAGTTCTGATGTTAAAACATTTCCTTATTGCAATATTAATATAACACATTAGAAAAAGTAGTAATATGGAAATAGCGCTTAATGCCATCCACAACCAGTCACCTGCAGTCTAAAAAGAACCTTCTGCAAGTCTCAAGTTGTTGTATTGTGTATCCAAAAGACTAAAGGCACAAAGCAGTGCTACTTAAGTTCCATACATTTTTTGCATATGGTGGCCCAGTTTTAAATTGGCTACTTAAACTGACACTATTATTTACAGTATTATCCAGGTGTGGTGATGCCAGAGGGGGAAAGCGCTCAGGAAATTGCAAAGAAATAGAAACACATGATTCGGAGCCAGCATAAATGAACGTTGAAAGTTTTTTGAAAGGTGCGGCATAAAGCTTCATAGGCAGAGTTTAGCAGAAAACACTCCAAGGCAGTGTTCTGCCATGATTTGACCTGTGCAACAGTGTTTTACCCACTCAGCATAGAACTCCCCAACCTGCAATGGCGCATTTCTTCCTAAAACATTTCCAACTGACTCCACCAGAGAGAAAGTGGCAATTGCCCTTTTTTATTTGAAGAAGGGTGTGGACAAAGGTGGGGTGTTGCTAAAGTGACCTGGTTAAAGGCAGAAGGGAGGAAGTTAAACGGGAAGTGGATGATGCTGAGGCAGGAGTGGAAGCACAAAGAAATGTGAAGCAGGGTCTGTTGTGTAAGCACATCCTGCAAACAACAGAATGCGCTCACTCCTAGACTCTTACCTAGCTTTATGAATGGAGTGACATGCAGTTAGATAAGAAAATTCAGAAGGAGGAAGCATTCAGAGCTTTAGAAAACAAGGTACAGAAAAACGTTTCTCAGACACAGGAATTTATTGGGACAAAAGTAGAAATATATGGTTATGTATATGTTATATAATGTATAGTCCCAAATAAGTTCTGCTGGTGTCACAGAATGAGAGAGACTCAAGGAATCATATAGGCTAGGTGTGGGCAGATTTCAGGCTTTGGGGATTCTACTTTGGTTTTTTCCAAGAACCACAAAGTCTACTAATGGGAGAGTCACCCATCACAAAATAGGGAGTGGGGTCACCTGGAAAATGGTAGCGTAGAGGCTAGAGCCAATTACTTTCATGAGACAAACACTGGAACGGCCTACATCTGAGTTGCTATAGATAGGAGAGTCTAACAGCCTACACTGCAGGCTAAAGAGTCTTTTGTTGCTGCTGTTACTAGACTACTGGGAGTCCAGATCCCTTGCTCATCTACTTCAAATCATCCAGCAATCTACAAGCAGATTCTTTTTATCTTCTATTCATGCTACCTGCTGCAGGGATAGGGAGCCTGTGGTTCTCCAAATGTTGCTGGGGGTCTGACTCCCATCAATCCCAGACAGCATACCCAAGTGACAGGGATAATGGGAATTGTAGTTGTGGTCAGGGTGTGTGGGTGATGTTTCTGTGGAGACCTACAAACCAAGTCAGAACTTTTCCAGTTGCTCAAATAGAAGCTTCCTTGCTTAAAATCTACATGTCAGCTTTCCCCTTTGCATCAAAGCACTTCTGTCAAGATACACACAGAAATTAATAACACTATATTATCTGTAGTTGCTGATAAATGGTGCAAGAAAAATGATCGTATCAGCATCCAAGCCTCATAAACAAAGTCTCAGTGGGAAGGCACAGAACATGAAGAGGGAAAAATGGTTCCCAATCAATATAACCATAGACGTCCAATGCAATTTAGGATGACACATTTTGAGTTAAGGACTGAGTCAATTATGCTGAAACATGTCTGTACCAAGGGAAAGTATGATACGTTTTCAAAAAAAGCATTTCGCTTTCTCTCACTGACATTGATAAACAGACTTATGGAATGGTAGAGCTGGAAAAACCAGGAAGTCAGGTAATATAGCTTGTTTATAATGAATCAGAATTGTCCTCCTACAGCAACACCCAGGTCTAGTAGTTTAGTTCATCCAATGTGAATACCTTTGGATTGCTGTAACTAGGTCATAAAACACTAACGGTTAAAGTCAGGGTTCTGTAAAACACACCTGCACAACACTGTTGTTGTCTACACATTGCTGGCTTAAAATGCAGTTAGGTCATTCTTTTCCATAACTTGGATTGAATGTGGTTTTGGGGAAAACACATCAAACCACACTATTCCACAAGAAACAACAGGGCAGATACAAGCAGTGGAGGCTGGTCCACTAGGGCATAGCCTTCCCAAGAAGAATGACAAGAAATGTTTTTTAAAACCCCCCACAAAATCTCAAAGCTACACACTATTTATTGTGCCACACACATTTTATAATTCTATTTGAGCTCAGAGAAGTTCTGCAAACATTTCTATCCATCTACTGTTCTCTGGTCAATCAGCTCTCTTCACAGCTAATCCTAATCCCAAAGTATGACAGATTATGACAAATATGACACAGAGGTTCCTTCCATGTGTCTCTAAGCAGAAAAACCCATATGACTGACTGGGCTGCCAGAAAGCTGTTCTTAGGAGGCCTGTCCAGCACAGCTACTATAGCAGGTATGGGAAGAGTCAGGACTGTTTCAAAACATCAGACAATCAGAACCATGTGCTAGTTCTGGGAATGCTCAGAGCTGTTTCTCTGAAGGTCAGAGAAGCAACATGGAGTGTTTTCTACTTTGAGGAGCTTTTTTTGTTTCATTTCATATTTATTTTGTGACCTTACTAGAGAAAGAGTAAGCATGCGAGAGTGATTCTCTTCCTGTAATAAAGGTAAAGGGAACCCTGACCGTTAGGTCCAGTCGCAGACGACTTTGGGGTTGTGGCACTCATCTCACTTTACTGGCCAAGGGAGCTGGCGTACAGCTTCCAGGTCATGTGGTACCTATTTATCTACTTCACTTTGATGTGCTTTCGAACTGCTAGGTTTGCAGGAGCAGGGACCGAGTAACAGGAGCTCACCCCATTGCGGGGATTTGAACCGCCTACCTTCTGATCAGCAAGCCCTAGGCTCTATGGTTTAGACCACAGTGCCACCCATGTCCTCTTCCTGTAATAAGTATCTGTTAATTGGGAGAAGAGTTGGTGGGTTGTGTATGTGTTGCAGCAAACTCTGTATTAACCATTTCCCTGTTTGAAACAAACCACTGATCAACTCAGATTTCAACAGGTGTGGCAAGTCCACAGCCTATAGGCTGGCTCAGACCTGCCAAGTGCCCTCAAATTGCCCACTAATGCCCCAGCCAAGTGGGTATCTTCCAAAGGAGTGGTCCTTCCTGTTTCCTGAGCAACCATATGCTAGGCATGCAAGAGGAAGAAGAGGTGCCTTTGAAAGGTCAGGAAGAGGCACCGTTGGAAAGCATCTCACTTTTTGCTGTAGTGAAAAAGATAGTGTCCCCCTCCTCACCACTGTGCTGCAGTTGGTGGTGGTGGTGGTGGTAAGTTCTGTCTTACTGAAATACCTTTCTCAGCATTTGAGAGAGAAAGTGAATGGTGCCTGGTGAGTGTATTTCTTTGTAATCTAAATATGTTCTGTATGTGTGGTGAGGGCACATGCATACACGCGTAATATATGTTTGGCATACCCTCCACTGTCTTGTGGCCCTTGGTGAAGTGGCTGATTTCCAGTAATGCCTTCATGCCAATAACACCTTCAGCTGAAAAAGAATAACCATTCTTTGTCTATGGAAAATGACACTGTCAAGAGAAACCCACGATGCCATTTTGGGTGGCTTATCAAGAATCCGTAGCGAGGATCAGTGAATCCCTAGAGAACAGAAAATGTATGATTGCTTCAGAACATGTCTGCTGAAAGCATGTTGAAGGGTTGCACAACAAATAACTCAAACCACATTATCACTAGGCCAATTGGGTTATGTCAGTTTCAGCACAAATATTTTTAAGCATCTCAACGCTCTCATCAAAGAACGAAGGATGGAATGCGGTCGACAGAAAAGTTGACAATGACCTTTGGGTGGTGAAGCTGTTGAAAAAATTTAAGCCAGGGAAAATACCAAAGAACTATGAATAAGAACATCTAACACTTTAGTTTTTCTTTTCTTAGCAGAAATTATTGTGGTAGCACTGGTATGCATTGGTCTTTATCTCCTTGCTTCCCTTTCTTTTCTTATTGGGAGAAGACGCATATAAGATACAGGTTTTTCATGACACAAATAAGTAATGATTTTCTTTATCTGCTTGCTTACCTGGAGAAAATATAGCATAAGGATTTTAAATGTCACAATAAGTGCTGTCAGTTTAAAAAAAAAATCTGTGCAATTTTAATATTTAAACTTAACTGACAGAAAAAGTAGGACAACCCAAGATATAAATATTGTTGTAGAAAGTATAAAATCTTAACTAATACAACTCATCGATGTATGTGGCTCAGGTCACTTAAGGAAAAAAGTGAAGAAAAAATATTGTTCCCTCCCTTCTCAAAAGAAGAGAGTCACAGTCAATGGGGAAATGATCACTGGGTTTTATGGGGAAGGAAGACTCATGGCTCAGTGGTAGACCACACATTCTGAATGTAGGAAAATCCCAGGTTCAATTCTTGGCACCTCCAGTTAAATAGCACAGCTCTATACATGCTTATTCAGAAATAATGCCCCCTGTGTTCAAGGCGGGCTATCTTCTAGAAAGTGTGTTTAGGGTTGCAGCTAAAGTATCGTAAATAGCTGTCGAGTAGGGAATAGCTGGGGTAGGGAGTCTTGGGCTAGAGGAACCATTAATTTGACTCCTTCTAAAGCGTCTGTATTTTCTATACTTTAAAAAAATGCATCAAAGTTCCTCAAAAGTACATGATCTGCATGCTCCATGCTCCATAACTTCAATTCTCTTTAGCAACTGTTGATTGTTTTATGGCACTGATTCCATTTCTGGGATTGGTATCAGTCTTTGTAGGGCTTGTATGTCCCCCTCAGCACACACATTGGCTCATTTACTTGTGCAACCTGAAGAGATGTGTTCTGCTGGCACCTTACTGGGATGCTCCTGCCTTCTGTTTTTGATGTACTGGACTGCAAATGTTTGCATGTCGGCTGTTGTGTGGATGCTCTGTAAGCTGAGGAAAAACTGAAGCAAATTGTTGTTTCATTCCACTCAGTTCTAATACTAATATTTTCTACAAATGACATCTTACTGGGGGAAAATGTTCTTCCAATCCAGCATTCCTAGTGGTCTGGTATCTTCCCAGCATCTCTGGTTCTCCTGATGAAAGCATATAGAGAGAGGAATAATCAGTAGCTCATTAAAAATAATAATGGAGGAGGGTAGGGTGATAGTGAACCATTTCCCCCCCAATCCAGTACAAGGCACGGCATGTTGCTTGTGAACTTTCTTCACTTTGATAGACTAAAGGGGATGAACGTAGTCTTCTGTGTGGAATACATTCATCATTTTTCTTCAGGTCTCGGTGGAGGAATTCTCAGGTTATTTCCCCCTTTGCGCTTCAAAAAAGTGTGAAACAACTTAGGAGGAGGTGGGTCCCTGGAGGACAAAATGAAACCAAAATGACACACAGCTACAGCCACTAGGGCAGAGTACAAGAGACAGGAACATAATGTTATTGGATCCATATGTCTACTGGACGTACTGGGGTCCACTATTTCCAAACGTTTCAGTCCCTGGAACACAAAGTTCCTCATATTCCCAGCAGTAGTCGTTCAGATCACCGTGTAAGGCCCTCATGAGGACAATATGTCCGTTCAAATGATGCCCGAATGATCTTAATGGCAAATCCTTTCTGTCATTTCTTTCTGTGAGGGGAAAAAGAAAAGATATGTAATTATTTTTGAAGAAGAAGTCTGTGTCCACAAAACCTTTAGGAAAACAACTGTATGATTCAACATGGTGTACAAAGGACCTTGAATCTCTCATAGGGTTGGGACCTTTGAAAGTGATTACGGATGGTCTAGTCACTCATCCCATCAGTGACGCAGAATGGGTACGGTATCAAGAGGCTTTCTGTTACCGTGTTATAATCCAGGGTATTTAATCATTGCATACAAAAGTGGAAAATAGCCTACTAATGCATAGTAATAGCTATATCCTTTTATTATTCTACACAGTAATTTTAGCTTTCATAGCAGATAGGACCAAAAAAAAATTTGTGCCAGATGTTATACCATCTTCCAGGCAATAAGTCTTAAAATTTATCTGAATATGCTGCATTTCTACAACCAAACAAAGAATCTGTTTTGTAGTCCAACTTTCTAGGGGTCCATTTGAAAAACATGGTTGCTGGCACACTTTGCTGCCTACAGGAGCCTACTCCAACCCACACCCCCAACATATCCCCCCCCCAAAAAAAACTGAAACAATATTTAATTGGTCAGACAGCTAGGCCTTCTCCCCAAAATATGTTTTGATGGGGAGGGGATTCCAAAATGTGAACAGTTTATAAACATTATCAGTGGATGACCACCCCTACCACTGAGAATCCCCTGTGCAGTATGTATGTATGTATGTATGTATGTATATTTATTACATTTTTATACCCCTGAATTATTCTAATTTCTAACTGGTATAAAACAGTGCCTCTGATACTCAACCCACAAATCATGTCTTAGGAGGATACCTTGCTCAACGGTATTAAAAGCTGCCAACAGAGTAAGAAGCAAGAGAAGACTCACTGACTCCTGCTCTGCATTTTCTCAATGCAGGTGATCCATTAGCCAAAGCTAATTCAGTCTCAAAACCACGGCTGAACCCGGAGAGTCCATACCCTTTAAGAACTGCTGCAACTGCTCTGCCACCACATTCTCTGCTACCATACTCAAGATAAATGGACAGCAGTTATTGCCAACTGCAGGGTCCCAGGGTGGGAAGTCAATACACTGCTGTTAAGGACAGCCTATGCTGCTTCAGCATATAGCATGAATTAGATGCAAAGGTTCCCTTCCCCCAACAGACTGTTCCTTTGATAGAAGGGTTCCTTTCGTATCCCCATACTGCACATAGGAGGGAAAGGGACTTGCCCTTCACCACCTAAATAAATTCATGATTTCAACCAATGCACAATATTCCAGACTGATTAAATTAAATTAGTTTGATCTGATGGATGTTTGCAATATTTCATTGAATGTGCCAGTTAATCCAGGGGAAATATATGACTCAAGACTCTGGATTAATCTGTTGCATAAAAAATAAAATAAAATAAATCCCCCTTCACTTATTTCACAATAAACTCTTAACGTTTTGTAAGAAATCTGAGACAATGCAGTGGGTTTTTTTTCTTGGTAGACATTATTACATTTCTAAATTGATTTCAACTTAAAACAGCCTAAAGCGTTTAGGTTTGAAAGAAATAAGATTCTGAAGCAAGACACGGACAGCAAAAAATAGGACAGAATTTCAGTGTCTCTTTGAGTTGCCTTGGTGATAACCAAAAGGGTCAACAGAAGCTGATAATCCACAAAGGGTTGTGTTGGGTCTGAAAAGAATCCAATTTCGACTTCTTCGCTGTTTTCCTTTAATACCATGAAGAAAGCATAGGTAACAAAAGGAAATATGCACAATATGTGTAAAAGGGAGTTAAAAACAACATCCTATCAAATATCACTTGGCAAGAAGAAAAGAGGTTGAACTAGTGAGTGACATTTACATATAAAGAGCTCCTGAGTCTGGATTTATATAGCCATGTGTTTTATGTGCAAAGGACTAAGGAGCATGGGAAGAAACGTCATTTGTGAATGACAATGGAGAGAGTCTCTTTATGATATTTGAACTGTACAGTATTGAAAGAAAAGCTTACACAACTCAATGAAAGCTTATCATCTGATAATCACCAGGTGAACTGCTCATGTGAATTCACCAGACGCAAATCCATAGTAATAGAGGCAGCAATATAAATGCATTATTGTGGCACGTGATCAGTCACTTGTCTAAATCAGGAGTGAGGAACCTTCAACCTGTGGGCCAATCTTGGCCTGACAGGGGGTCAAATTTGGCTTGTAAGGTCATTTTTAAAGAAACCACACCCACCTGCCAATCAGCTGATTTCACTTCAAGAGTGGGTGACCTCAGTGGCTAGCAGGCTGGTAGCAGTTGATTCTCTTCCCTTTCTGGTAAATCATGCATGCAGCCAAAGCAGTAGGATTTAACTCCAGCTCATCAGCTGATGGACAGGGGTTAAATCCTGCTCAGTTTGGCTGTGCATGCCTGTTTCATGTTGGGAACAGGCTCGCAGAGCCAAATCTCAGCGCGGGGCTCTTTGAAAGCCATTTTGCCAACAGCCCTGAACTGCTTTTTAGACCTCCAGGTTTCAGTCCTGTTCCTGGGGTATCCATGGTCATGACAAACCAGTTTCCTGGGTTTTCTGCCATGCTCATAAGCTGGCATTTTCTTTGTTGTCATAAACATTCCAAATGCCGGTGGAAGTAGGAATGAGCAAATCTGAACCTCACAGTCTTTGGGTTGCATTCGACACTGCACAAGGAGAAGTCCACATGCGCAATAGTGTTTCCCCCATGCTCCCACAAGACCCACTCCGGCGGGTCCCCCAACTCTCTGGTGCAGATTTTGAGCATGTGCATAGGGCTGCAGGGGACAGGAGGGGGGAGTTCAACTGCACAAACAGAATTCTGCTGGGTGAGCGGAACAGTAGTGTTGGATACAACACTTTGAGAATATGTCAGACCATCTATAGAGTTAGCAAGGGCAGCAGGAGGGGTGGAGAGATGACCAACCACATACGAAGAGGCGATGTCAGCTGGTGCCAAATAGATTCTATTGAAGAAGGCTTCGATCTGAGGACAAAGGGTTAAGCCCTGGAAGCAGAAGCCCACAGCATGAGAAGCTGGAAAAGACAAGTCGCTAACATCTTGAATGCACTTGGTTTGTATTAGTCCCATTCTAGCTAGTGGGGTTATTCTTGTTTTAAGCTAAATGAAAACTGAAAACATGTTCTATTATGTAACATTTGCCTGTGCAGTCCAAACATTCATGACCATCTTCAAGTTCTGAAGAATAACAAAAAAACAGAAACGTCAATTCCAGGATTCTGTCTGCCTGGGGAACACAGTGAGAGTTTCTGCTTTTCCAATCAAGATCTCTTAACACTTCTGTTAAAACAATATTTCCCACCCCCACGGCCTAGTCATTCCACCCACAGATCTGAAAACTTAAAAAAAATGAGTTGAAGTATATTATTTGCAAGTATTCATCTCCCACTCATTTTTTAGTGAGGAATATGTGTGAGTGAGTGTGTACACATGCAGGTGTGTGTGTGTGGCAAAGACTAAATAATCTCTGAAACAAAAGCAACAGATTTGTGCCAAGGAAAGCAGGGGCATATCTAGGGATTGGCTAGATTGCCCCCAACTAAGGGCGCAGGCCCGGCAGGGTGTGTGTGCAAAAATCATGCCTCTCTACTTTGGCTCAGAAGCAGCTGAATTTCGACTTCCGGGGTGGCGCCATCGGTAATGGCGGATTCCCTCTGATCCGGAGGGACTGGCTCCACGGAAAACGGGTCTGTTCCGCTACGGCGAAGCGGGGACCCTTTAAAAAATCACAGGCGGATGAAGCCTGTGACCATGGGACTCGGCGGGCACCTTTCGCGCCCCCCCCAATTCGTAAAGGAACCCAATTACGGGCTCCGGAGCGAAGAGGGGCTAGTGGCGCGGTGCTGAGAGTCAACTGCTTTTTCCGTGGAGCGAAGCCGCACAGCCGTTGCCGGAGAGCGCTACCTTTTTCCTGGGACAATTTGGCTACAAAAACAACTACCCGTGAGCAGATCAAATTTGGACAATTGGACTTTAAACAATGATCTGTGAGTAGAACGGAAAATTGGATTAAGAAATTCCTCTTAATTTGGCACTGAAGCGGGAAGGTCTAAACAGGAAGTCAGCCTTCCGTTTCTTGTAGATAGATTAAAGCAAAGACATGGCAAACTAGAGTTTAGAAAATCGTTTTTAAAGCATCAACTTTCATCATCTAAAACTACTGAACCCCCTTCGGAAGCAGGAGAAGAGGGGGGACTTTTTCCGGACTGTTTAAACCTGCAGAAGAGAGTGTAAAGAAAAGTAATTTTCCACCGTCTTGAGCCTGGGAGCGGGGTGTCAGGACAAACATTTTTGGGAAGTTCATTGACTATAGACAAATGTTTTTGACAGACAGTTAAAAGAAGAGAAACATAGTGACTCCATTGTTCTCTTTCGCATTTTAAAGGAACAAATATTGACAAAATATCTGAAAAAGGAAACTTTGTTGTTAGATCTGCTGTTAAAAAAAGAAGAAGAAAAGAGATTGATACAAATAGAAGTTCTTCCCCTAGAGGGAGCTTGTGAAACTGTTATTAAATTTGAACTGGGGAGCTTCGCAGCTGCAAACAGATTAAGATCGTGGGAACAGACTTCTGACCTTGCATAACAATGTATTCAGAGGCTCTGGTGCGTGCTTTCTGCAAGACAAGTGCTTTATTGGAACAGTTACATGAGAAGACGGATTTGATGACTGTTGCGATTAGAAATTTTGGACAGGTAGTGGGTATCTATATAGAGCCCACCCAGGAATCAACTCAGGAGTGTGCTCTGACAGATCAGATGAGGGAGGAGGTTGTTGCTGGACCTCGGGTGGCAGAGATGGAGGGAGCTGTGGCCCAACAGGAACATGAGTTGTTGGATCTGACAAATGAACTTGGAAAAAGCCAGATTTGGAGAGATAGAGTTTTATTTGGTTTGGAGATGGGAGGCTGGATAGACCCCCATATGCAGGGATGTCTTGACTTTTCAAGTCTGGCAATGGGCCGTGAGGAGTTTGGGGTTGTGGGGGTCCTCAACTCTGGAGGGACCTTGAAACATGCTTTTAAATACCACATGGAGTTCAGTGTGGACTATGGAAAAGGGGCTGATCTGTCGAGAAGGGACAAAAATACTGTCAAGTTGGAGTTTCCACGAGTGAAAGGACCAGGAGACAAAGTAAAGTACAGGTATAAAGATGAAGAAGATCTGCGGAAGGGACATGGAAGAGACTTAAGGGCCTCGGACATAAGATTACCAGGTTAATGAACTAGATGGATGGGATAGAAAGGACTGACAAAACCCAGGACCAGGAGGAAGAGACGTTGGATGAAGATTGGAAGAAAGTTTTAAAAAAAAATTATTTAGGATTGTTTTGTAAAATTAATGAGTATTAGAAAAATGTTGGAACGAAATTATTTGGCTTTAGCAGAAATGTTAAAAAGAACTATGCAAGAATATGTTATGGTTATGAGAAATTGGTATAAATAAGATTTAAGTTTTAAGTTTTAGGGTTTTTTATTGTAAGATAAGGTTAAAATAGATTAAGGTAATTTAATGACAGAATATTATGAAAAATGGAAAGGATTTGCTGTGATAATTAATAACTAGAATACAAAAAAGGGAGGTGTGAGGAGGTCGATGAAATAAGGTAATGACAGTTAAGGATTTGAGAATATTGGATTTGTTTTTAAATTTTTGTGGTTTACTTTTGCTTTTTGCTTTTTATCGATTTGTATTGTTTGATTGCTGTTTGTTTTTCCCTTGTTTTTTTTTCTTCTTTGTCTTTTTGTTTTTTCTGTAATTTTAAAATGCTTAATAAATATCATTTAAAAAAAAAACACAGAAGCAGCTGAATTTCCAGACTGGCTTTCACTTTAAGCCAGTAATAATTATTTAAGCAAATAATAATAATAATAAATTTATTCTTGGCTTAAAATGAAAGCCAGTCTGAAAATTCAGTTGCTTCTGATGCTGCTTCATTTTCTACCTTTATTATCACACTTCAGATTTCCAATTTCCCCACCTTTTGTTCACACTTTCTCCTACCTTCTGGGTACCACCTCCACATCAGCTTGTTTAAGTCCTTTAATTTTTCTTCCTGACACAAACAATGACCCATCTCTATATCAGACAACATTCGTTATGCTGAGAAGGTCCCCACAGCAGCTCCTGTCTTTCCCAGAAATAATCCAAGGCTTTGCCAATGTTATTACTTGTTGCAACAAATCTGTTTTACCCTAGCAAAACAAATTATTGTTTCCTTAGGAGACACATCTCTAAAATTAGTCTCAGGCCAAGAGAGTAAAGCCATTCATTTTATACAACCAAGTAGAATGAAGGAAATTATCTAGAGGCTCAGTTCTGAAAAAGAAGCCCACAATGTTTAATTTAAAGTATTCCAAAGCCAGTAAATTGATGGGGGAGAATCTAGCCATGAAACAAACACACACACATACACACACACACACACGCACACACACAGAGAGAGAGAGAGAGAGAGAGAGAGAGAGATTTGAAGAGGTCACTTTATCTCAACTCTACTTTCGCTTCTGTGAAATGGAGAAATGATGACATAATTTGAGGTTATTACCAGCTGAATTGCATCTGTTATTTCCCCTTTCCTTAAAGAATGCATGACATGAGATATTGAGGGGAAAGGACTGCAGAGACATGGAGTCGGGTTGATGCCCAGATTTCAGAAGTCTTCCAATCTCTTGAAGTTTAACCTACCCTCTGGGATGTGGTGCTTCCATTTCATGCTGACCTAGCATTTCACCCACAGCCACCAGGGCCAGGAAGAATTTCAGTTTTCAAAAAAAGGAAATCTTTCATCTGCCTTTGTGAAATGCAGTGAAGTTTGATGCTAAAAACAAGGATTCACTTTTCTTCCTCTTATTCATAAGCTCGCATGGTTCCTCAAGGTCATAAGAGGCCATAAGCTCTGTCTCCATGATGCAATATCATTTAGAAACGTAGCTATGCCTATAGGTTTGTCAATTCAGAGAGCACCTGAAACCATAGTTAGGAAAACCATGGTTTGCACTACCATGGTTTATTATTCTGGTTTACATTCCTGACTTAGTGATGATAGTACATTTCATGTCAATACCATATTGGATGGTTACTTGTTAGTTGAGGACATTTCAGTATCCTTGCTCACTAGAATACATAATAATATGATCATGACTCAAGACAGAGGGGAAATGATTTTTTGTGTACAGCTGGTAGAGCATGAGACTCTTAATCTCAAGGTTGTGGGTTTGAGCCCTACACTGGGCAAAAGCTTCCTGCATTGCAGGGGGTTGGACTAGATGACTCTTGTGGTCCCTCCCAACTCCACAATTCTAGGATTCTATCAATTTCATAGTGAATGTGTTAGACAGACCATGCTTGCTGCACGTGGATCACTTTGAAAGTGGGAATCAGCTGTGAATGTTATAATATCCCAGTACAAGAAATTAAGATAAATCCATATATTCTTTCTAGAATATATGGTTGGAAAAGACGGTACAAGGTCAGAGGCATATAAATTCACACTCGGAAACACGGCCAGCAAGCAACACTAACTGGGAGTTATTGTCACTTTGCAAGGACAATTGGGGAGAAACTTCCTCTTATTATGTCTTAAGGGAAGCAGCAGGAAGGAGGGAAGTGGATTAGAATTGATTTTTTTTTTTGTTTGTTCTTTTCAGCCTCTTCAGCTTCCTGATCTCTAATTACCTTTTAGGGTCAGCTGAAATATAGCTGCTCTTATGGATGTGAAACATTGTACCCATTCTCTCATCTGTTAAGAAGTGACTAATTTTGACTATATTGCCAAAGTTTAGAGAGATCAGGATTTCAGTTGTAGCACTCATGGGGCTTGTGCATACTATTTATTTATTACCATTTATTACCCACTCTCACCCTAAGGTCTCAGGGTAGGTTACAACAATTAAAACACACCATTAAAAACAGTTCAAAATGCTAATCATCATCATCAGTTCATCCATCCTAGCTGATTCTTAAATGGAGCCTTCTAAGAATAATTCCTAGACAGTGAAAAAATTGTGTTTATAGTGTGAAATAGTTGATGTGATGCACATACGCATATGGCATTCTTCTTAAGGTTGCCTGGCCAGCACTCTGCTCTGAACTTTGTTTTTAAAAACAACAGGGCAATCTCCTGACGGCTGGGAATCTCTTTCAAGCCTTTGGAATGTGATCTCCGTAAGAGCTTGGAGATGCTGACAGCCCTCCTGGCGACCTAAAGTAGCGCTAACGTGTCGTTTGCAGTGCAAACTTAAAGAGTTTTTGGAACACTTTAAGTCTCCAGTGCTCTTCCCTCATCCAAAAGGTGTTCCTGCCAATCAGAAGCAGGGTGCATAATAACAGTACCTATGTTCTTACCAGAGGCTCTAATTCCCTTTGGTCGACCAAGCTGAACTCGCTGATAAAGTAGTAAAAGTGCTTGTAGCAGGTGTTGACGTGAGCTTCGGCACCCATGCTGATGATGCTGTCAAAATGGTGGATGTAGACATGGACAAAGACTCTGAAGAGGCGGGTGAGGATCTTGGTGCAGACCTGCTGGAAGTTCTTGGGGAAAGGAACACCTGCAAGACACAAGGGATGGGGGTGGGGAGTGTTTAGAGCTTTCAACACTTCTGTGGGACATTAGGCTCTATATAGCGCCTTGCATTTGTGGATCCTTCCTTTTATTCTTATTTATTTATTTTTACATTTAGGCCTCAAGGTGCTCAAGGCAGCATGCATGATTATCCCCTCCCCATTTAACCTCACAACAGCCCTGTGAGGTAGGCTAGGCTGAGAGATGATGATTGGCATAAGGTCATCCGATGCACTTCATGGCTGAGTGGGGGGTTTGAACCCTAGTCTCCCAGGTCCTAGTCCAACACTCTAACCACTCCAACGCCCTGGCTTTCTTAAGGACAACAGCTATTGTGTTCTGGTGTGCACAACAGGGGTAGCTCAGTGGTAGCCTTCCAGATATTGGTAGACTACAGCTCCCTTCGTTCCTGGCCATTGATCTTGCTGGCTGGGGCTGATGGGAGCTACAGTCCAACAGCATCTAGAAACTACCATGTTGGCTACCCCTGGGAGGTAGCATGGCCCAGAGATGATTCCTCAAATAGTACAGAGATAGCTGATTTGGTTTGTTACCCACTTCCCTAAATTCCCTGGTACAGGCACATGTTTATGGCTTTTCAGTTCTGAAAAAATGTATTATACAGTGGTACCTCGGGTTACAAATGCTTCAGGTTACAAACACTTCAGGTTACAAACTCCGCTAACCTGGAAGTAGTACCTTGGGTTGAATACTTTGCCCTATGATGAGAACAGAAATTGTGTGCTGGTGGCAGCAGCAGGAGGCCCCATTAGCAAAAGCGTGCCTCAGGTTAAGAACGATTTCAGGTTAAAAACGGGCCTCCAGAACTAATTAAGTTCGTAACCTGAGGTCTCACTGTATAGGGCTTCAAAAACATCAGTAAGTGGTCCACCAAGACCCACAGCAATTTTATAGTGGTGCATAGAAGGGGACAAGGGGCGGGGAGTTTGGAAACCACTGCTTGAGTGTTTACTGAATACATGAAACCACACTAAACCTGCAGGGGGAGCTAGAGGATATCCTTAGCACTGAATGGAGCGGCACTCTGTTACCACTCTCATAAAAACAACTATATACAACTTGATCACAGTAATGGGAAACAGATTAAATGATCCACCACATGTGTTCCATTGTCATGCACACTGCACAGATGAAAAGACGAATAACCACAAACAATTAAGGGGTCTGACAGTTACATTTTATTTTCAAGCAGGTCTCAGCTCGTCCGTGTTTCCCACAAATGCATTCCAGAGTCTGAAGACAAGCCTAATGAACCAATTATGCACCTGATTTTAATGAAGTCTGGAGTTGTTGGCAGGATTCATAGACACGAAGTTGCACCTGCAATAAGACATGCAGGTTTCAGGTGCGCTAATGACTGGGAAGTCAACAAGTGCTGTTGTCGTGCTGTCTGGAGCTTAAAAGCTCTTTTTGCTGTGACTTGTAGAGTGGAAATAACTACAGCAGAATCACAGAACTACAAAAACCTTGAGACGGCTGCTCCAGGACACTCAGGGATTGTTCTTCCTCTTGAGAGTACAAATTGAAAGCACTTTGAATTAAAAGTGGAGAGTGCAAATGCTCATTTAAAGAATCAGAAAGGCTTCTTTTCATGCATCCACAGACCTCTTGTGAAAGATGGAAAGCAGTCATTCTGATGCTCTAGTTGCCATGAAAAAAGTCTAGTCAGGCTCTGTTGGTGTCCAGACAGTTTTCACATGTGCATACGCTGCTATAGGCACTAGATTTGAATACCAGACTAGTCTTGTCAAATTGTGGGCTCATAAAGTCCATATTACATCCTGGGGGATCAGTTTCTGGACAGTGTCTCTTTAAAATAGGCACACGCCCCCCACATGCTTGTGCCACTGCTACATGGCCTGCAGTCCCCAGCTTGATTTCTCTTACACTGTACAGTGTAAAGATGAAATAACAGCTGAACAGCACTTTGTATGCTGAAAATACACTGATGTGAGTAGCAGTTTGGAGACCTGACTTCTCAATGCTGCATGTCACTGCCATGGGGAGGGGCAAGGCAGCTCTGGCCACCCTCCCCTGCTGACCGCTATTGATTAACTCTAATCTCCATAGATAACAGTTTCCCCCCAATGAATGAATAATTATGCACAGTTGTGAAAAGTTATTCAAGTTTCAGAACTTTGTAGTGAGCTTTGGTACATCATTCTAGACTTCTCTATTCCAGTGAGAGCCCTTTCTGAGTTACATTGTGAACGCAAGAAGCAAACTGTCAACAGTAGACGAGCAGGCAGGAAGTGCCTGGCACGGTGGCTTGGATGCAGATAAAGGCTTCCCTCGAGCCAGGAAGTGCGGTGGAAATCTGATAAGCAAGACATCCTTTTTGATGTATGATGGTTCAAACCTCTTGATGGCTTGCTGGCCACCCACAACCATTCTGCTCAGGAAATTCAGCTAGTGGTTGACCAGCAAACTCCAGCTTCACCTGGAAGTTAATAGGTTTTCTAGATCCTGCCACCTGGTTGTTTGGCTAGATGTCATACTGAGATTGTGTTTTGGGGCGATGATTTCCATCATGAAATGAAGTTTCCCATAAGGGCAAAAAAAAATTTTTTTTTTAAAACTTGTTGAATTTCCTGCGGTGGTCCATCTAGCCCAGCACTCTGTTCTCCCAGTGGACAGCCAGATGCCCGTGAGTAACCTGCAAGCACAGGTACACTCTCTCTTCCTGTGGTTTCCATCACCTGTCTATTCAGAAGCATTACTGCCTCCTACCAGTGAGGCAGAGAATAGTCATTATGGCCTAGTAGCCACTGAGAACCTTATTCTCTGCGAAAGCTGGTTCTGTCTCACTGTCATCTCTGGTCAATCAGATTTTGTATACTTTTTTTAAAGCACCTGCAAAGAAAGATGATAATTGGATGAGTGTGCCTACAGTAGGGAGCAATGCCTCCATCATATCATATCTGAAAGAAACTATTGTCCGTCTACCACCATGTTTGCACATGGAACAGGGTAACAGAATGGTACTGGTTGGATGGGGAGTTCTCTTTCGGAGACAGATGCTTTCACACAGCATGACTTAACCCAACAAGGAAATAATGAGAAGTGGTGTATTAATGCATTATAAATGAGAGGCATTAAGAGCAAATAAATTACAGGACAGAATGTTAAAGGATTTGTCTCTCCAAGCCAAGATTTTGTCCCCCCAATGCGTTCAAATGAAGCCTGGTAATGGGATTCCTTGTTATTAATCACTACAAAGTAATTGTAGGAATTAGCAATTATCCAAAACAACGGCACATATACAGTGAATTTTTTTTCCAAACCCCATGAGACATGGGCATTGTTAACAGCCTCTCTTTATGAATGTGTGTGTGTTTTAAACCAGCACTTAATGGCAATGGTACAAGAACAGCTGCACATTGTTGCACGGCATTAATTCTGAAAGGAGACGGGGTGGCAATAACACAAGCAAGCCTTGACAAAACCAGCCAGCTGCAAAAACAACTAGAAACATGCTGTGTCAAAGTGGCTACAACGGGAGAATAACCCAAAAGGCATCATATTATCCTTCCCCCACACCACACACAAATCCTTTGCCTTCTTTGCAAAAGGGCCTCGGGGACTGAAAATGGAAACTGCAAATAGTCAACAGTACAATGCAATCCTAGGCAGGTGGATTCAAAAGTAAGGATGGTATTCAAATAAGTTTTACTCACAGTAAGTAAAGGTAAAGGGACCCCTGACCGTTCGTGGACAACTCGGGGGTTGCGGCGCTCATCTTGCTTTACTGGCCGAGGGAGCAAGGACCGAACAACGGGAGCTCACCCTGCCACAGGGATTTGAATCGCCGACCTTCTGACCGGGAAGCCCTAGGTTCTGTGCCACCCGCGTCCCTTACTCATGGTAGGCCCATTTAAATGAATGAACATGACTAAGCTATGTAGGTCCATTCATTTCAATAGTATGGGATTCAACATCATGTTTTTGTGGAAACCATCACATAGTCACATCCCACAACGTGCAGGAGGATTACAACAATGCAAATGAGCCCTGCACAGTTGCTTCATTTTAGGATGACCCATAGCAACACCTTGCTATCATTTGAAAAACGCCTGTTCCCACAGCTTGCAGTAGGCAGAGCAAAATTGCCCTACACTATCACTTCACCTTACAATGACCATATAGGCAATATTGTATTAATATTTGAAAAAATGAGATTGCACATGGGCCAAAACTAGATTAATAGTTCCACGGTAAGTTCAATGAACTTTCCTATTTATGTATTTATTCACTGCTTGCATGTATATCCCATCTTTTTCTCCAAGGAGCTCAAGGTGACATACATGGTACTCCCCCTCCTCATTTGATCCCCACAAGAACCCTGCCAGGTAGGCTGAGAGGCAGTGACTGGCCCAAGGTCATCCAATGAGCTTCATGGCTGAGTGGAGATTTGAACCCTGGCCTCCGGGGTCCTACCAAATAAGTGAACACAGGACTGTAGCCTTAAGGGCAGTAGGGAGTGCAGTACAGGCTCTTGGTGGCAGCACCAAGCCTTGCACCTGCCTTGTATCTTTAGACAGAATTAATAGGGGCCCTGGCTCAATTGGCAGATCATATGCTTTGCGTGAAGAAGGCTCAATCTCTGGCATCTCCAGTTAAAAGGATCAGTTGCATATATGGGAAAGACTAGTAGGAGACAGTGTGGTGGGGACACCACTGCCCTCACCTGACCGCTGATCGGTTGTGCTGGTCTGCTAGGAGGTGAAGGGGGAGGTGGCAGTTAAGGTCAGTGAATTGAGAACACACCAACCGAGCCAATCACACCAGTGCATTTGCATTGTGTCACTGACCTCACTGCCCCCCCTGCCCCTCCCCGTCCTGGTGAGCAGCAGCAATGTGACCAACCAGAGGCCAGATGAGCAGCAACGCCTGAGAGCCATGGCCAATTGACAGTACAGCGGTACCTTGGTTTTCAAACTTAATCCGTTCCAGAAGTCTGTTCCAAAACCAAAGCGTTCCAAAGCCAAGGCGCACTTTCCCATAGAAAGTAATGCAAAATGGATCAATCCATTCTAGACTTTTAAAAACAACCCCTAAAACAGCAACTTAACATGAATTTTACTATTTAACAAGACCACTGATTCATAAATTGAAAGCAATAAACAATGTACTGCAGTCACACAATCAATCAATCAATCAGTAGCTGAACTGGGTTCCACACAGTCACAAAAACAAACAAAAAAGAGCTGCAAAAACGAAAACGCAAAATAAATAGAAAAAAACAGACAGACCTCAGCTTAACACTCAAAATGGAAGTGTGGCACTCAAAATGGAGCATGTTCAGCTTCCGAAAAAAGTTTGCAAACCAAAACACTTAAACTTCCGGGTTTGCAGTGTTTGGGTTCCAAGTTGTTTGAGTACCAAGGTGTTTGAGAACCAAGGTACCACTTTATTTTGAACTGGATGGACAAAGAGTCTGACCCTGAATATGGCAGCTTCCTATGCAGCACCTATTGCCTACTCACCTATCCTGGTAGGAAATATGTCCTCATTATTAATTAAGGTCTCGATCCAGTCCATCAGCATGCACATATATTGGGGCGCCGACAGCTTGGTGGGCCTCTTGTAGCGGTAGTCATCCTGCCACCGGTACTCATACTTGAGGCCACCCGACATGATGGGGCAGCTCTTCTCGGTACAGAATTCTGACATGGTCCCATAGATGAGATTTATCCTGTTGAAGAAGTCCACAAGGTGCACCGCGATCCAGTCGTTGATGTTCTCTCCTGGGGGAAGCTGGACCACAGCTTTCAGGTCGAGTCCCGATTTCAGAGAGGCTTGAGCTTTCTTGTGCAGCTCAAAACGCTGGGTCCCCGGCTCAAATTTCTTCCGGGGGCGGAAGGTTTTGTCTTTGTTGAAAACTTGCTTAAGGCACAAAGCCATTCTGGGCTGGAACCAGCCAGGGTGATGACAAGGAGGACCAGTCTTTCCAAAGGACAATAAAAAAGAAAAAAATCAGGATGGTTCCTAAAAGATAAAATGGACACAAAGTTTTTAAGTCAGTTGTTTTACAATATACACCTTGGTTACAGTGTTCAAAACTTCCATTGTTCCAGGCACATTTTGCAACAGGGAATTTCATTAATGCAAGCAGTTTCTAAGCTCTGGGCGCAGTACTGTGCCTAAGATTTCAGATTAAAACTGCTGAGTGGAAGAAAAGGAGGACCTTTTCCTGCCTCCCCACTTCCAGCTACTCTCTGAAGACTGGAGAAGAGACCCACTTAGGGTGAGCAGATGAAAAACTAGACCATGTGAAAAATGAACATAATATTTTAGCTGCAGTTCATTCATTTTCAGCTTTGTATTCTTGTTATAAAAAGTATGCACCCATAACCTAGGTTTAAGGTGGCATTTAGCTCCTAACTTTCATAACTCAGTTTCTAACACTGCTTGGTTAGGTCAGGTCTTCAATTCAGGCAAAAACAACCACCACCAGATGCATTCTGGAATAAATTTGCATCCTCACATCTACTGTAGCATCTACACCAGGTTTCAGAAATCTTTATGGGCCTTTGGACACATTTGCAGACTGGATTATGGGTATCACTCTCCCTCCCCTCCCCCCCCCCCCATAAACACACAACAGACAAGCCACTCAAAAAACCTATTCTATTTGATACAGCATACTGCTTCTTTCCAGCCTAATTTCAGTGTGTGCTCAAGGACTCCACACTGGCAGCCCCTTGTCTACACAATCTCTCAGTGCCCACCATTTTGCCCATCTCTATCTCCCATTTTCATCACTCTGGAAAAATGATTGGCAGAAGTGCTCTAGCCTGATGTAAAATCCTTCTAAAGGAATAATAAGGAAGGATGCCGTATAGATAACTTGCTGCCAACCATGGACATTACTTATTTCATAAATGGTTCCCAATGAGGTATCAATTCACAATACGAATGTACATGCTTTATAACTCCAATGCTTGTTAAACGATCAAGCCCCAGTGCTATTGGCAGCTCAGGCCATCAAGCCAAGCAGGTTGCACAACACCATTCTTAGTGAGACTTTCTGAAACTGTGCAGAGATTAAAAAAATAAATAAAAATTCCAGCCATAGAAATGGCAAGGCAAACTACTGCTCAACTTGCTAAGGGGCTACTGATGGGGTCAACATAAATATTGCAGTCCTTCTCATAAAATTCACACTTCTCCTAGACCTACAGAGATAGGCTGTCTTCAGCCTCCACAATTCTCTGGGTTGTGTTTCTGAACCAAATATTTGCCATGCCCCAGCCCTTGCCTCACCAGAAGCAGAATCCTTACTCTTCAGTTATTTGTGCTCCAATATGATTAGAGAATGAAAACTGGAAAACGCTCTTATTATTTATACGCCATTGCCAAGAAGTTCTTTTAAAGAAGAAAAGAATATCAAAGTGACACCTCAAGGCATATTCTAAAAATACATCTGTCCTTCTGGAGGGAAGGGGGGGCAGTTTCCTCAGCAGCTGTGCCATTTCCAGCCCTAGAAGAAAACATTCCTTTTGCTTCGTCACTGGTGTGGCCGTTCAGTCCACATCTACTGGGAATACAGATGTTTGGCAGTTCACATCATTTTGTGGCTCTTGTTTCATAATGCTCCTTTTGCAGTGAAGGATATTTAAAAAGACCCTGGGGCTTCAGCTTCAAGTTCAATGGGTCCCAGGGGAGGAAGCAAAAAAGTTCTGAGCCATGGGAAGTCTCTTAAGCATAAAGGCCAGCAGGCACTGCTTTTGTGCAGCTGCCATTCAGCTGTGAAGAAGCCACTACGCTTAGGCACACCACAGCTTAAAATGATGCAGTACATGCCTAATACTGGCAGCACTGCACAGTCATCTGGGGGAAAGGATCCATCTCTTCTTTAAAAAAAAATAAAAAAATTACAGTGGTACCTTGGTTGTCAAATGGCTTGGCTCTCGCACAAATTGACTCCTGAATGCCACAAACCCAGAAGTATGTTAGCAAATCAGAAGCCGCATCTTGGTTTTCGAACAGTTCTGGGAGTCGAACAGACTCCCAGAATGGATTAAGTTTGACAAGCAAGGTACCACTGTATTTGAGACAAATATCAAAACACACAGAAGTTGAAACATACGCTCTGTGGGTTGTATCTAACAAAGCTGTACAACAGAACTTCCCCTCCCTTTTCCCTCTTCACGACACCGCAGGTCCTCAAAGAAAGTACCACACGGGGCATGGAGTATGGAACTCGCTCCCACCAGAGGCCGTGATGGCCAGCAACATGGATGGCTTTAACACAGAATTAGATAAAATCATGGAGGACAAGGCTACTGACCCTGAAGGCTAAGTTCTACTTCCACTGTTTCTGAATGCCAGTTGCTGATAACTACAGGAGGGGGAGAATGCAGTTGTGATCAGGTCTTGCTGGCTGGCTGCTCATGGACCTCTGCTTCAGTGCTGCGACAACACGATGCTGGACGAGATGCCTTACTGGCCTGAACCAGCAAGCTCTTCTTAAATCTGCTCTGGGGGTCCTCCTCAGCCCTCCGGAGCAGATTTGGTGTGTGCAGAGGGCACACAGGGGGAAGGAGAGGAATTTCCATAGCTCAGTTGGATGCCGTTCTGCTCATGCAATTACTTCGTTGAATTCATCCCTATATAAAAGCCACCTTCCTGTAAAACCCATCTACAAAAGACTGAAAAATTATTCCTTGTATCGGGGTTTAACCATTCAACTAGTGTCAAAGAGTTCTTTATAAAAACAACTACTGGGCTCCATTTTTCGCCAATGCCTTCAGATGCATATGAAGGTTTATGGAACACTGTTCATTTGACTAATAAAATAACATTCCATAATTTCTCCCACCATTCTGGTTTCGGAGGTACCACCACGCAGGACTCCTCCTGTGATCATATGTTGACAACCATGTGCAAGCTGTTAATCTTCGGTTTCCCCTTAAAAATAATAACAGAGGCCTGGTGCTTTCCTGGCTGCTATCCATAGATCATTTGAAGGGAAAGCCATTTCAGCACGTAGACACTGTTTACGATGTGCGTGTGTTATGTATCTTGTACCTGAGGGATAAGCCTCTCCTCATGTTCTGTCATTCCGCAGAAGATTTTCATTGTGTTTCAGTAACAAAACTTCAGGTCCTCTTCAGTTCAGGCATTATCTTGTGCACGCAGATCTGCATCCAGCACATCAGCACAGCGGAGAGCTGTCAAGCATCAGCTAAGGCATTTATCTGGGGAAGCACATGGGCCCCCAACACTTGCTTCCCTGCCGCTGCTTCACGACTGTTCTTCATTCTGTGCACATTTTGAACACTATTTTTAGCATTGTTTTGGTGGGGAAATAAGTTCTGCATTCCCACAGTCTCTCAGATTCAGTAAAGGCAAAAGTTATGTAGGATACTTTCACAAGCTGCTTTTAAAGAATGCAAAGGTTTCGTAAGCAGTAGTGGTGCTTCACACATGACACTGTTCTTACATTAAGGGTAGGGAAACTGTGACCCTCCAGATATTTAAGTCCAGAGTCTAAAATTAACTTAACTTGCCCTCCTATATACTACTTCAAAACAGAATGAGGTAGAAAGGGTATCCTGGACACAGTCTACAGCTACTTGAGTCTCTGTCAAAGAGCCGCAAGACAAAATGAGCTTGTCATCTCAGTCCTGCCTTTTCAGGTTTGCTTCCCAGCCAGCCAAGTGCTGGATGACATTTTGGTCCTGTCATATAACACTATGGCTACCAAACCTGGAATGTTTTGCTTTGGAAGCTGATAATCATGATGCCAGCACCAAATCTTTATACTCCCAAAATCTCCACATTTACTGTTCCCCCAAAAAAGAAGCAATATCTTTACTCTAAATCCTCAACTGACTCAAGTTAAGCCACTACTCCCTCATTAAAATGCCACTAGAGCCTCAAAGTGTATATTATACACATGCACAGAACAACATATGTTTTCAGAAAGACACAAATTTAATGGAACTTGGACAGAGAAATCCTATACTTAGGTCCTGCTGTGTCCTGCTTCTGAAAGGAATTTGATTGGCCACTGTGGATACAGGATCTGGTCTGAACCAGCAGGCTATTCTTATGCTCTTAGATGTGTCCCTACTATGGTGTGATAATAGCCACTGTATCCAATGTGTTCTCAGTACGAGAGGCGGGAAATACAAAACCAGAAAATACAAAGAAGAAAAATGTAAAAATGACCATGGGATATCTTGTGTTCTGCTAGCACAGTGGGGTTTCTGGCAGATTCTGAAGCCCTTCAAGTGTCTTGGGTCTATATTTGTACCCTAAATGCATCATTTTGGCGCATTCGTTAAGCACTTACTACTATACAATACTAGCCTTTTTTTAAAAAAAAAAAATGTCACTTGGAAATTTCTCCTTTGATCTTTTCTGCAGCTGCCAGATAATGAGAATGTATTTAAGAATAAAAATATATTCTCATGTGGGGTGGACAATGCAGCCAGCTGAACACTTTGAAAACCCCAACATCTGAAGACTGAATCACACAATTGATTTCCTTCCCACTTTGTAACAATCTCTGCAATCCTTCATGCTGAGGGCCAGAACAGATGCGAGATGTGTGGAGGTGGTTGTTTTCTAAAAGAGAAACTTTAAAGCATCCATTGGAGGCTCTGGTATTGACCAGAACAATGGCTCTGGCAGTGCTTAACCCCTTCTGTGCTTTTAAAGCTGTTTTTAACCCCACTGGGGAGAAATCCAGTTACATGAACTCAACTTTATTGTTAAAGGTACCAGCGTGCTTTTGAATCATGAGGTGCTGTGTAAAGAGCCATTGTCGTCTGTCTTGCTATTCTGTGGTGGGGCCTGAGTGCAACAAATATTGTTCCCTTCCACACTGACTCTCCACCAACTGAGTCAATAGAGTTCAAAGCGAAGATAGCTTGCTCGATTGTGTTCTTTCTTGTTCTGAGACCAGCAACCACAGTAAACAGAGGTACATGGTTAAGATTCTCTGACTGGGCCTTAGCGCTCCTGTAAATCTTAGAGTTGTGTGCCAGCTCCATACACCACACATGTCTCCATCCAGGCAGGCAAGAAGCATTATCAGAGCTCAATAACATTTTCCAAGAAGGCATAGGGCTGTGGCCTGAGGAGAGTTCAGAGGGCCAAAGAGAGGCATTTCTCGTATGGATACATCTCACATCCCCTACAATTCCAAGCCATTACAGTCCACACAAGGTAGCTGAACTCCATTGCCTTTCATGCTGCCCAAATGTGGCCTCCAAGAGTGTTCGAAATTCGCCAGGCGCATTTTGCACCTGGTTATCGGCCACTTGCAACCAAGTGAAGATGCCTGGGTACCAGGATGGCCCCTGATGGCTCCACCATCTGGAGGTGTATGCCTGGGGATCCTTGGATCTTGACTGTTTTCGCACACTAGCAGCACATCCTGTAGAATTTATCCCCTGTATTTTATCTGCACACCAGAATGAACTTCAGTAACCAAAAAGTTGTATTGAAAAATACGACTTTCAAGCCATCTGCCCCCAAAATGGCAATGAGGCATTACATTCTGGCAACTATAACCCTGGTTTAATAATAATAATAATAAATAAATAAATAAATAAATAATTTATTATTTATACCCCGCCCATCTGGCTGGGTTTCCCCAGTCACTCTGGGCGGCTTACAACAAATTATTAAAATATAGTAGTCCATCAAACATTAAAAGCTTCCCTAAACAGGGCTGCCTTCAGATGTCTTCTAAAAATCTGGTAGTTGTTGTTCACTTTGACATCTGGTGGGAGGGTGTTCCACAGGGTGGGTGCCACTACCAAGAAGGCCCTCTGCCTGGTTCCCTGTAACTTGGCTTCTCGCAGTGAGGGAATCACCAGAAGGCCCTCGGGGCTGGACCTCCATGTCCGGGTAGAATGATAGGGGTGGAGATGCTCCTTAAAGAGCCATTTGGTGCTTAGCTTATATATCTGAATTTCTAACCCTGCCTGCAACCCAATTTCAGATGAACTGTGCCTTATAGTTGAAGCTAGAAGTGAAACCAGGGCCTTGGCTGTCAAGAGCCATGATCAGAGAGCAGGAAGAGGCAGACTCAGTAGTTGTCTCAGAACTGAGCCTCTGGTTAGCAGGACACTCATCTCCATAGCTGCACTGCAGACGGAGAGCCACAGATGCCTGTGATTCACTTCCCCTTCCTCTCCAAAACCTCCATGCCCAGGGCCGCCTCTTCCACGTTAACTGTCCACTTCCCCTGTAATTTCTCAGATGCACACTCTCAATCCCCTTTCCAGTCATCACCATAACATTCCAAACTCTGCAGAAAGTAGAAGTAGATTAACTCTTTGAATGAGTAGCCGTAAGTAAGTTGTTCAGCCTTCAGTGGAGCTTACTTCCTGATAAATGTGACTAGGAGCGCTGTCTTAGAATGGCAGACCCAGATAAAATTAAGCATGCTCATCAAATTTCACTATTCATCACAGTACTTCAGAACACAGCCAGTCAGACGATTCTTCCATCTAGCTCAGGATTGTCTCAATCAGAGACAGACAACATCTAGATGTTGTTCGACTAGAACACCCATCATCTCTCCTGGGGCTGAAGGAAGTTGTACAGCAACAACCTCTGGAGGGTACCGCATTGCGTAACCCTGGTCTATACAGACTGGCAGTGTCTCTCAAGGGTTTTAGAGAAGGTGGGGGTTTTTTTGTTTTTTGCTATCTGGAGATTCCAGACAGGGCTGACTCTGGGCTGGATAGTGCCCAATTGTGGGCCTTGTGGCATGGTTCTGTTCTACAGCCAGCCTGTAGGACCTAAAGATCTATCACTTGGCTTCTGTATCACAGAGGTGGACAAACCATGTTGCTCCCAGCAAGTCTGAATTCACAAGGTCAGTAAAGAAGATTGTCAATCAGTAAAGCTGGACCACTCTGGACCATGCTTTGACAGCCCCCATCTCCTTGACATTGAAACACCAATTGCTTCATTTGCTACCCCAACACACACACAAAAGGTGTTACTTGGTATAATAACATTGATTAATATGAGTATGTATTTAAGCAATACCAGATTGTTTCCAACAATTCTAGACATCTAAAAAAATAAAATACTTGAATTCATCTTTGCCGTCTGATGAAGCAAGAATAATGATTAATAGGATGTAATCATATCAGACTACTCATTGTAATGAGTTGGTACAGTCAAGGCCCATGCATACCTGTGTGGAATGCATACCGGGCATCCATTTTAATCGTTAGGATTTGCCTTGTACTTGAACCCCATAGCAGGAAGGGAGCAGGAAGCAAAAAATGAGTATACCAATACAGTATGGTGTAAAAACAATCTGAAACCTGTTTGGGGCACTGCAGTTAGTCTGTAGTAAAACAAGTTCAGACATTAAGATTGGGCTACTTTCAGCACAAGCTACTGGGGTAAATGATAGACTGCTATTCTGACAGGCAATTCCCATCTCCTGACCTTATCCTTGACTTTATCAAGTATTTTAATATTTGCATGTAGACTAAAGAAAATGCCCCCAATGCCTATGGCGAGCTGCTGTTGAGAAACTGGCTCTGCTTTCACTTTATCTGCCAGGCAGATAGCAGTACATTGTTCATGGTCACTGCACTACACATCTCTTTTACAGACATTTGCTGAGGTGTGCACTTTATCTAGTTCACAAGTCTTATGTGCAGCTCTCCCTTCCATAAACATCTGGCTGACATGGGAGCATTAGATGGATTTTTATAGATTCCGGGCAAGCGGATTAAGGGCAGAATTCACACAGCCATCTTTTATCCTACATCAACTTCCATCTAATTGGACTGAGTAAAAAACTGCTAATACAAGTGAGCTGCAATGGTTTTCTTCTCACGTTAATTCTGTTCCCATGAATAGAGAAAAGGCATGTCAAATGATAAAAGATTATCACTTGGTAACTGCTCTCTTAAGAAGAACAGGCCTTCTGTGTAATCAAGAATGGTAAGGCTAGGAGAAGGTCCATAGCTCAGTGATAAAACATCTGCTTTGCATGCCAAAGGTCCCAGGTTCAATCCCTGGCATCTCCAGGTAAAGTTGGGAAAGGCTTTTAGTCTGAAACCCTGGAGAGCCACTGCCAGCCAGTGTCGGCAATACTGAACTAGATAGGCCAATGGTCCAACTCAGTATTAGACAGATTTTTAAAATTATAAATATAAAAACAGTTGGAAGCAAGAGCACACACACAAAATCAATTCAAATTCAACTGGGATATAGATTTTAGAAGGCTTGTTGGAAGATTAATGCCTTTAGCAGTAAAGGTCCACGGCATGAAAGATTCCAGAAGACAAATATCAAGTCCTAAGAGCATAATATCAAATAGAGTTGCTGATCAAATACTGTCCAGCTCCAAAGATCAAACGACATCTGTGGAATACCAAGCTCCAAAAAGTTCTCAGATACTGTATTAACATCAGCTATTTAATACGACTACACAATAACTATTCTGCTATTTAAATATCAATTGCCAACGGCTCTCAAATGTTGAAACTGACTATTCTATACAGAAATAAAATATATTAACGCTGAATATTTAGCAAATCTTCGATATAAATATTGACAAATGAGGATGTAGCAGAGGATTGAGGGATTCCAAGTGTTCCCCCGAATTCTTATTATAATTAATTTTGTATACTTCCCTTCACCTGAAGATCACAGGGCAGTTCAGAACTATTCATGATGTAAAACTCACTCTCAAGCATTTGCTTTCCAGAGACCACCTTTTCAGCTATCTAAATATTATGGAAAATTCCAGAGTTTGGTCCAAGGAAATGGCTGTAAAAAGAGGTCATTGGCTGGTGTGTGTGTGTGTGTGTGTGTGTGTGTGTGTGGAGGGAGGGAGAAAAACAGAGACACAGAGAGATTGCAGAGTATAGGGCAGTCTACTTGCCTGACAGGAAGTCTTGAGAAAGGAACTGCAGGAAAATGCAGTTATTCATGGCAAAGAGCAAAGCTGCGAGAGAGCCCCACAGCAAATGGACAGAGAGTGTTGAAAACACCTTTGTCATGGCCTTCATGTTTGGATTTGGTTCCCAGATGGTTCTGACACTGGAACTAATGCGGAGCTGTTCACAATCAGCTGTCCTGGGAAAACTTGTTTTCATGTGTGCTTTCCCTAACAAGCAAATAGCAGCTTTGGGTTATCAGCAGGAAAATGATAAGGAGGGTGGCACTGAAGTTCCCTCCCCCCCCCCAGTGTAATAGTTCTAAGACAGTTGGATGGTGTCTTGTACACTTCCTTCCGCCAAGCTGATGCTAAAAGTATTGCTCTGTTTTCCAATGGACCACATCAGTGAGGCTGGGGGGGGGGGCGGTTATCCAGGCAGCCCATGACCTCCATGCACGCTGCCCAGGCTTGCACCCTAAATAGGTCACTTCGGTGCTAGTAACTCAGCAAAAACAACACAGGAGGCAGCAGTTGTGAGTTACTGGTCTTTGCAGCTACAGCAGGTGCTGTGATTCTTCAGCGGGTTGACTTGAGCCCCAAAGCTGCACTCAAATTTTTTCTGAAAACAGACAGATGCCAACAGCGGGCTCTGATTCCCCAATAGTAAAATTCTGCACATGACCAGAGGCACTGTTATGATAGGTCTTAGCCACTGTATACAAAAAAGATTAAGGGATTGAGCCCTGGCATACAGGAGAAATAGGTAAGCTAGGATAGATTTTTGCCACCTTCACCAGCCTCACAATTATGGGGACCAAGGAAGGGGTGAACAAAGGCACGCACAACGCATCTCCCCTCCCAGGTGTGGCCTACCTTTGCTTTGCCCAACCTGATGCCCTCAAGATGTTGTTGGACTACACTTGCCACCCCTGGTTATTGGCCACGCTGACTGGGGCTGATGGGAACTGTAGTGTGAAACATCTGGTTGGCACCAGGTTAGGGAAGACCGTTTGAAGTGTCTGCTGCAACACTTCAGCAAATTCATGACATCCCTGAAGCCTGAACTGGCAGTGTTACAGGGCCCACATAATACCCACTCTGAATTTGTAAGAACTTGATATTTTAGTGGGGCAGCAACAACACTATTCATATCAGGCAGGTGAATTCTTTCTGGCTGCTGTTAAAAACATTTTTGTTTAGACAAGCCTACCGGCTGTTTAGAAAATAACTTTCTTATTGTTAACTTTTCTAAAGTCTTAAATTACTGCAGTTACTTTTCCTTAGTGATAATTTTATTATATTAACTTTTTTAGTTTTGTTTTGAAATCAAGCAGTGTACAGATAACTTGCAGCTTGCACACATTAAACTTGTGTGTGTTCAGCTTCATGTCCTTGGATAAATATATGGTGACAAAAAGAGGACAGACATTGGGGGGGCACTTTGGCAATCCCACCCACCTAATGTGTTTTGCCTATGCACGATTTTGGCTTTATGCGCTATCTCTGGAACCTAACCCTGACATAAGTTGAGAGTTGCCTGCATAAATTCCATGAACTAAAATAATTAAAAGAAAACCTTGAGAATAGTGACTGGAGATTAGGAAATTATAAATCCAGGGGGCACACAGTCACAGCGTGCCATCTCAGCCAGCCTATTCTCTGCCTCAAACGCAGAGGCACCAGTTCTCAGTCCGCACAATTACGTGCTGATTCAACCCGTCTACCTACCAGGATGGTCGGGCACTGCGCTCTCCCGTTTCCTTGGTGCCGTTGCCAAGCGGCAACTGGCAGGCCTCCAGCGCCAACAAGCGCCCCCCGCCGCCCCCCCGCCCGGAATAGCGCTGACAAAGTTGCTCCTGGATGTTTTCTGCTCCAGAAAACCGCTCTGCTCCCATTTGTTTCTCTCGCCAGCAACCAGCTCCTCCGGCAGCCGTGAGCCTCTCTTGCAAATATTTGCAAACGCCTTCTCGAGCCATTTCCCCCACTCACCGGGGTTGAAAAGTTCAGAAACTCCAGGGCTGCGAAAGGTTCCAAGAGAGTGGCTTGGCCTGGAGCTTTGCCACGCGCCGATCCAACTTCTTAGTGAAACGGGGCAGAGGGGGAGGAAGAGATACTCACCGCCTCCTGCGCAGCCGAGCCGAATAAAAGTTGCTCCCTCTGGAGCCAAGGAGAGGGATCCCTGCCGCCCTCCTTAAAAGTGCCCGCGGCTTATCAAGAGCGCTGCAGTGAAGGATCCCACGCAAAGAACCTTGGCTGGAGGAGTTTTCATTAAAGAAACTTCGGGGCTTTTTCTCTCTCCGCGTTAGTGATGTCACATCCTGACGGTGTCCATAGAAGAGTACAGCTGTCCTTGCAAGCAGCAGCGTGCCAGCCCTTTCTTTCAGCCTCCCGGGCTACCCTCCCTAACTCGCTCCGGGAGTGGGGGCTGCTACTCGCTCTCCCTCTCTCTGAGTGCAATCAAAACTTTTTCTTTTCTTTTCCTTTCTTTTTACTTTTCTCCATTTTCTCTCCCCCTTATCCTTTCTTTCTCTTTCTTTTTCTCCTTTTTTCTTCTTTCTCCCCGCCCCCTTTCTTGGCTCCCGATTAAACGGGAGTTTTAGGTCCCATGAAAATTCCCCGTAGCCAAAGATTGGGGGTGGGGGAACGTCGCAGCGTAATTCAGATTTCTGCCCTGACTCCTCCTGCTCTTCACAAGTGCCAGCCCAAGAGAATGAATTTGGCCTTCCCTGGACACTCGAGAAATAGCCAGTGTTATCTGGCAGCCAAAGAAAGCAAATAAATGACCCAAGTCCAAGTTTTCCTGCCATCTCAGGAGACAAGAGCATTCCTTGCAAGGCGGGGTTGGGGGAGAGAATCATGTGGAGGAGTTGGCAAAAGGCATGTGCTGAGCTCACTGGCTGTGTAGGCATTTAAAATGCAGCTAAGTCACTGTTTTCTCAGTTTGAACTACAGCTGGTTTTGGAGGAAATGCAATATTTCGTAAGATGCAACAGAAGAGATATGAATTACAGCTAACAGTGTGTGTACATCACTTCTCAAAGGAGTAGCAGGAGCGTACTGGATTCAGAGTCCATGGGACTTTGGACACAGCCACCGATAACAGAGTGAAGGATTGAGGATATGCATGAATTTGTCACATATAAAAGTGACTTTGATTCTCCCTTGTGATGCTTCTGTGCATGCTCATATAGTTTAAATATAGAAAAGTGCTGCTGTGTACAGTAGTCAGACAACTGGCATTCTGAAGTAGGCCACCTCTAACCATGGAGGAAGAGCACAGCTATCATGTCTAGTAGCCACAGATAGCCTTATCCATGAATTTGCCTAATCCTCTTTTAAAGGCATCTAAGTTGGTGGCCATCATTGGAAGCAAGTTCCACACTTTAAGTCTGCTCTGTGTGAAGAAGGTAAAGGTAAATGACCCCTGGACGGCTAAGTCCAGTCAAAGGTGACTATGGGGTTGTGGCACTCATCTTGCTTTCAGGCCGAGGAAGCCGGCGTTTGTCCACAGACAGCTTTCCAGGTCATGTGGCCAACATGACTAAACTGCTTCTGGCGCAACAGAACACCATGATGGAAGCCAGAGTGCATGGAAACACTGTTTACCTTTCGCCGCAGCTGTACCTATTTGTTTACTTGCATTGGTGTGCTTTCGAACTGCTAGGTTGGCAGGAGCAGGGACCGAGCAACGGGAGCTCACCCGTCGCAGGATCCGAACTGCCGACCTTCTGATCAGCAAGCCCAAGAGGCTCAGTGGTTTTTCAGTCCTGAATGCTCCAACATTCCGTTTCATTGGATGTCCACGGAGTCTAGTGTAATGAGAGGGGGAAAATGTTCCCCCACCCACTTTATCGACACTGCATAATTTTATACACTTCTATCATGTCTCCACTTGCTTGCTTTTAATTTAAAATTTAATTTAATTTAAAAAGTGCCAAATGCTGCAACCAACAATGCTGAACTATATTGTTGTTGGACTACAACTCCCATCATCCCATTGGTCATGTTGGCTGGCGCTGGAAGCAGATAGAGCCCAGAGGGATTCAGGTTCCCCATCCCTGGGCGACACAGGGCGTCGGCTGCTCCTCACTTCAGATGGGAGTGAATCCTAGTTTGTCTTGGAAGTGTCAAAGACTGAAGCTGGGGCCTTCTGCATCCAAAGCAGGTGTGCTACAACTCTGCTACAGCCCTTTCCTTCATATGGAACAAAAAGTCCAAAAATCAAATGCACTTTCTACACAAAATGAGGTTGTGTGTATATGTGTGAAAATAAGACACACCAGAGACTTGCAACTAGTATTCCTCTAAAAACAACATTTGAGCTGTCTTTCATTAGGTGTGTTCAGCTTGAAAGGACTGTGGCACCAGGGACTTGTATGTGTGAATGAGGATGGAGCTGGTCCACCCCTTTTTATCATAATGCATGCCACAACCCATGCCATGTATGGAGTGATCACACTGCAGCACACATTGTGTTGTAGAACATGCTACCAGAAAGCAAAGGAAAGAGCCTTGTGGTCACTCCCAGGCATTCTACTCATTGAGCATTTATCCTGAAGAGTTTGCACAAAGTTTATAGGGAGGTTACACAGTGTTAGCTGTTTGCCAAGCATTCATTCTGAATTGTTATATAATTTGTTTGGAGAGAGTTGATATGGCATTGGACTGAGCAATTGTTATCTCCTAATTTCCAAGGCCTTTCTCCATCACTTTCCTTACTGTCAAGTCTGGTTTTGTTTTGCTTTTGTTGTTTGGAGGTTTTATTATGCAAGAGCTCCAAGTCCACTTTAACTGCGCAAACTGAATTTACAAGGATGTAACTGGATCCCACTTACGAAAGAGCGGCAGCCTGGAAGCATCTTTAGCCAAGCAACACCTGTGTGCCTTTCAGTGCCAAACGACAAATTCCTTGACTTAAACTACTCCCAAATGCGTTCATCGCCTGCCCCTATAAAAAATCAGCTGAACAGGACAGGGAGTGATGGAGTATTTAGACTGGGTCTCTGGTGCAGAGGAAAGGAAAGTCCAAGCCTTGTCTCCATACCCAAGCCTTGTACCAAATCCCCACCCACCAGGAGTTCCAATCCCAGAACTCCAATGAAATGTGTGGTTTGACCCTAAGCATGCCTGATTCTGCTCTGAGCCATCAGGACTGCAGAGAGAGCGTAGCCCTAATTTCTGCCATAGGGTTTCTCTACACACTTAAGTATTGTGGATTACAAGTGGGACCTGCAACAAAACATTGCTGTATGGGGTGCTCCTGTTCTTGTTTCCAGGCATCCAGTCATGCCCTCTTCCAGGACACTCCATTCCACTCCCCCTCAACAGAGCACGCTCAGTCCTCATCTTCACACCTAACTTGTTTCGTCTTTTGAGTCCATGAAGAGATGCAAATCAGGCCTATTGAAAGCAGGTGGCCAACTCATGCACTGGCCAAGGTCCCTAGGAGCTCAGAAGAGCCCAGCGCTGACTGACCCAATCATATTGCCACCCAACCATTGGGACCCAGGCTGGCCATTTTAGTGGGAGGTGGGCTTTACTTTGCATTCTTACTAAGTCTTTTGGTAGTGGTTTCCCCAGGGAGATGGCCTTGGAGTCTTCCTTTTTGTTTTTAATTTTTATTGCCTGCTTTTTCTTGCCAAAGGCACTCAAAGCAACCTAGCTTACCCCAGAAATTTCCCCGCAGCTCATTTGCGTTTGTAGCAAAATTGAGATCAGGAGGCGCAATTGGATGTATAGATAAACCTAATCAATAGAAATATGGCTGTGCCCCCGCCCCCGCCCCCCCCCCCCGGCCAAATGAATTCTTTTTTCTTGTTTGTATCCTTAGTTTGACTTTATTTCCAATGCAGTCAGACAGAAACAACAGCCGTATTTGTAACATGCTGTTTATTTGTATCAGAACTCAATGTCCTGTCTGAACCCAACACCCCAATGTTTGGCCTGAAAACACTGCAAAGGGTACAAAAGCAGTCTTGCTTTGTGACTAGCTTGAAAGGAAGCCTGATAAGATTTTGATATTTCTTTGAAAATCATGTACTTTGAAAAACCACAAGGGACACATGGTGAGGAAGAGTGACTTGGATCCGGTGTTTACAAGAAGAATGCCCTTGATACTGAAAAGGATACTGGGAACCACAACCAAAAGCGCAAATAAATCTGAAACCTCTACTAACAATAATTTTGGAGAGACAATCAGGAATCAGGAGCTGTCATCTGGCTGGCTTCTTCTCACCAACTAGACCAGGGGTGAGGAACCTCTAAGCTCTCTAGCTGGCTCCCCTAACTCTTCCCAGAACAAAGCCACTCTCTCCAGGCCACACCCCTCACTGGTATTGATTTGAACCTGGTTGGGATAGCACAGTTAGTAGAGCATGAAACTCTCGATCACAGGGCTGTGGGTTTGAGCCCCATGATGGGGGAAAGTTTCCTGCACTGGAGGGGTTTGGACTAGATGATCCTTGTGGTCCCTACAATTCTATGATTCCATGTTGTTTGCCAGGCTGGAATGTGTCCTTGAACTCTGATAATGCCTGTTGCTTCCCTGAATGAATGGAGGATAGAACTGGCTGCTAAGTGGGTATAGAAACTAACTTACTGCAGCAATGTAAATTTTGCATTTATTACTCCACCCACCTCTGCCTCTGGATGCCCCCACCAATGATACATAGAAAGTTGCCCAGAAGGGAATGGGGTACTGAGGCTTAAAAGGGCTCCTCACCCCTGAACTAAGCGAAGAGATGATACGATGAAATGATATGTGATATTGCCACTGATATTTTTCAAAAGCTTGGTGCCAGGGAATTATAGAATATTAGAGCTGGAAGGGAATTTGGAGATCTAGTCCAACATCTTGCTCAATGCAGGAATCTTATGCCGACAGCATTCCTGACAGATGGATCCTCTAACCTTAGCTCAGCTGCTTCCAACAAAGGAGAGACAACTACTTTTCTACCGTCCATCAGCCCTGTCTAGGGAAGTTTTTAATGTTTGATGTTTTATCATCTTTTTAATATTCTGTTGTGAGCCACCCAGAGTGGCTGGGGAAACCTAGCCAGATGGATGGGATATAAATAATTATTATTATTATTATTATTATTATTATTATTATTATTATTTACAGATAAGAAGATTCTCCTTATGGTTATCCTAAATCTGCTACCCAGCAATTTCCATCCATTAATTCTGGTCTGGTGCTGCTACTGCTATTTTTCTAAAAAAAAGAGGTGCTGGAACTCAACACGAATGCCTAGTTTGTTCTCTTACAATGGCGATGGCACCCACCTGAGAGGTGCCAGAACTGAGTTCCAGTGAGTTCCAGCTGGAAAAAAAAGCATTGGGTGCTGCCTTCTAGAGCAGGGACGTCCAACACCCAATAGACTGTGATCTACTCACCATATAAAAAACCTGGAACTGGCGAAGATCTACCCATTGCCGTTGGATGGACCAAAATTGTTGAGCTTTTTTTTCAGGAAGCCAAAATTGTTTTTTCACCCTTTTGGGGGAGAGGGGGAAGGAGATCACTGAGGGACCAAAGATCTACCAGGATCTACCAGGAACACCCCAGATTCTACCTGTTGGACATGCCTGTTCTAGAGCAACAGGAGAAATAAGTCTGCTCGAATTCTGGCATGGCAGCCTTCAGATATTTGAAGACGGCTATCACGTCTCCCCTTAAACTTCCCTTCTCCAAGCTAAACATACCCAGCTTTTTCAGTTGGTCCTCAGGATTTGGTTCCCAGACTCCAGCCTCCTCTACATCCTCTCTAGTTTGTCCAAGCCTTTCTTAAAATGTGGCTTCCACAACCAAAGACACTACTCCAGCACAGATCAGGTGGACAGGTTACAATTGTATACATTTAACATAGCTAAACATGCAATAGTCAAGAAGAAAGAACTGCCACAATCTGGAGCAATCCTATGCATATTTGCTAGAAATAAAGTCCCACTGATAAAGCTGCAATAAGTCCCATGAAAACACAACGCTGCTGACTTCAGAGTAAACATGCACAGGATCACTTCCTGCATGATACTTTTTCTGCATGGGGAATCCCATCAAGTGTTCCTCTTGGAGAATCTGTGTGCAAAATGTGCACTCTGACAGGCATGAAAATTACATGGATATCTCCTGCTCTGTGGTTTCCAAACCCTTGTACTGCAGTAAAATAATAATAATAATAATAATAATAATAATAATAATAATAATAATGCCCCCATTTCCCATGGTGCATACAAGTTTTGTGCAAGGCTTTTCCTACAATCATGCAGCAAAAAAATACATCCTCTACAAAGAGAACCTGAAGCAGCAAAAGCAGAGGAAAATCCCACTGGCTTAAGGCAGTCGGTGAATGAAAACAAAGAGGAAAGATCTGGTTTCATATCTCCCTGCCTTCTCACTCTAGTCAGAGGCCCCATGTACCTGTAGCCAGTTTGCTATCCCACCCCCCACCCCAGTTCGTGCCAAATCTGTACAGAGGCGAAGAAGGTGTCTTTTCTCACTAGCCGCCATAATAATAGCCTCTCCGGTGCAAAGTGGGCAAGGCAGAACACTCTTATAAGTCGACCTTCTTTTCCCCATTACAACCAAACTGAACAGTGACAAACATTTCCTCTTAGGCTGAAGTGAAGCAGATAAACAACCAAGCACTACAAAAAGGACAAAAAACTACAAACCTACCAGTGAAAAGATCCCCCACACTTTCCTTTGCATTCCAGCACAGCATAGGGCTGACTCCTGATCTGCAGATCAAGCAATTTGAGAGGCAGGAGGAGGAAGAAACCTAGAGGAAGGTTGAGTATTCTTCACTTCCTTTAGGCACTAGTGAGCTTGTGGGGGAAGGGACCTTGACAGTCCCACTTGGCTCATCTGCTGCTCTGCATCGTGCTAACATGCTGTTCCCACTTCCAAGAGGTCTCTTCTTGGGCGAGATCTTCAGCTTGATGCCCACCAGCAGAGCTTACAAAGACAATTTGTACTATCTGAGCATTTATTCCGAAACCTCCTTGGAACTAATAAACTAATGTGTCACTGTGTTTTATATTTACTTAGCTACTTTACCGTATTTACAGATCTCCAGATAACAAGGTCATCTGGATGACTTACAATGGCAAGTAGCACAATGAAATTCAGCAGCGAGTAAAGTCAACAAAGCAGCAACAAAGTACCTCTGAAGGACTAAGACTCAAATAGTTTTAAAGGTTAAAGGCCCAATCCATGGGTAGGCAAACTAAGGCCCAGGGGCCAGATCCAGCCCAATCGCCTTCTAAATCCAGCCTGCGAACGGTCCAGGAATCAGTGTGTTTTTACATGAGTAGAATGTGTCCTTTTATTTAAAATGCATCTCTGGGTTATTTGTGGGGCCTGCCTGCTGTTTTTACACGAGTAGAATGTGTGCTTTTCTTTGTGGGGCATAGGAATTGATTCATCCCCCCCCCAAAAAAAAATAGTCAAGCCCCCCACAAAGTCTGAGGGACAGTGGACTGGCCCCCTGCTGAAAAAGTTTGCTGACCCCTGGCCCAATCTTCTTTGAAGGTGTGATGGGGCCATAGGATTTTGTGTATCTGTCTTCACCAGCAGAGGAGGAACTCTGCTCATCCTGGCTTTTCTCCCATTCCCTTAGCATGTCCCTGGAATGTGGGAGGGGAGTATGCTGGTCCCGGACCTTACCATATTGATTATCCTTCCCATTGGGATCAATGGGAATGAAAATCCTTTTTGACAAAAAAACAAACAAACCAAAAACCGGGGAGGGGGGTTCATCTTGCTGGCACAAGCATGACACATCTTTGGATCTGGTGGTTTCTCTGCCACAACAATTCCTCCCTCCCATCCAACCCCGTAGGATTTCTCTGCAAACCTTTAAAAGGTCTTCACCAGGCACTGGAAAGAGTACAAAGTGGGTGCCATGTGAACATCTCTAGAGAGTGTGTTCAACCCAATGTGCCCCACTTGGCTGGGACACTGAGAGAAGATCGTCTGGCTTCACAGTGAAATGAATACATGTTTGATATCAGCACAGAACACTGAAATGGCCTATCTACATAAGACTGATCCAATATGCAGTCTTATGTAGATAGGCCATTTCAGTGTTCTGTGCTGATATCAAACATGTTTTCCTATGGGTGGGCAGACGTCTAGCTGCTCATTCTCCAGAATCAGAACTTACTGCCTCTACCATATGTCTGGATGCGCCCCCCTGAAGGACCTCCAAGAGCAGACTACTGATCTGTCTGTCCTGTCCCCCCCCCCCCCGACAGCTGATGCAATACGGACAATCTGCCCAGGAGACTCCTGGAAAAGATCCTACATATTATACAAGCTGCTGAAAGCAAGAATTGGAAAGCGGCTGAATCACATTGCCAAGATTGAGTAAACTGAGAGAAGTATTACTCATAGGTTCCTGTAACATTGTGCATATGGGGGAAACGACAAAGGACAATGATAAGTCACAAAGGACACCTGTGAGCAAAGTCCATCAGGTTCACCTGCATTCCAGAGAAAATACTTTGCTCTGAAGCAGGACTGGTCTGGCTGTTTCCATTCTTCTGGATGTGCAGGCATGGGGTGCATCAGCATGACTTACAGATTTTAGGATTGACTACTGCAGGGGCAGGGAACTTTTACCCCCCACTAGGGTGAATCTCAGTGGGGTAGAGGTGAGTAACCTTCCATCCAACTTCCTTTCTCCTTTCCAGCTCTCTAACTCCTTCCCTAGGCTCCTTTCTCACCTACTGGGGTTCTACATCCCTGCTTACCTCCCATTGGGAATCCCATTGAGGAAAGAGGACAAAACTTTTAATCTCAGGGTTGTGGGTTCAAGCCCCACACTGGGTGAAATATTGCTGCATTGCAGGGGGCTGGACTAGATGACCCCTGTGGTCCCTTCCAACTCTACAATGCAATGATTCAAAAGCAGGGAGCCAAGTGGGGAGTTTGTCATTTAAAGGAGAAAACTACTGCTTCCCAAGGATGTTTAGCAATGGAAAGCAGCCCATCCGGGTACCAGGGCTCCATTGTAACATGTAGTCTTGTATGAGGCAAGATTTGTTTTAGGGATGTCTAATCAGGGATGTCTCAGGAAATGGTCACTCTATGCAGGGCTGCCCTTGGGCCTGGTTCAGAAGCTCCAGCTGAGGCAGAATGTGGAGGCCAGGCTGTTGATGGGGCCATGGGGCCAATAACATGTGATGCCATTGTTAAAAGATCTGCACTGGCTGCCCTTCTGCTACCCAACCAGGTTCAAGGTCCTTGTGTTAATTTACAAAGCCCTGAACAATGAAATCTAGGGTATTTAGGGATCTCCTAAATCCTTATATTCCACCTCAGTCACTGAGATCATCTGGACAAGTAACGTTGCTTAACCCCCAAGCTAGTGAGGCTCATCTGACAGCAACAAGAAACCAAGCCTTTAGTGTCACCCACCCAGTCCCGTGTAATGCTCTGCCAATAGAAATTTAGCAGATGCCTTCTGTTTCAACCTTCAAATACCTGCTGAAAACTTTGCTATGCTGCCAGGCTTATGTAGGTAATTAAGAAAACATCTTTCCGTAATGCTCTCCAGTTTTGAATGCTTACTTTTTAAAAAAATTGAAACCATAATAGACCCTGTTTAGCTTTGCAAACGTGCTAGCAGTTTTAGTGTGGCATCACTGGTATATAGGCAGTGTTTTAAACTGCTTTGATATTGTTTATGATATAATGGTACACACACACACACACACACACACCTAATTTTTGGGTAGCCTTGTTCTACTTCCTAACTGGCAGACACTCAACTACCCAAGTTTGTTATTACAAGTTAATCTGCCATCAATAAACAACAAGAATAAAAGTGGCACCAACCAGAACAGTAACTGGGTGAAAGCCAACACACAGTTGATTAGCAGACTTTGAAGCTGCTATTAATAGATCTCTACAGGATATACCCAATATGCAAAGTTTTAGGGGAAGTCAAGTAGAATCAACAATGCATAGATTGTCTGTTAGCAAAGTTCGGCAGAAAAAATGTGTGAGAAAAAGTTCCAGACTTCCAACTGTTTGAATAAGATCTTGGGAAGAAGAATGAGTTTCTAAAGGTTTAGGAAGTAATTAATAACTTAGGACACAAATACTTATCAAACATTTCCTCTCCATTTTTAATAAAATCTAATAGCAAATAATGTTCAACTCTAGGTTGGTCACCTTTACGCTTTTGTTCAGGAAGCTTATTTAGCATAATTTCAATGATGCATAAATACCTGGTTACTAGTTAAAAGAAAATCAGTTACAAGTTCTAGAAGGAAATAGCAGACGGATGTAATATATGATCTTAAGGCTAATCATGCCAGATAAATGAGATCAAGTTTTGAGACTAGTGTCAGAGGGAAGCACAGCTGGGTATTTTCAAACCCCCAAACTGAGTTTCATTAGAATATTTGATGCAATACCACAACGGAAATAACTTTTCTTACATTATTCTTATTCGTCATGTATATAGTACATTCAGTGAGCATGGTGCTCTACTGAGGTGACATGATGCCCTCAAGGTGTTTTGGACTACATATCCCATAATCCATGTTGGTTGAGGCTGAGAGGAGCTGTAGTCCAGAACACAGGGAGGGCACCAAGTACAAGAGGCCTGGTCCCTGCCCAGAGGAGCTTTCAGTCTGAAATTCAACACATGTAAAACAATAAAGGAAGGGGGTGACAGAGGTAAACAGGGAAAGCAACATGCAATTAAATTTCAGTTGTGTGTGCTTAGCCTTAATTACAGGTCTAGCTGCAGAAAGGAATGGAAACAAAGACGTTTTATGAAGGGCTTCCTAGAAAAGGTGGGTTTTGAAGGAAGGAAGACAGCTGACATCTCAAATGTGTTCCAGGAGACAGTACCAAGCCTACAGGGCAGCGAAGGGAAAAAGGCAAAACCTCCTGAGGTCCTCAGTATTGATGTTCATTTTTTCTTATTTCAATGATCAGTCCATGAAAGCAAAAGTATCCAAAAGTTGAAAGAAGGAAGCAGCAGTAGTGAGGTGATGAAAAGTAATGAAGACACCAAGGACATTATGCTGTATGAACTGCTTGACCTCGTGATCTAAGGAGCATCTTCCATTTCTACAATCACTCCAGCTGCAGTTCCAAGCCTCTGATCCAATTTCAATTTTGCCTTATTGAAGGCAGGTGAAAATTCCAAATAGTAATTCAAACAGGGCCATAACCATTTGCTGAATATCATTATTAATATTCAGTGCTTTTTTTTCTTAAAAAAATGTTTATGGGTACTCTCATTTTCCTACTCATATTGAAATACTGCCCCTCAATGAGGCCAAACTTAGATTCACAAAATGTTTAGGGGTATGCGTCCCCCCCCCCGAAAAAAAAGCACTGTTAATATTTAAACCTTACTGGAAACACTTTCCTTCACTGAGCTGCTACAATCCTAAGCATACTTGCTAGAAAGTCTGTCCCAAAGAACTCAGAAGCCCCTTTCCAAGAAAACCATAAACAAGACTGAGTTGTCGTTGCATTTCTCTTCCCCAAAGCTAGTTGCCTTTGTGGCTCCTGTGGCTGATCCAGTCCCAACCCCTCCTCCTTCCTCCTCCTCCTGTGTCACTCTGTCATTTCCTGGAAGGGAAAAATATATATGTGCTTATTCATTTCCTAAGGGCATATCTTGTGCAATTGTGCAATTGAAGATCTATTTTATGAGAGGTGGCTGGAAGCGTCAGGTCTAAGCAAAACCAAACTGGTCACAGAGGGAATAAAACTGCATTCTAAAAATAAAGATTAATACCAGGGCTCCCCCTCCCCCAGCTAGAACTCAATCCTGGCCCCTCTCAGGTGGTGCCATTGCCATTCCAAGAGAACGAGGGAGGTGTTCATGGTATGCTCCAGACCTTTATAGAAGAATAGCACTGATTAATACTATGCACAGAGATAGGTTATTCAAATTATATGAAAAAGAGAAAGATTACACAAATTATCAGGGCTAAATTTACACTGGAGCCCAGAATCAGCTTTCAGTACCATGGTATGCCATGGAACTAGAAAAATCACAAATATGAAAAGTGCCTCAAATCTTGTGGCCCTTCTAGATTTGCACTTTTATGGCTGTAAAAGAAAAGGGTCACTTCATCACTGATTTATTCCATCATTTAAATACACGCACCAGGAAAGTCATGGTGAAATTCACTGATTTTTAGCCAATGGCAACCTAGATTTATCATTATTCTTTTGATTTCCAAGGTTCAGGCTGTGTCATTGTTTATATAGCTAAAACAGCAGCACCCCCACACAAGAGGGAGATATCAACAGACTTCTGAAGACCCAAGGCTGGAAGAAGTACCCCCCCAAAAAACTAAAACACCTTTGGTGGGAAAAATCCTAAGAGGGAGGCCCCAAAACAGCCCAAGGTGGACTGAGCATGCCAAGTGATCATGGAATGCTGACCAACTTTTGAGGTAGGTGGAATACGAGAATGGAATGGCACTGATGCCATCATCATCATCATCATCATCATTATTATTATTAAAATTTGTATACAAAATAAAAACACTAAATACATAACAACAACAAAACTGTATGAATGTTCTGCCATACGATATATATACATTTTTTAAAAACCCTCTGCGCATAGCAAAGTAAATGTCAAAGTGAAAGCTTCTTGCTAATTATGCTATGGGGGGTGTTCCTGTGCAGGGAAATTTTTGTATGGCAGAGCATTCCATTGTGTAAGCCTTCACCTACGGTCTGAAGTGGTACACCCCAGAAACAGATCTGCAACCTCATCAAGAAGTAGGCCTGGTGAAGCTTCACTTTTGCTATTCAGCAGAATGGGCTTTCCTGTTTAAAGAAGAAAGGGGGTGTTTTCCTATAGCGTGTAAAAACAAGGAGGATTTGTAATCAATTGTTGCTCTTTTAAACTAACAAACTTTTCACCTCCCTGTTTCAAGAAAATGAATTATCAGACTGGATTATAAAAATGTAGAATCACATAAGGATTTTTACCCACTTCAATATCCAGATGGTGGGAAGTTGGGGATTGGGGGGGGGGGAGCTTTTAACAAGTAACTCTTAAAATGGTACAAAATTAAGCTCATCTGCTTTTTATGGCTTCAAAATTAGATTCATGTTGCCTTTTGAGAAAAATCAAAGCCAGCAAACCTCTTCATCAGGCAGCATTTTCTTTCAGATCTGGCATTAGTCGAGTTTTGCTTCATTCATTTCCATTCAAACGATTTTTTTTCCTTCAGGGAGAAGAAGGAATGCATCATCTCTTCAGTTTTAATACAGTCAGCTGAGCTAAGAATTTCTGACCAGAAATGCTGATGGCACAAGGACAGTCCTAGGGATATTTATTAACACACTCCCCATGAAATAGATGTGAGCATTAAGACAGAGCAAAAGCAATGTATTTCTATAGAATTTCCAGGTCATCTTTTTGCCACACGGCACCCTTGGCAGCTTAAAGATGATAAAGATAAACACCACACGTCACACATTATTAAGCATTAAGATTCACTTGCTTTCACCTTAAATGACAAAAAGATTAGATACTTTGGGTACAGCTACTGCTAGCCACACTCACTCAACCTAGTGACAAAATAATGAAGGTCGTTGGACAAATCAAAGTCTGGCATTGCCCCATATCCAACCAACCTTCTCAGATTTATTTAACTTGCATGCCACTTTATATTTCCACAGAAATCTCTAAGCAGTTTACACACTCCTACAAAAACTGTTTGAAACATGATAGAGCTTCATGTATTAGGACAGGCACCCCCAAACTCGGCCCTCCAGATGTTTCGGGATTACAATTCCCATAATCCCTGCCCACTGGTCCTGTTAGCTAGGGATGATGGGAGTTGTAGTCCCAAAACATCTGGAGGGCCGAGTTTGGGGGTGCCTGTATTAGGGCAAATGCGGACTGCCCCACCAACTACAGTTAGCCTTCACTCTGCCTATCATTGGCTGTGGCGCAATCTACTGTTGATCTCCCTGGTTTCTGCCCAACCCGTCCCAGTGGGCACTAGGCAGCACTGCATATGACTTGTTTTGCTTTGGCTAAGAACAAGGTGAGTGCCTAAGTCATTATCACATCTTAACTTTTCTGCATCTCATTTCCCTCTGACCTCACCGTTTACAACTGCCTCTTTCTGGCCCAACCAAATCCCCCCCCCAAAAAAAACCCTGCTTCTATATACATGCAACTCAGGATAATGCTTCATGCATCTGATGGACTGCAGTATGCAAAAGCTTATTCCATTATCAACCTGTAGGTCAGTGCCACAAAACTCTTTTTCCTGAAAAAGATCTGCCTCACTACCTGTCTGGAAAGAGTGACTTGTGTTTCGCTCACATATTCAAGCACAGAGCAGGGGGATGGTCATTATGCTATAAAGGTCTTCATTGCCTTGTCATGTTTCTTAGGAAGCCAGGCAGCAAGCGCGTGCGCATGCGCTCTCTCTCTCTCTCTCAAGCAGGTCTACTTGCAAGGAAGGTCCCTTGCTGCCTATTGTTACGTCCCTCACTGCATATCTTGTTCCTTATTTATTCCAGTGTTGATAGTTGTACATTTGCAATGCAACACACAAACAAAAGGGGGGGGGAACCCACCAGCATTAGAACAAGAGACTGCAAACAAGTCAGAGCAATGAAAAGTGGTGTGGGACGCTGGCTGAAGAGCATCTAAAAAGAAGTGGGCAATTTTGCCCTCTTGTGGCTGTCTGTGTGATGAGCATTTGTTTCTCCAGCTTTCAAAGGATTGCACTGGAAGCATATACATTTTGCAATGATATGGTAGAGCAGGGGCAGAGAACTTGCAGGCACTACAATTCCCATTAACCCCGACTGCCTGGAGCTGATAGGAGCTGGAGTCTAGCAACATTTAGGCTATAGGTTCGCAACCCTAGCGCTGAGGTATGGCTAGAAAAGACAAGTTCCATATTCTGTGATTAATAACTCTAATGTAAACCTTGTTGAAATCAGACAAAGGGAAGCTGGCTTCTTGTACCCCGATTTCTAAAAAATTCCAACTACCGAACATACACCTTGATGCTGACAAGGAATGTAACATTAAACGAAACAGAAACCAATGTTTGCAAGAGTATCCTAATCAAATAAGTTGCATACTGAGTGCATATCCTTAATCACTTGCTTTTACCAGATTGGACACTTTATAACCAGAGTAACTAACTGTCATAGTTCCTAGGAGGGAAGTTTATTTTTTATTTGATTTCATAATAAGAAAATATGCTAGGATCAGAATCACACAAATTTCCAAAGTCAGGGTGCCACCACTAAAAAGGCTATCTCACTCTGGTCAGCACCTGTAGGACCCAGAGAAGGACCTCCAAGGAAAATCTCTATATGAAAGGCAGGCTCTTCTATGAGTAGGCCACCCAAGTGCGCGCGCACACAGGCACACACACACACGGAGGGGAAGAGAGAGAGAACTGGTATCTTGAATAGGCTACTGGTTCAAATCTTGCCTCACCCATGCACTCAGCCAACGTAGCTCCCTCTCAGCCTCAGCTGCACATCTGCAACACGGGGATAAAAATGCTGATCTACTTCACAGGGTTAAGGTTACTGTGCTAATGTTTGCAAACCATTTTGGACACCTGAAAGTGCTGAAAAATGCTCAGTGTTAACAGTTACTTATCTTTGCCCTGAATAACTGTTCCAAAACACAAAGACCGCAAAACGTTTAAAGCAGAGCTGGCTAACCTGTGGCTGCCCATATGCTGTTGGACTACAACTCTCATCAGCCCTGACCGCTGGTCCTGCTGGCTGAGGCTAATGGGAGGAAGGGTCTAACAAGATCTGAAGAGCCATGGCTAGCTGCCCTGCTTTCACAATGTCATTTAAATGAAGGACTGCAGCTCTTTCATAGTTTAAAGGCTCCCAAAGGCTCCCAGAAGAAGTCGGCAAAATTGCACTTCCCACACCCAACCCACCACTCTTTTTTGATAAAGAAAGATGCAGTTGCCCACCCACGGTCTTGTCAATAGTGCATTCCACTCTGCTTCTCTAGGCCTCTCCAGGTCACAGTGATTCACTGTTCCCATGGCGACAAGCGGAGCAACAGGGCTGAGGAGGAGGAATGGGGACAACCTAATGTGTAAGATCTAACACGCTTCCTCCCCTGGAGCCAAAGCCAGGAGTAATGAAAGAAACATTCCGGTCTATGCACAGCAGCACCTCACCTTTCCTCATCTAAGCCAGCACAACTTTGCTTCAGAGGGTAACATTTGAGACTTGAATTCTATAGGTAAACATATGGCAGAGAATTTGGTTCGTAACAATCCAGATTAAGTTCCAACCTTAATATTTGTGGGAGGATGCACAAGTGAAAGTTTGGAAACAAGACTTACCCTCTGACTAATTGCCCCTCTGTGGCTGAAGGATCCACTAAGACAGGGGTGGGAACCCTTGATCTTTCATGAGCCTCCTTCCCTTGAGGGTAATCAGATGAGGCCCACACACCAGTGGTGGGCAAGGCTACTGCTAAAGGTGGGTAGGACCACACCCTTCTTCCTCTCTCCCCTCATCACCGGTAAGAATTGAAGGGCCACATTTAATTAAGCTGAGGGCCACATGCAGCACTACTCTTAAGATCTTGTCTCTAGGTTGGCAGGCCCATCATACACTTAAAACACTATTACAGTATACCTCGGGTTACAGATGCTTCAGGTTACAGAAGCTTCAGGTTACAGACTCTGCTAACCCAGAAATAGTACCTCGGGTTAAGAACTTTGCTTCAGGATGAGAACAGAAATCGTGCGGCGGCGGCACAGAGGCAGTGGGAGGCCCCATTAGCTAAAGTGGTACCTCAGGTTAAGAACAGTTTCAGGTTAAGAACGGACCTCCAGAACGAATTAAGTTCTTAACCCGAGGTACCACTGTGTAACTTTTTAAAGAGTCATAGCTTTTCCCCAAAGAATCCTGGGAACTGTCATTTATTAAGGGTGCTGGGAGTTGTTAAGAGACACGTATTCTCTTCAAGGAGCTACAATTCTGAGTTCTCTGGGAAACAGGACTCATTGTTAAACCGCTTTGGGAACTGTAGTTCTGTGAAAGGAAAGGGGTCTCCTAACAACTTGCAGTGCAAAAGTTCCCAGGGTCTTTGAGGAAAGTTATGGCTGTAAAAAGTGGTATAATAGTGCTTTAAAACGTATGGTATAGATGTGGCCTCAGTTAGATTAATCCCTTTTCATTGACCAAAAAGGTATCCTTATTATTTGGGTACAGACTACTACTATTTTTTAAGATGAATTGTTTGCAATACAAGTACGTAGAAAAAATTACCGGTGGCAGATCCCATAATAGAAGAGGCACAAGAAGTTTAGTTCTCTGAACAAAAGTTCCCAAGAGGTGCCTAGTGTAACATGTGCATATAATCTAAAATAAAAGTAGTATGCTTTTTCAGAATATTGTTTTTATTCATATGCAAAGGTATACAGATTCATTCAATCAACACACATGATTAATCAAGCAATTTCTTGGAATCAGGTAGCAATCCTGCTTATCTCCCTTTCTTTCTTGCCCCATTTCACCTGTTTTCCAAGGTATCGCAAAGCTTTGGTTTTCAAATAACGGAGTATTCAACAATATGCAAATTAGCCCGTGATATGCAAAGCAGAAGGTCTTGAATCATTTCAACTAAAGGGGGGGGGGACACTGGGGTTTTCTCAGCAGGCAGCACATCACAGAACAGAGAAGACAGGCACAAAATAGAAAGATTCAAACTTGCAACTTCAAAAAAAATTCTCAAAATTGCAAGTTCTCTCCCTGCTCCCCTTATTTGACCACAGTGAGCCTACTAGTTGCCACTGCCCCTTTACTGTAGATTGAAGGGACTGACAGATACTCATTTCTGATCCCAGCCTGAGAAGGGAGCTAATTAGGCTCACAGATACTGTCTTATGCCTTCCTTCCTTCTTTCCTGCTGTCTATGGGGGGTATGCAGCTAAGTCATGGTATGAGCAGAATTTGCCCCCTTCCCCAAAAGAAATGCTATTGAAGGTTCCCCCAAGCCGCTGGAGCAGAGGAAGGAGAAGTTGTCCTGCTCGTGCCATGACTTAGGGATGCATCAAATGCTGTGCATATGGGAGGTCTACTTCTGAAACATGACCTTCTCTTCTTCTTTTCTCTGTGTGTCCTTGCCCCTGCCTCCCAAATCTGCTCCTGAGGATCCTACAACCCTCAGGAGATTTTGAGGATGTGGGGTTGCAGGAGAGAGGAGAGCATCGGAAAGCTACGTTGTGTAAGCAGAACAGTAGTGTTGGATGCAACCCAGAGATGGATACAACTCTGTGGGTTGAGAGTCATGCCTAGTGCTTGCAAGACCAGATGCATCTGCACCTGGGCTTTCCTGAACCTGCCACTCGTCCCCCTTCTCACCCCATCCCTGTCAGGTTCAGCAACAAACATCTGGGCCAAATAAGGTTCTGAACCCGTTACACAAAAGCAGCAAGAAAGAGGGGAAACACAAGATAACAAAGCATTATCTCCACTTCACAGATGAATGACGAGTAAAATCACGCACGGCCCAGTTCCTCAACATCTATGGGGCTAGGAATAGCTTAAGATCCTTCTCATTTCTAAAAATATGTAGTTCTATCTCATAAAGGCGCTTTTAGAGGATGAAGGCAACAGGGCATTTCCCCAGCTCTAGTCAGTGTTGGTGAAATTGGCTCAACACCTTTCCAGTACTAAGAATTGCCAGCAGCATCATGGAAAACATTCAATCATCTTTCATGGAGGACAGCCTCAGATGAAAGTTATTTATTCATTTATTAAAAAGAGGAAAAAAATATTTTTGGTTTTACGTACCAGATGACTGCAAAATTTGGTCGCCCTAAACAGATTTCCATTTTGTGCTTATTCAGGTCCTACTGTCAGATTTTTAAGCTCTCTGGGGCTGGGAATTATACTTTTTGCTTGGGCTGTAGTTTCTTGTATGTCAAGGGTGTTTTAGTGTAAATAATAAAAATATATATTTTGTCTAAGAATGTAGCACATTATGATGTAAATAATGGTATTTTTTGTCGGGAAACTTACCACATCCATCTACAGTAGTGTCTCCTAGCTCCCCCCTCCCCCCGTCCAATTACGTTCCCTTGCTGAATGAAGAGATTTAAATAAACCTTCATAAATGCTGAAATATGCTGGACTGTGTGCGTTTTTTGGGTGGGGGGAAAGCAAATGCCAAACACCATCAAGTGGATATCAAGGTTATGCTTTCCTTCTTTCTCCTACCAGCCAGAAACAAAGGCTGTGCAAGTACCTCCATGCTCCCAGATGCATAGGTCACTTGGTAAGATATTCTTCTCCCCATCAGATGTCAGTGTCACCCCTTTCCCATCAAGATTATTTCAGTCGGAAGCAGCCGCTCCAGAACTCAAGGCAAGAGCGCTTCCGATACCCGTCATGTCTCTTCAAGGCTTCTCCCACCACTCAAGCAGTGGACGATGGTGGGTCTTGCTGAGGCCTGAGTTCTTCCCCCAGCCTGCTCTGTTCAAGCTCACCTATTACAGACATGTACTTAAACTCATTTGGCCGGTGGTTAAACTCTTCCACTAAACGGTAGGTCTCTTCACGGTCCGTGGCATAAAAAAGCTGCACCTGGCTGGCTAGGCACTGGGCTTCTGTGACAGTCTGTAAGATGTAAAACAGAAAGACACACAATTAAAGTTGTCAGGTCAGTGACAGCCCTTCTTCAGTCCAAAGACCACCCTGTTTTCACCAGCTGACCCAAGTCCAGGAATGGACTGTGGATCCATGTTTTGTGACTATCCTGTTTTGTGCCATAGGGAAGGCTAATCCAGCTGCAATGTAAAAGCCCAGTGCTTGTGGTGCAGAGTCAATAAGGTTCCTGGTCCCACGGCAACACTGGTTATGAAACTGAATGTCGCACCACCATGATACTGCTCTCCCCCAACACTACTACACCTCACAATTGAAGGAGGGCAGGAATTTCAAGACTGAATGCTCATTCATGTCAAAATTCAAATCCAAATACCTCCCAGTGATTTGAAAAACAAAGATGTAAAAGAGAACGGTTCGAGGAGACTCTCAGCTGCAAAAACAAAACCCAACAAGAATGTAAAAAGGAGGGAACAACATGCTGCTTGTGTTCTGGACACTATAAACCAGGCATGGCCAAACCTGGCCCTCCAGCTGTTTTTGGGACTACAATTACCATCATCCTTGACCACTGGTCCTGTTAGCTAGGGATGATGGGAGTTGTAGTCCAGAAACAGCTGGAGGGCCAAGTTTGGCCATGCCTGCTATAAACCATAGCTTATGACAGTGGGAATGAACCTGTGCTAGCAACCTGGTGTCTTACCTATGTTCTGATCTGATTTACATTTTAAAGCTTTTGGCAAAAACAGAGCTGGGAGTTCAAGTTCTTCACCTGACAGTGAGAACCAAGATGCTTACCAAAAATCTAGGATCCATTTCACCTGTCATCAGTACAATGCCCTTTTCCTCTTGTAGCTCGGGGTAATGATATAGGACCAACTGGGTGGGTGCCGATTCCCCTCGAGACTAAAGGAAATAAATATATATTATTAAGAAGTATATGCAATGTGGTCCTTCAAGCAAAAGATCAGAAGCCAGAACTTTCAATAATGAGCTAATCATTTCAAAACTTAATTCAATGCATCTTAAACCTTCCAGACCCAAAAAGTCACCCACCAGATATAGGAAATCAAAACTAATAGTCCTAATGAACATTCCAGGTTTGCATGTGAAAACTATGCTGATATTTAGGAATCTGAAGCTTCTGCAACAGAGCTTTCCATGTTAGTGTCACACGTCATGACACATTAGTGTGGCGGCTGCAATGCGTAGGTGTGTCATGCGAATCCTGCACATGCTCCACCCAGGGCTGGAAAGGGGTTAATTTAACCTCCAGTTTGCTAGTGAAACTGAATTACTGCGTCACGAAATGATGCAGGTCTAAAAAGTGTCACCAGCATGAAAAGTTTGGAAACCTCTGCTCAACAACAATATGAAACTATTTTAGAATGGGTCATGCAGGAGCCTAAAGTTGAAAAACTCTGAACTACTTTGTTTTTCCAGGCAAGGTTTTCTCACAATTATTTTAGTGAGACCAATGTGTTAACATCTATGAAGATATCCCTACTCGTCAGCCTCAAAACCCATGTTCAACCAGTAGGAACACAAATATTCCAACTCTCAATCTTCCAAAGTTAAAAACAATTTCTCTTAAAACAGAGGATAGCTGCCATCCAGAGAAAAAGGGGAGAGAGATCCAAGCAGGACATGCCATAGGACTTTTGCATTCTGGGTCCTAACTGTGTCCTTCTCACCATGTTAAATTTAAAAGGTAGCTGGAAATGTTAGCACAGTATGTGGGCAGCCTTACTCTTCATAGGCAGTCCCTTAAATTAAAGGACTCCCTGAATTCTGGACTACAAAGTCAAGAGAGCACAGAAAAGACACATGGAAATGCAAAGAATAGGGAAACTTAAACAAAGAAACCAGGAGAAAGTTGTGATGGGAAGCTGGATTTCTCTAAAAGAAGCCAAATGAACTTTCAACAGGAAAAGACAAGGAAGTATTTTACTACAGGACACAGTTAGCTCCAACAACTGTTTAACTTCCCATGTCTGTACTGTACACACCTCTGTACCGAGAGACTTTGAACAATGATATCTCAGCTTAATAAACTGAGATAAGAATGAACCTTATGGCCGTGCATGGCAAGCCCTTCACAACCAGAGCAAACCAAACCAGGTAAGTATTCAGTTAACTAGGGATTCCTGTTTCATCCAAACCCAGAATCTTAGACGAACAGTTCAGAACAAGCAAAGCATGAAGCTGACTTTGAAACGTGGCTGAGTATCTTGTCTTGCTCTGAAGTGGTTAGACACTTTTATAACGCTAACAGTAAGGACAAATGAACAACCGTGTTTGCAAATATCTGCCTTAGCCTCCATTTTAGAGGAATCTTCTGAAAGCCTCATAACAGAAAAGGCACCCCTTGAAATCCTAAAGCTCAAGTAATACTGCATTAACAGTGTCCACGTGAAACAAGGAATTGCCATGTGTTTTATGGAATGTTTTACACAGGACAAATGTAATTAAAAAAACCACATTCAGTTTCTACTTCCAAGTCTGTTTCTGGCAATCAGTTTTGCCAAAGTTCACCTACCTGAACGTTTATCAGAGAAGTGAAGTGGAGTTCTGGTCCTGACCAATGTCCCACAAAAAATTCATAGCCCTCCTTTCTTGGCAGTGGATATAGAAACTAGTGGGGAAATCAAATAGGTTTATTAATTAATTTCTTTATCTTTCTTTATTGGATATATACACTGCCCTTCATCGTAAGATCTCTGGGCGGTTAACAAATCCCAGCTCAGGATGAAATCAGAAACATAGAGGCTTCGAGAATAAAATTTTTCAGCCACAATAAATCAAGGTGGGTAGGAAGCATGATAACCTTGATAAAAAGCTTCATTCCAAAAGAAATCAATCAAGACACATGTGCTATACTTACAGATGGGCAGTCCTGAACTCGTTTCCATATCAGATCAAAAGTCTTTCCCTGTAGAAAGAAGAGGGGGAAGGATATTTAACTAACTCTCAGTGCTAGTAAAGAAAGCTTAGGGGTTTGGGGTTTGCTTTTGTTTATTTAAAACATTTATTTACATCCCATCATTCCAATTGCTTGCAGTGGTTTGCAAAATAACAAAGCATTAAGAATGGTTAACTCAAAAAATCAAATATTAAAAATGACAGTAAACCACAGTACATATCAATATTAAAACACCTCCTTTTAACTTCTGAAGGCCTATAAAATCAATAAGACTGATTTTCATGTGTGTGAAAATTCAGCAAAAATAATAATACAATGCCATACTTTTTGAAGAATTCCAACACCTTCTAGTCAGTACTAAGAATATTCAATTTTGCTGCAGGTTTAGATCAATCCATCGGAGGTGCTTGAGTGTTCTTGTCTGAATAGCTAATTGCCACTTACAACATCTAGGGACTTTATAAGAAGATTCCATATCCAGATGGACTCTGTATATGTAGGCAACCGCAAGTAGAAAACATTCTTCATTATTTGTTACATTGCCTATTATACACAGAACCTAAGAGACACCGTTTTAATCCCATTTTTTCAAGAAATCAGTCCCTTCTTGGAGGAGAGGGTTCTGTGGCTGCTGAATAACTCAAAACACCTCAGTGACTCATAAAGTGGCCCTTTTTGCACTGGCAGCAAAAAAGAAGGATTTGGACAAAAGAGCAGTAAATTGCAAGGAAGATTAGGATATATAATTTGAAATACACTGTATTTCATGGTGGCTTCCCATTTATAGTCTCGCTTCCATTGCACAGTTCTGTTGGTTTAAGTAGAGGATTCGTTCTATATTTTTATAGTGTTTGTATGGTTTGTCATGGCCTTCAGCTAGCACAATAAACTTACTAACTTAACTGTAACTGCTAAGAGCAAAATATATCCTGCTTAGCAGACCTGTGTGCCCTGAACTCGACAGCGCTCACACTGTTGTGTATTGACTGTACTTACAGGAATAACTGCATAAACTGTGTCTTCTCCAGAATAATACTGCTTCCATATCTGAAAGAAAAGGAAGGAAGGAAGGAAGGAAGGAAGGAAGGAAGGAAGAAAGAAGTACATTAACTTCATAGACCATCACCTAAGATGACTTAGTGATAGCTAACTAAGTCATACTTGGTGTGGACCCACTGAAATCAATGAACTTATGTTATTTACCATGAATTTCAATCGGTCTACCCTGAGGGTGTCTAACACTACAATCCTAACCATGTCTACACAAAAGTAAGTCCTACTGAATGCAACAGAATTTACTCACAAGTAAGTAGGTTTAGAATTGCAGCCTTTGTTGAAAACCACCCAAATGCAATAATCCTATATTCACATTACTACTTATATGATTAGTCAATACTAATGGAAGCTTGGCCTTGACTGTTGCATTTTTCAGCCCTGATGGATTCGATCTGCTTGGAATAAACAGAGGATCACTGCACAAATTATTTTATTTATTTACTGCCTAAGTGGCTAACCTTCCCCCCCAGCCACATTCACCTTAGGCCAAGCATCTGGGGTCACATGCTAGGGGTGGGTGCAGCCACCCAACACTATTGCACATATTTTTGCATGCCCACACATAGCCTCCCTCTCCTCAGGTAATGTGCTGAGGAGTGGAAATTATGGCCCACTCTCTGCTCATCACTGACTGATCAGATGCTCTAGGAGGGGCTAAGTTGAATCCTCAACAGGGTGCTGGGCTACAACCATCCCAGCACAGTATCTGATGTTTTTAATTTTTACTGCCATCAAATAATTCCATTGAGTCTAGGGACATAGGAAAAAATTGATGGGGGGAGGCTGGATCAAGCTTCTGAATGGGGAGTTAGCCATTCACGGATGTCTATCCTATCCATCAGCAGGGCTTTCAGGGCAGCTAACAATTCAAACATATGGACACCATAAAAGAAATAATAATAAAATAGCATGCAGAAGTATAAAACAACAACAACAAAAATCTTTAGGTTGACAAGATACCCTTTGGAATATCTGAAAATGTCATCAATCAGTGTGTATGCATCTCATCTCCTTCCCCCACGCACACTCCCTTTCTTCTTGCTTGTTTTCTCTGGGTTATACCCAGTGGTAGTCATACTTTGAACATACTTATTGAAATTAATGGGAATGACAAACTTAGGTACATTAATTTTAATGGGCTTAACTGAGTAGAACTTAGCTGGATACAATCCAGCCATCAGAACGGGCGGGGTGTGTGTGGTGGTTTTATTCTATTTAAATAAATAAGCATCAGCTGATGTTTAAAAGGACCTGGGGGGGGAAGGTCTCCATCTGATATTAAAAATACACCAAGGTGGGTACTAAGTGACCCTTCTTCCAGAGAGTATTCTAAAAGTGGGCTACCACTACAAAAAAGACCCTATCCTTGGTAGGGACCCACCACACCACACAATGAAAGAAAGGGGCACCCAAACAGCATCTGATGAAGATCTCAGTGAACAGGCAAGCAATATATGGGAACAGACTTCTGCCCATTACTGTTCTCACAAGGAAATTATCTCTTTGCATAACCATGAGTTTATCATTATGAGTGAAGTGTAGTGAATAGCAGCTGCCTGATCCATAACAGACACTTCCCTGTATTTCACACCTGATAGCAGTCTCCTATTTTTATTCACAGCTGGTGTCTCCATGTAAGAAACAGGCATGTGTGAAATGGCCCAGAGTGTCTTATGAGCCGCTGGATATATATCTATAGCTACATATCTACTTTCACAAGTTAACATGAAGAAATACTTTCTGTTGAGATAAAAGATTAACAAAAGCTAAATGGAAAATGTTTCTACCACTTCAGTTTGGGTCACCTGTTTTATTTCGTCGGGCTTCTTCCGTTTCATCATCTCCACATTAAGGATAGAATCAAGTGTCTGCAACAAATGACAACAGTTAACGACATAAACTGAAACATATGATATGAGGAAAAGAAACAAAAAGTCTGAATTATTGCACATACAAACATGGACAAATCCATCGTGAAAGACAAAAATGCAGCAATGCCCAATATGAAGGTATAATAGTAATTATAAGACTTCTGTGAAACCTAATGGGCTGGCAGGGGAGAAGGTGGGGGGAGGCAGGAAACAGAGCACAAAATCTGACAGCTCATGAGAGGCAATCAAACACAGCTTCTTCTAGCCTGGTGCCCTCTGGCTGTTTTGGATGACAACTCCCATCAGCACCAGCCAGCACAAGAAGCTGTAGTCCAAATAGATTGAAGGCAACTGGCTGGTGGTCGCAGAACTAGACTCTGCTGGTTCCTCACAAGACTTTATGTAGAAGATCTCATTAAAAAAACAGCTGCCTGTCTGCATCCTCTTTGGCTGACAGTCACACATAAGCCAAAGGCTGAACATGAACTGAAAGTCAAGTCCTTCATACATAATCCCAAGTAAGATAAATAAGAAAAGAAAGGCTACTTTACAAAAATACCAGCTTACCTTATTTTTTGTGAACCCATGAAGTGATTCTTTGAACTAAGATTAAACATAAAAATACTTATTTTAAATAGATACCCTTCATGCCATCATAACCTTATTAAAGAAAAAATTGTTAAAGCTATTTATCCAGGAAGGAGAGCAATCTACATACACACATACCCAGATAGTTAAAAATAATACATAGGCCAAGGCATTGTGTGGAAAACATTGCAATTAATGGTAGCGTAGAACACAGATTTCCTGATGATATAATGTGAAATTGCAGATTTGGAGGGGGGGGGGGGGGATGCCGAAATAAAAAAAACTTCCAATCCTTTATAGGGAAAACCTTTTTTGATATTATTGGGAGTTTTTCTGATAAAAATATACATTGTTACAAAAACAACTGGGCAGCAATGTCAGTTTATTGGATAATAAAGTCCTTTTAAAAACTTTTACAGGGCAACCCTATACACACCCACCTAAGACTGTCTCATTCAACTTAATGAGGCTTACCTCTAAGTAGACATGCACTGGATTGTATTATCGAAGTATATTTTTTTAAGCACCAAATTAAGGAGATAGTGGGTTCCCCCCACCCTGTCCCGCCAATTGCTAATCATTTTAACACAAGCATTTACAAAAACTGTTGGTGGCTTTTACAACGTATAAAAATCATCTGACAACATTGAATACCTACTTTTTTACTTCAGAAACAGTGTTTTATTGATATGCCAACATATGCAGATTCAGATATACAGGAAAGAAGTGGCCAACCTGCACTAGTTACATTTTCTGTGTGGTCATGTAAAATGTGTGTGTATACCGAAACAAACACGTTTTGTTAAGCTAACTGGAATGCAAAATCTAGCAAACATCACAAAGGCTTTCATCAATTTGTTTGAAAAGCATTTAGCATAAAATAAACAAGACAGGAACCCATCTGTGCACAGCTACACACATTCACACACATGTAAACAGAAGTCAGGAATAAATAAAATATCTGACAAATGGAGTTTGGATATTGGCCTTGCCTTTTCCTCCATCAGTCTGACAAACTCTGCTTGCTTCGAATCTCCCACCGGCTGCTTTTTCACTTCGCTCCTTTGATCCAGTCGGGATTCAAAAATTTCTGGATTGGATCTGAATCAAAGTTCGAACTGATTATACAGCTGCCAGGCACTCGCGGGTGTTTCATTTCCAGCTCATTCCCGCCCGATCCCAAGCAGCTCAGGGTGGGCCAAAAACATATCCGTTTAGCTTTCCTTTCAATCCCCGCGAGCAAAACAACAGGATGGCAGGAGAGCAGCAACCCATAAGCGCAGGGCTAAGTCTTGCAAGAGCAAAACTACAAGCAGCAACTCTTTCTGATTGATAGCAGCTCCTAAATCAGGGGACCTTGAATCCACACAAGGTTAGGGCGGAGAGTAAACAACCATATGAGGAGGTGTGGCAAAGCAAAGTTTTTAAAATACGGGAGAGGCGGGTGAGAGCCTGATCCTGAAGCGAGTCCCACTGCGAGTCCAATGGAGTTACAAGTGTACCCAGGGTTGCATACATACCCTTGTCTAGTGCTTTTTTTCGGGGGGAGGGGGATGCCGCTAAACATTTTGTGAATCTTTGTACTTTTCTCCATTTACTGCCTTTATTTTCCAGGCTTTGAACTACAAAATGGTGATTTTCTTGAGTCAAAATGAGAGTACCCCTAAACATATTTTTTTAAGGGGGGGGAAAAGCACTGTCCTTGCCATACACAAAGAGCTTGCCTAAGCGAAGCAGGGGAAAGGGCACCCTTGCTCAGTTTGGGACTTGGAGGTTGCTATCAGATCCCCGCTTCTTCCCACCCCACCCCCCTCAAAATAATAGTAACTCAGGAGGGATTCGGGCCCATCGTGTTCCCCGATCCTCTGCCCGGGACATCTCTGCTTCCTCTGTTACCTGCGGAGCTCCTGGATCTTGCCTTGGTACTTGGCGAAGAAGGGGTTCGCCTCCAGGCCGCCGCCGCCGCCCGCCGCCCCGCTAACCGAGACCGCCAGAAGTCGAGGCTGCGGGGGCAGCAGCAGGCCCAGAGGCCGCAGGGCGGCGAAGCGCCCCACCAGCGCCCCTCGGGACAGCCCCAGCCCCGCCGCCCCCCACCACAGCTGCTGCAGGTGCCCCGCCGCCATCCCGCTCCTGTCGGCCCACATCCGCGGAGAGCAACGCGGAACACCGCCCTCCTCTCCGCCGCGGCCCGGCACAAAAGTTCCGGCGGAGGAAGAAACAACAGGCGGCGGGAGGGCGAGCTGCAGCGACTCCTTTTGAATGGGCGGCGGCGGACGCGGGGAAGGAGGGTACAGGAAGCCCCCTAATCTCGGAGGGTGCGCTGCTGTTGCTGCTGTTGCTGCTACAGCTACAGGTCGATCCTGTGCAGTTTTGGTACGGAGGAAGCTCCCCCAGACCGGCTCCGACGGCTAAATCCTTTCTCCACGGCAAAGGTGTAGAGCACGGAATGGTCTATACGTGCCAGATTTACGTATAAGCTAAACAAGCTATATAGCTTAGTGCCCCACTCTCTTGGGGGCCCCCAAAAGATTTAAAGGAAAAAACCACTGGATGTACATTTCCAATATATAAGATAAAAAAATAAAACCTACATGCAGCAACAGTGTTTTGTGTTGTGTAGGCTCCTATGATGTAAGTAATGAGCCCCGCCTACTCGCCAAAATATCCCTCGTTTGCTTATTTCTATATATAGGGTGCCTACATTCTGCACGGACTGGTTGCATGGCAACATGTGCAAATGGCTTCAGATACCTATTAGGTCCATAAATTACCACATATTCAACACAAAAAACAGCAACAATTTGTTGTTGACAAAGGACAGCTGGACATATAAAGGGCCTCATTACCTTCAGTACCTTACGGCCTCATCAAACCTAAATCCAGCCCTGTCCTTACCACACCTCAGGAGATGCTATGAGGCAAGGACACATTCACAACCTGCCTTATTTCTTTCACTGTCCCAGGGAGATGGGAGATTGGGGGTGTCATGGGGAACTATAAGGGTACCCTAGATCCAGCTGCCTTGCCCTCCTGGGACTAGGAATTAAGGGGTGAGCCAAGGCCTCGAGGGCTGCCTTAAGATATCCAGTAGCGACAGCAGGCCTGGGAGAGAATCTTCAGTTCACTTGAAAGTGTGAGCAACTGCCATCTTCAGTTCAGTTGGAAGTGCAGGCAACTGTCTTATTCCTCCTGTGTTGCAAAACGAGGAGCTGTTTCTCCTATTTCCACAGGCAAAGTCAGGGCAGAGAGGGGAACCATCCTGAAGATGGATGCCCCACTCCCACCTGACAAGTTTTTTAAGACGCTCCTTGATTGTCTTTCCAGTCTAATTCACTTGCTGGATGGGAGCCAATGTTACTTGTAGTTCAGCAACAACTGGAGGGCACCAGGTTGAAGGAGGCCATTTATATGGAGTGGTCAGGCACACAAGAAGCTGCTTTATTCCAGGGCAGACACTTTGTGCAGCCAGCCAAGCCTTGCCTATCCTCCTCCTTTGAGGTAGATTTAAAATTCAAAACAGTGAAAATCAAATCAATCAAACCTCGCCCATTAAGTAGGGCACACTTTTCTTCAGCTCAGTGGAAAGTGCAGAGGACAGTTGTTTGTGCATTCAGTTGGACTGAAGATGGCAGTTAACTGCACTTTGAAACTGAGCTGAAGGTGGCAGTTGCCCACGCTTTCAACTGAACCAAGGATTCTCTGTCCCAGGGCTACTGTTGCCACTGGGCATCTTCAGGCAGACCCCCAGACCTTGGCCCTCCCCTAAATTCCCACCCACAAAACTTCCGCCTCAATTTCCATTTTGGAGACCCCACTGTGATGCTGGAATTCCCCTTACAGAGGCAGTATATTGCTTTATGACAGGTAACAAAATACAGAGGATTATTACACTATCCACAAGTGGTCATATTGCCTTTGGGGTGGTCTTTAATTTTCTGGAATATTTGTGCATGTGATAAAGTTTCACCATTATTCATTTTATTCCTTTTGCTAATTTTGGTTTTTGTGCTAATTTTTTCACAATTTTTTTTCACAAAGACAGCTATCTACCACACTCTCTTGTTTGAAGTTGCTATGGTGGCAGCATGAAGGTCCTTCCAAAATTTGGTGATGATACGTTCCATGGATTAAGGGTTTGTTAAGGTCCTGGTTTTCTTTCAAATACAAATTCAGTGAAGCCAGCTCGGGGGTTCTGGTGACACGTACAATTTTATTGATGCCATCCATCATCTGTTCCCAAAACCTTGCCACCATAGGGTATGCCTGCTCCCCACTTCCTCCTGCCAGCCCTTTAGGTTTGGCAGAAGTCTCATGCTATTGTAGTACTGCTCTCTTGGAGGTTGCGCAGGGTTCCCATCAACTACCGCTGGCCCAAAATGATGAAGAGGGAAGGGAGGAAGAGAAATATTACTGATGATGACATTAACAGATTTATAAACAGTTTTACAGCCAGAATCTATTGATGTGGCGTATTTGAAGATGAAAAAACAAGAGAAAACTAAAGATATAGGTTCCAAAAATAATAAGAAAAAACAATTACAATTGTATTACAATTACAAAGGATAACAATGACGATTATTTAACCAAGGATCTAAACTAGGATGATTATCTAACCAAGTCCTACTCAAACCCACTAGGGTCCATCTATTTCAATTGAAATACTTGTGAGTAGGACTAATATGGGGTACAGCCCTGACTACTAGTACCAATAATAAACAAAATCCAGAATCTAATCCTAGGGGCACATCCTTATGAGTAAGCAGGTAGAAGAGGAGGAAGAAAGCCAGGCTGGAGCAGACTGTGGCCGAGAGCCTGCAAAGGGAAGCCCAGGATGGGAAGGAAGGCCTTCTCCACCTGAGGAGGAGGTCATCCTCCTTTTCTCCTGCTTGTCTGCCTGGCTGTCCTGTGTTTTGAGGCCCCCCCAGAATGGTATCCTAGCTGCCATTGTCTCATGATAAGGCTTTGGAGTGTTCAGCTCTTTGCAGTTCTATTCCAACGACACCAATCACTTCATCCATATACTCTCTTAGTTCGTTTTTCCTTCCTTCCATAGAATTGGAAAAACAAATAGCCTAACATTGTGAAGACAGTTTTTACACATTCCCGAGTGTTTGTGGATCAATAATGATTATCTCCAGTGGTAAGTCTAGTTTCTAACGCATTAAGCAAGCTTAACTTTTTCTTCTGCAGGTGGTACAAGCAGCAGTTGTGTGCATGGCATTGCTCTAGGGCATGTTCATGGGCAGACTGGTTGGCAGACTGTATCTGGCGCATTAGGGTGTGTGTGTGTGTGTGTGTGTGTGTGTGTATGAGGAAGAGAATGATGCCAGTTTCTACTCCAGAATCACAAAGCAGAGTTATGTCATTCTGGCACCTGCTTGCCAATGCTTGTTGAACTCTGTGGAAACTCTCCCCTTTAAATAGTAACTGTTAAAACTTTTGGAATTATGGTGTAGCACTTAGAGGCACGGACAGAGAAGCAGACCCATTTCATCCTCCATGCAGAATCCACAAGACTGAATTTGGTAGGTGAGATATAGCAAACATAGTGCGCTCTAGGTGCTGTAGACTCAAACTCTCATCACCCCTGACCATGGGCCCTGCTGGCTGGGGATGATGGGAGCTGTAGTCCAAAACATTTGGAGGGCCATAAATTGGCAAGCATCTTAAAAAGTAGAGACAACACCTTGCCAACAAAGGTCCGTATAGTAAAAGCTATGGTTTTCCCAGTAGTAATGTATGGAAGTGAGTGCTGGACCGTAAAGAAGGCTGATCGCCGAAGAATTGATGCTTTTGAATTATGGTGCTGGAGGAGACTCTTGAGAGTCCCATGGACTGCAAGAAGATCAAACCTATCCATTCTTAAGGAAATCAGCCCTGAGTGCTCACTGGAAGGACAGATCCTGAAGCTGAGGCTCCAATACTTTAGTCACCTCATGAGAAGAGAAGACTCCCTGGAAAAGACCCTGATGTTGGGAAAGATGGAGGGCACAAGGAGAAGGGGACGACAGAGGACGAGATGGTTGGATAGTGTTCTCGAAGCTACCAGCATGAGTTTAACTAAACTGCAGGAGGCAGTGGAAGACAGAAGTGCCTGGCGTGCTCTGGTCCATGGGGTCACGAAGAGTCAGACACAACTAAATGACTAAACAACAACAACAACAACAAAATTGGCAAGCCCTGTGGTGGCTACACAACATCACATTTCCTTAGCAGGTGGCAGGATGACCTTGCTACCATTTGGTCCCCATTTTCTTAACTGAGATATATATGATCCATACATATCCAGTACAACCTCCAAATATCGCCCCCCCCCGCCATGCTCACAATAGAGCAGGGAGAAAGCATGGAGGAATGCAGCTTTGTTGTTAATCACAATTTGACCTCACAGATTATCCAATAAGGATAATGTGAAATGTCTTGGGAAACTATTGGACATTAATTCTACTATAAACTTGATAACATAGTATTCTGCTATCTTATAATGGAAGTAGATAAAAAAGGAGGAACTCATAACATAACTTCTTTTAATGTGTTTATCAGTTTCCACAGTTGAAGGCTTAACCAAGTAGTCAGGATTGACATATTTGTTTCTTCAGCTGCTGTAGCAGCATCTGAAGAAGTTCAATGGTCATTCTAATCCTCTTTATCCCTTTTTGGATCACAACCCATAGTTGCATAGCTTTGATTGTCATAACTCAGAATCAGCTCTATAAAAATTAGGGAAAACATTACGCAGAATTTCCAAAAGCTCTCTGCAAACACCACCTTCACTTTTCTCCAAAACCACACAAACTTGAAAAAGTTACATCCCCAAAAGCCTAAATTCCATGTCAGAGGCCAAAAGTTGGTGCACCGTAGTGAAACCAGCTATGGACTGCTATGCCCCTATTTTGATGGAAGTGTATTAAAAAACAGCCCATACTGAGTGGGGTTGTGAGCTAGCTGTTTAAACACTAACATGCACACAAATACACACGTTTCCCAAGGTAAAATGTGGACAAATCTTTCAATCAAAACAGAATTTTGGAATCATTTTTGTAATATTACATACTAGAAGTGTGTTTGTTGTTTTTTTTTTAAGTATATGCCTTTGCCATGTGTTTTAGTCTTAGAAGACTAGATTATAGTACACATTACTCTTCTGACTATCTGCAGGTCTGCTGCCCATCTACTTTGGAAGTCTAGGATTTTGTTACATGCTGGTATTCATTTGTATGCTATTTCTTCAATGGAGGAAAGGAATCCAGCAGAAGCGACGTGCAAAAGCCTGGGTGAAACAGCTGAAAACAGAATCGTATTTCCAGCGCGCATTGGCTCACAAGGAAGCTGAACCTGGAAATAAAGCAGAAGCCTGCAGTCCCAAGTCTGATAGCATCCGAAAACCACAAGACAGCTTCTCGGCCAGTGAGATCACCATAGATAGCAGTGGCGATTCCATCCCATCAGCTCAAGAGCCGTACAAGCCAGTGTTTCAGGAAATACCATGCACCTGCGTGCTCTCTCACATGCCGCCACTGCTTGAGCATTCAGCTTCTTACCCTTGCTCGAGTATCCGAACCAAAAGCATGCCATTCAACTCACCTCTGAAATCTGCCACGTTGACAAAGGAGGCATACAATCTCTGTAGCAGCATCTCTGCCTAGCAGTAAGATGAACCAGCAAGTCTTCATGATTTTAATTGTACCCCAAATAAAGACCAGATGCAGAACAATTTCAAAACCGACTGTGTTGGTTTGTCATTCTGATTTCTATTGTATGTGAAAGGCTGCAGCTCAGTGGGACAGAACATGCTTAGGATATAGAAAAGTTCCAGGTTCAATCCCTGGCATTCAGGTAAGAACCCCAGGAGTATGCTGCTCAGGTCCAATCCCAAAATGGTATGAAGTCTCTGGGTTGTAGTCAAACTAGTGCTACAACCATGTTCCACCGGCAGGAGGATTTCTGCTTGTGCAACCTAACTCTCTTCCTCTCCCTCTCTCCTTTCCCTGTATGCCCCCTAAAACTTATCCCCATGGTTCCCCCAACTCTCCAGAGCAGATAGGGGGTAGGTACAGGGTACACACACACAGGTAAAAGAGCGGAAGTTCCATTACACCAATGTAAATCCTTGCACTAATGGAACAAGTGAATTGGATGAGATGAGTGTCAATGTGGAGAATTATTAGCACAGGAAAAGATTAATCTGCCCAACTGTGTGCATAATGGAATGAAAGCCACACAATTTTTAACATTTCTGAACTGAGCCGGCTGCAAGCTTTGAACAGCAATAAACATCTTGTCAGCTTATGCTGCAAAGCATTTCCTTAATATAAAATTTGATTTTGAAAATAAAATGCCAATTACACCCCAAACAAAGTGTTTTTATTTAAATTTGACATTCACAAATGCATGATAGGTGCAAAATTCTGTAGCTAAAACCAGCTTTAATTCATACAAGTTTTTCTACAGTTCTAAAAGATATCCAATTTGCTTATAAGATGTCAGCAATTCAGCCAATATATATGGAAGGCCAGCTTAAAATAAATTATTTACACAATGCTCAACTAAAATATTTAGTGCAATAGGCTAACACAAATTATAAAGAAAATAAACCAAAGCAAAGCTAAGAATCTTAGCAAATAATTCTGTTCAAAATTCTAAAAAAACCCCACAAAACTGACTGGCTATTGCTATGCGGAAAAGCTTCTCCTAAGACAAGAAACACTGGAGGATATGAACATGGAATAGCTCAACTTTTCCTGGATAGTTTTAGTTCTCTTCACTGTAGCTAAAACACACAAAGGACAAGATCAATACAACCTTTCCAGCACCAAAGAAGCAGCTGTCTTAAATACTTCAGAGAAAAATAAACTGTCTCTTGCTCTTAATGCTGTGGAGTCCTTACTATTAAATCCTCTTTTTATATGACCACTCCAAACCAAATGTTTTAAGCCACACATTTGTTTTATAAATACACATAAGTTTCATTTCTGCCATCACAAGAGATGCTACAAACAAATTTTATTATTGTGTATTAATTCTCAACCAACATATTTTCAATCTTGGCTGAAGGGCAACAGGGATCACTTCAGTTTTCAGAGAATGCCTCATCTTCACTGGAAGCATTCCAAAAGTGTTAAAATAAGAAACTCAGTATTCACCCAAAGGCCTTCAGTACTGCAGCACTAAAGTGGCTATCCCAGTTTCGTTGGCATTCTTGAAGAAGCAGGTAAAAAAGTTAACCATAGCTATAACCATCTATGTGCTTCTTCCCAACACAGAATGCCACATCACAATGCTGAGGATACTAAACATTGAACAGAAGCTTGGATTTAAGCTTGTGGCTCAAACCCATTTCCCTCCTTTATTTCCATATGTTGCTGGGAGAAGTTATATTAGCACTACTGCACGGGGCTGTGTGCTCCACAGCCTACAAAATATAGCAAAACACTTGCATTGTAAAACACAAGCAGCAAACCGTTAGCAACCTGAGCTAAAACAGTATTCCCTAGAATACATGATTTAGTTCTGCTTGGTATGTTATTGGTGTTATAGTCTTCACAGCCCCATGGATGTTCCTGTTAACATACGCAACTATTGTTCTAACCACAGTACTTGGTTTCTTCTTCAGAGAGAAGAAATTAGACCCAGTTCATGTTATCAGAGATGGGTGGAGACCTACTTTTTATCATCGGTCCCCACATCACACCAGCAAAATGGACCCATGTGAGTTTGCTGAATGATGTGGTTCTCTCCCACATGTGCCACACACACACTCAGGAGCTGGAAAATGCTACTGTGGGAAGGAGCCATATACTGTAATTAAAACAACACACAAGTCTCTGTACAATTCCCTTGCTGCTGAGGCAACATAAACTGGGCTTTGGAAAGCTTTCTGCATGAGAGGCATCCTTTGAAGTGAGATGGTTTCCAAACATGTTTCCCTTCATGAAAACTGAGATGGTAGAGTTCCAGGGGACTATCACTTTAGTAGTTGAGCATCCAGCGAGCCATGAATATTCCAAAGTATTTGAATGGGATTCCCTATTATGGTAAATATACACCTCAAAGAAAAATTAAACAATTGTCAGTTATTTGCTTAAGAGTGGGGCTAGAAAAGAGCTTCCTTCCATATTAACCATACAAACTAATCTTCCAAAAATACCTTCAACAATTTGGCATACAATCATATTACATAGGTACAAATAAATACTAGCCAAGTTATTTTTATTGCTTCATTTAATTTGGTCAACAGTTTTATACAGAAAGCAGATTAAAAAAGTGGTTGATACTTGTCTGAGAGAGCACTGGTTTTCAGTAATCTTGAAATATTTTTCTACTTCACTGGGCAAGGTCAACTTGCCCAGGTAGGAAACTGGTAGTAAAAAATTAGAGAACCTATGAGACAAATTTGGTTTTCAAGGCTTTTCATTATTGTAATGTTTTCGGAGGAATCATTTCCATCTACTCTAGAGTAAACCAACATTATATCAGACCTCCATGTACACTAGTCTTCTGTTAACAGTGACCAGAGTGGCTGGGGCAACTCAGATAGGTGGCATATAGATAAAAGTATTATTATTATTGTCCATGGCATGCATATTCAGATGACTGTAAAGTCTGTACTTTGTTGTGTTACTTTGCTGATCAAATTAAAAGTGAAAAGGTAAAATCCTTTTAAAATATCAAAGAGTTCTTAAGTTTAAGCAAGGGAACTGTAAAAAGGACCAAGCTGCAGTATACATCAACAGACTCTTCACATTTGCACACACTTTTTAAAACAGCACATGTGGAGTCCCCAATCCAGATATGGACTGCGGTGCTGAATCAATGGGTTAATCTTTACTCTCTGTGTGGTGATACCAATGGAAATCCCTCCCACAAGCTATTTGCCCTATGAGACAATTTCAGAAGGCAGGATTTTCATCAGAACAATGATACTGGGAGCGGGGAGGGTTAACCCTCTTCTACTCATGCAACAGGGACACAGGTGGCGCTGTGGTCTAAACCACAGAGCCTTGGGCTTGCTGATCAGATGGTTGGCGGTTCGAATCCCCGCGACGGGGAGAGCTCCCGTTGTTCAGTCCCAGGTCCTGCCAACCTAGCAGTTCAAAAGCATGTCAAAGTGCAAGTAGATAAATAGGTACTGCTCCGGCAGGAAGGTAAACGGCATTTCCGTGCACTGCTCTGGCTTGCCAGAATCAGCTTAGACATGCTGGCCACATGACCTGGAAGCTGTCTGTGGACAAACGCCGGCTCCCTCGGCCTATAGAGTGAGATGAGCGCGCAACCCCAGAGTCATCCGCGACTGGACCTAACGGTCAGGGATACCTTTACCTTTACTCATGCCACAAGGGACGCGGGTGGCGCTGTGGTCTAAACCACTGGACCTCTTGGGCTTGCCGATTGGAAGGTCGGTGGTTCGAATCCCCACTCTGGCACTCGTCACGCTCCTCCATACACCAATAGTGATTTAAGTCATGCAAGCCACATAACCCGGAAAGCTGTCTGTAGACCAACGCTGGCTCCCTCAGCCTGAAAGCGAGATGAGCACCACAACCCCATAGTTGTCTTTGACTGGACTTAATCCATCCAGGGCTCCTTTACCATCCTTTTTTTTAACCTTTACTCATGCCACATTGCCAACCTGGATCAGGACACCACACTGCTATTTTAAAAAAACAACACTTTGTACAAATGCAAAGATACACTTCATGTTTGGCCCCAAATGTCCCCAACCTTTTCCTGGCTCACATAAATCATGACAGAAGTAAAATGAGAGTACAGGTAAGTCACAACCTATGCTTATTTTACTAATGCAATTACAGCTTTGCGCAGGTCGGTGGGGAAATAAATACATGGAGAGTGGCAGAATCCCAATCTTTATTTCCCCAACACACACCTGTGCAGAGCTGTGATTGTGGGATTATCCATTAGAGGTTTACAGGGTCCCAGAGCCCTCCTGCCTGGGCAAGCACTTACTAGGGTTTGGAAGGGAGATGGGAGGACTCTAGGACGCTGTCAGAGCCCTTGTACAGCCTCCCCCACCTGGGCAAGCAGCCCTCCAACATGCAGGGGCCCTGGTTCCAGGGGTTCCTGACCAGGAACATAACCCCCATGTAACACAACCTCTGATTTGTTGAGATCTGTATTAAGGTGAGGAAATTTAATTCAATAAATTTTAGCCAAAATAAGAGGGAAAGTCTACAGAAAGGCTAGTAACTGCACATCTTCTAAAAAAATTTAATACTAAACAATCCATATGAAATTGAATGCCAGAGGGAAAGAACTAGTTATTAATCTTATTTCCCGTGGTTCAAAGTATAAAATAAACAGGAACTTTATTTCATCTCATCTTTAGGAGCAAAAGTCCTTCTGAGAGTCTGGTAGACAGGTATCTTAGTTTCTGAAAGTTATCCATGGATTCCCATGCAACTGTGGGAAAAGCAGATCCCCAAAGTGTGCTCCTAAGGAGAAACATGTCTTTCCAGCCTCCTCCAACACAACTTACTTTGGGATCCTTATTACTTTTAATAGATTGCCAAGTTGACTCAGATGTAATTGATTCAATTTTAAATATTTACAAGGAAAAGAGCCCCCATCCTGTGAAGATAGATGCTTTTATTTTTTTATTCTAAAGTGCAGCTAATTTAAGGCAAATTTGAAATATAAAATACATGTCTGTCAATATATACACACATATTCTAATTTGAAGACAAGTGCTTCCCTTATAAGGGAAATAAAAACTTTGAGCTAAAATTCTTAGTGCAATTTAAGGTGCAGCCCAGTTATCCAAAACCATGGCAGAATATAATCCTCCAAGCCTCAATCCAGAGAAAATTTAGTTGCACCTATGTGCCCTCTACTTGTCAACAGAGTTTAGGCATTACCAAATAATCTCGGGATTAGAGGTTCAAAATTGAAAATCTGAGGAGTCTGTATCTCTTAAATTAAATCAAAAATTAGAAGCTTTCCATATTTTCCAAAGAACACAAAATTAAAACGGTGTCAACATGTACACTAAGTTAGCTGCAAAGATTAGTATATAATTCAGAAAGTGCCAGATGTAGCTTTTAACTTATCAGTTTCTCTTGTATAGCTACTGTAGTCCTTCAATACTGTTATTTATATATGTAGAGATACTATAAACCTAAAGCCATCCTTAGTTCCAGTAAGGAATACTTCTCATCTCCATCTGTATCAAATTCTTTAAAGCTCTGGGAATCATACACTGCAGATCCAACCAGTTTTTGCAGGTCTTCATAGGATAGCTTGCCATCAGAGTCTTGGCTGATGGTCCTGAATAAATCCTGAAGGTCTGCAAGAAGGAACAAATAATTTTAAAGAACAGACAGTAGCTAAGAAGTATTAACACTTTCCTGCAGCAGCAGTAGCTTTTCCACCAGACACACAAAATACACAATATATGGTCTGTAATATACATTCCAGTAGATAAAGAGCCGGTTTTTTAAGCCAAGAACTACTAGCACTGGGCCTCCACAATCCTCCTTCCCTTGCATGCCAACGTTGCTGCTTCTTTTGCCATTCGTTTAAACCAGTTTCTCATTACTAATCAGGATATGAAACCAGGTTGTTAGTCAAAATTCACCCAGTTTCCCAGTTCAGAGCTAACAGGAAACTGTGGCTTAAACATAGCACAGCAGAATATTTTCTCAGCATGTAAGGTAAGGAGGGGAAGTGATAACAGGGGGTAAGTGAGGCATGACTCATTCTCAGATTGCTAGATGTGAATCAGCCCAAAAGAGAATCATTCTCTGTGGACATTTAAACAAAAGCAACATTGATTTGCTAAAATATTGGACCTCTCTCAACAGTTTGAACCAGAAACCTCAGATTTGCTTGAGAACATTACAAAGTAAATTGTACTTCTGCCAAATAAATCCTGGTCAGTGTTTCAGTTCACCCTGCATATCTTTTATACATCTTCGCCACTGTTTTCTCTACTTTTGAACACTTATGGCTGAACAGCATGCAACTTGCAACTGCACAAATCTTTTTAAAATATCCAAACAGACAAGAATCTACCTCCCTTAAGTTACCCATCTTTGCAGGCTTTTAAGCAGGCATAAATGTTTACCACTGCATTTTCCATAATCTTAAGGATTCAGACTGGCTGCAATTGTGATGCTATTCTTGAGCTACCCACTATGACCTCAAGGTCTTGTTCCTGGCCACCTACTGCCATTTCAGACTCCGTAAGTGCATAAAATTATCTTTTTACCCAGGCATGCATCGCTTTACACTTGTTTGCACTGAATCGATTTGCTATTTTACTGCACATTCACTCAGCTTGGAGAGGTCCTTTGGGATTGTTTATGCTACATTTGAAAAATGTTCTCTATGGTCCATTCATTTCCAACCATATGTGGTTACCTTCTATGTTGGATATTCCAGGCAATGACAAGTCTCTTGGGTGTCTATTCCCCTCAAAACTGCTGCCAACTGATCTTGAAGAAAGTCTTGGAAGCTTTGTAGGCTTTGATGTAGTGCTCTGGAGTTTTCCTCCTGTCAAGAAATTTTACAGTAGTTGTTGCTAATTATCTGGCAAGAGTAGGTGGAAGGCAATTATGCTTCAAAAAGGGAGGCTACATGAAGATGGTATCCAACATAATTTGGCACTTTCAACACAGTAACATAACAGAGATGTCATTAGTGGAAAAATCAGTGCAGGTGGCAGCAACCTTTTTGGGCTAGTGGGCATCTATGAAATTTTGAAAAAGTGCCATCGGTGCCAGTCACAAAAGGATTTCTACATCCAAAAGAACAGAAAAAGCAGCAGAGCAAAGTGGTGCAGTCATGCCCCCCCCCCCCAGCCTATGGGGAAAGGCATCTACATCAGCTACCACTGCACTCTCTCATTAAGAAGCTCACTGCACCTCTCCCCTTGTTCCAACTGGAGGGGGGTGTCCAATTCTGGCATCCAATGTAACATGGGTATCTTTAAAGGGAGCATGTTCAATGTAGGAGAGATTGAGCCAGTGCAAACAGGAACTGAGCCAGAAGAGCAAACAGACACTCACGTATTGCAGATTTCAGAGAGTATATTTACTGGTACTGGTGGACGCATTGGTGCTAGTGGGTGTCACACTGGTAACCCGAGATTTTAACATTTTATAGAAAGTATCTTCTAATGAGGCAGAGGGCTTTCCCCTTTGAACATGGAAAACTAATGGCCCAGTCTTTTCCAACTTGCTTCTTCTTGTGCATTTTGAATGGAAAAGCGCATTTCAAATGTATAACCTAGCCTTACTGATGTGGCACGTGTGTTTCTATGCTAGAGTATTAACTCAATAAGGCAAAGAAAAATATTTTGACTGATCATTTATTGGGGACTTTGACATGATAGCTACCTTGCCTTTTCATCACAGCACAGTAAGAGTGATATACATGTATAAATGCTTACTTGAACAATCAAAGCAGTTCATATGCTGAAAGTGATAGAAGTGATAAATTTGGAACTGAATTGTACATGCCTTAATTGTTCCTGTTAATAATGTGGTTCTGTTAATAGTTTTTCCTTCCGAAGTAAGCACTTACATTTTTACACTTCTTGTTATTTGTCTTTGCATAAAGGATGAGCTATGAGAGGCTTCGGTCAGAAGCTCGTACCTAGAGGCCAGCTATCAGACATATTTCCACTCCTTTCAGCACCCGGTTTGCTCGTTTGTCCAAGGAACTGTAGTGCAAGTGACTCATGATTAAATAAGCTAAAGCAGCAGTATAGTAATTTAAAGTAAAACTATACGCAACATTCACCTTTTTTCAATGCTTCAGATCGATCACTTTCTGGTTTGCTTGACAGAGCGTTGATCAGCTGCAGCTTCTCTCTTAACATAGATACCTGAGAATCCCCATTTTCTATATTCTGTACAATACCAACAGAAATATTTCCATGAAAAAACACTTCCAATTTCAGACTAAGTTGTAATAAACTGCAAGATTCCACAGTTCAGAAGTCTAAGTACTTCATCTATAAGCATCATATCACCCATATGTTCTATAGAACCCCTGTGGCCTATTATGCTGGCCATAGGATTAGATAACATAATCTTTAAGATGCTACAATACACTTTTTCCATAGACCAATAAGGCCAAAATAAAATAATAAATTCACTTGCCCACTAACCTGACAAAACAAGAACATATTCAACAGGACCAGTTTACTATAGCATTTTCTGTACGAGTACTTTATTTGTGAAAAATAAGATACGCTGCACCAACCAACCTCTCCCAGCCAGCATTTAAAATGGTCATTTCCTTTTATCAAAATCTGCATAACCTTGTTTATCCTTAGTAAGTTCTTATTACCTAGGAAGATCTTAGAGTGTCTCTCTGGTGTGCAACATGTAGCTTGCTTTTAAGAGCAAGCCAGAGAGATCTCCAGCATATATAGTTTAATACATTGAAGAATAGATTTATTCTAATTTGAAGCTGTACCATTTTGCATATTTCCTTAGTTGGAGTTTGTTATCACACCTTCCAGTCTTTATGGGTAAATTAGGGAAAGCAGGAAAAAAATGTGTACTAATATGATATGGCTTGCTTTTAAACACTACTTCTGGTTTCCCTAGAATTACCTCCATGCCCTGTACCTTTTCAGTAGTAGTTTCATTCCTTGGTTCATTTTCTACTTTCACCGAGGTAGTTAAGTCGCCCACCTGCAAAAAGCAAAACCAAAAGAAAGGCTTATGTTTGTGTCTTCTTCTAAAATATAGTTTACCCTTAAGCGATACAAGAAATGAACACCCTAGGACTAGCTAGTAATCACAAATATATTAAAATGTAGCTGTGTGAGTAAGCAGCAAGACCTATTATTTGAACAACTATATTGGAGAGAAAAGTTAATATACAAGGCTCACCAGGACATGCTGAGATCAATGGAAGCTCAGACAGTCCTAGTCTGCAACTAGCACAACCCAGTGGCTATTTAAGAAAATAGAAAGAGAAGTACACTGGAGGTTGAAATAGCATATCAATAAGGCTGCCACTGCATCAGTAATTACATCAGCATGACTGTATAATAACTGTACAACAGGAACACACACAGAGCAGTGCTGCCAGAAAGGTGAAGCTGGGGATCCAATATGCTGAACAACCAAAATCTAATGAGAGTTACACATTTTAGTGCCAATGTCCAATACAGTCTGATCAATACAGTTTCTCCTAGCCTTCCTTCTACATTTGCCATCTCAGGTGGCAATTGTATTATACAGTTTTCAGTCCTACATATGGCCAAGATTTCCAGCTTCATTATTTGAGATTTCTAATCCCCTAAAAACATTAAAGTATACATTCAACTATTACACTTGCTCTAGATGTTTGCCATTTCACCATAGTACTTCCACTCCTGTGTTTAATTTTTTAAAAAAGAACAGAATCACAGAAAAATATCATTTTGTCTAGTGCCCAGCCAAGTTGCCATTCTGACAGCCAGTTCCACCAGCTCCTTTTCTTTTCATCCCAATATGTCCCAAAATCTTGCAGAACATGGAAAGAAAAATGTTTTCGGTGAGAAAACTTGAAGTAGGCATGTAGAATCTGGCTTTGTCAACATTTCAGGCTACTTATTAACGTACAAGAGTTTTCTAGGTGCAGAGTCTCAATGCATAGTCAGATGAGAGTAGCTACACAAAATGCTGCAACAAATATTAATTGATTCAGGTAGGCTCTTACTTGCAATGCAAACACTACTACTGCATCCATACAATCTTGCAATCCAAGTCCAATCCAATGCATGTCGACTCAGAAACAACTCCCTCTGACATAAATGGGGCTTACTTCCCAAGAAGTGTGTAGGACTGCAGTTTTAACTTTGTAATAAAACTGAAGCATAGTTCTCATAGACATTAAGAGTATAGTGGATTTTACTGTTCAAATTATCAGTCAACAAAAGCTGTACAAGCAAATTAGAAATTCAAGGTGACCAAGATCCACAGTAACACGGAAAGCATCACTGAATATCCAACTGACAGCTCATATTGTTGCAGAAATTCATTAATTCAGTGCAAAGCTTGTGATAGAAGGAATCCAGATAACTAGAGAATGGCCTCTTTCACTATAGTTAGCATTTACAACTCCACACACCAAGCGTAAATTGCAATTTATTTTTGGAAAGTGTGGCTTTCCCAGTATCAGTTCAACCACTATGCAGCACAACTAATCCATATAGCATACAGCAAACATAGCTGTTTTGCAAAAAATCGTTTCTCATACACCCACAATAGCTAGGCACTTACCATGCCAAGGGTCAGGTTTTCTCTTTTTTCCAATTTATTCACTGTCATATGATTTTCTAATGAAGCAACTCTCCAACTTAGATTGCCAACTGTGGAGTCCATATTGAAAAGTTTTAAATCATTCTGTTTCTGGTACAACATTAGGGTAGAGTTTACCTCTTCTATAGAGGTATGTAGGTACTGGTTATCCTGTTCAACACAGAAAAAAAATGTTCTTACATTATAGAAACAGCAATAACTAAGAGTAAGCAGTTTATACTTATGCAATTGTTGTCATTCATCTGCAGCTTGACTCTATGCTGGCATAAATAAATCCCTAAATTCAGCAAAGAGTATTCCCAAGAGTCATTGGATTGCAGCTCAAATAGGGTTTAGAGCCACTTGACAAATCCTTAAATGAAGGAGGTCTGTTAGTTCTTTGAAAGTTGAAAGCTGGGTTTCAGCAGCTACCCTCTGTGAAAACAGGTGTGCTAAATCTCACAGGCCTTATGTTCAGTTCTTTTAGTGCAAGCTACCTTCAAAGAGTACAAAGCCTAACAGATCAAACAAAATAATTTGCCAACATGTTGTTTTAATACCACTGTGTTATTTAATATATTTTACTGATACCTTTATTTTATAATAAATACACTTTGCCAGTGTTTTGCAAGGCAGTTTGACAAGTGGGCATAGCAATTTACTACTCACTAATTAAGTACTTAACTAGGGCAAATGACTAACCACAAAGCTAGGAGATCTATTTCAAGAACTGCCATGTTGTTGGCTGTTTTAATATTGATGGTTTCTTTCAAAGAAATTGTATGTTTTTCCTTTTTAACAAGCAAAGAAAGACATATTGCTCAATTTTCAGAATTCACAGTTGGACAATAAATTAATTAAAATGAATTAAATTGCCTCAAAATAGTGTGTGAGAAAGCTTCTTAGTTCTCCAGAACTCCACATTGTGCTGGATGTTATGCAATACAAGGGATTGAGGGAAGAGACTATTACACAAATCACAACCTAAAATTAATATCCAGCTTCTTATTATGAAGACTGTCATATTCTCTTTTATTTCTGCTCTCTGCCTAGGAAACTGAATTTCACTAATGGTTAGACACAGACCTGGGCGAAAGATTCCTGCTTTGCAGGGGGTTGGACTAGATCAGTGATGGCCAAACTTGGCCCTCCAGCTATTTCGGGACTACAACTCCCATCATCCCTAGCTAACGGACCAGTGGTCATGGATGATGGGAACTGAAGTCCCAAAACAGCTGGAGGGCCAAGTTTGGCCATCACTGGACTAGATGATCCTTATGGTTCCTTCCAACTCAATAATTCTATGTTTCTATGAAGTTCTATTCAGTATAGATCCTGTGAAATTAATGACCACGACACCAATTTCAATCAGTCTACTCCAGGGGTCAGCAACCTTCTTCAGCCGTGGGCCGGTCCACCATCCCTCAGAGAATGTGGTGGGCCGGACTATATTTTTTTTTGGGGGGGGGGAATTGAACCAATTCCTATGCCCCATAAATAACCCAGAGATGAATTTTAAATAAAAGCACACATTCTACTCATGTAAAAACACGCTGATTCCCGGACCACCCACGGGCCAGACTGAGAAGCCCACGGGCCTTAGGCTGCCTACCCCTGGTCTACTCCAAGTATAACTAATCTTAAATATCAACCCATGTTTCCTTAAAATAGAGGCTGACAGTTTCTTCTTTGTCCCAGAATCCTAGTTTAAAATAGTTTTACAGAAATCTTGAAATACTGATTTGCAAAGCATCTAAAGCAGCAACAAGCTGTACCTGTTTACAACTGTCTGTCAGATTCTTCTCACTTATTTGGGGGGTTGGAGAGGAGGGAAATGAAGGCAGCTGCTTTGCTCTAACATCTTCTGCGAGTTCACTCTAATAAAAGTAGTCAAAATGAATTTTTGAAACCAGTTATTTAAACTTTAAACATGGGAACCAAGCTTTCACAAACACAAAACTAGGAAGACAGAGGGTAGCAGACTGTGATATACACAAATATACTGGTGCTCCATGTAAATGTATTTAAGAGATTCAAAATAAATAAACAAGTGCAATATGACAAGTATTGTATGGATGGAAAGCAGTTAGGAAACATGGGAGATATGTGATGCTCCCTCAGCATGCGATTACTCAAAAGGTTCTTGTTATAATTAAAGTCACATTTACTTGCTTTGCTTGATTTAAGAAATAGTACAAGGAGCATATGAAGAGGGTGGATCAGGAAAGTCCATTGAGGCTAGACTCCCAATCCCCTATTAATTGGGCATTAATCGTTAACTTATTTACATCCTCAAAGATGACCAATATTTACAAATTTGTTTATAGTATCTAGGAATCTGAAAGACTTAAGCTTCCCATCCCTGTTAAACTTTAACATGGAGTTCTGCAACAATAAACTGGAGAATACAGATTTTCATCCAAAACATTGATTGCCTTTAAAAAGACATTTTTTACTGTCAAATGACATAGCCAAAATGAAGTTCATATGGGAATTATCACAGAATGAACTACTATCAGATTAATACAAGTCCTTACCATCTCATTTTGGAGTGTCTCTATAGTTTTCTTATGTTCTTCAATTGCTGCCTGCATACTCTCAACATCATGATGAACACTAGTTACAGTGCTACCTATAGTAGCAACACTCTGGGGAAAAAACCCAATCATAATCTTGTAGTATCAGTGGTATATTAAAAAGTGTGAGACTTAAATGTATTAATTCCAGAAGAGTAGCTAATAAATAATAATAACCACCACACTTCACTTAAGATCCCAAGGCAGGTTACATTTAGAAACTTGTAATATAATACAACAATGCAAACACGAACATGCAACCCCAACCCAAAACACCAAGCAATACAATACAAACAACCCATATAACCTTACAAAAAAACACATGGGAGAGTCATACTGAACAAACTGCGCACATCCTGACATTATGCAATGTGACCCAGTGCAGCAGTATCATTTCCCACCTACATACTTCCTACAAGTGATTAACACCATTGTACACCGATAGCAGTGGTTCAAAAAACTCTGATTCAAAATACTTTTGTAGCTTGCAGAATTTGATAAACACAATATACTTGGTGTAGTACATACTTTCTGAAGCTCTTCTACTGTGACAGGAAGATTAATCAAATCAGAAGCAGATTTAATGTTCGTTTTGAGGTGATTTACAGCTGACATCAACAAAGAAATCTAAAACGAGAGGAAGATGTTATTTCATTCTCTCTCAGAGTAGAGGTTACAGATAAATCATTTAAACATAAATGGCACAGCACCTAATACTGGGAAGCCTCCCGAGTCTGTACTACATACAACTAGGCACAACCATGGTAACACTTTGCTCAGAATCTACTGGTGGATTCGTCAGTATCAGCCTACTGATTAAGCAGGTTGCTAGCTCACTGCTAACTTCTAAGCACCATTAACTCTTCTATCATAAGAGAAGTGGGGTATAAGGAAACATTTTCCAACTACTGAAATACACTAAACAGGCAAAAATTCAAAAAGCACACACTTCCTTCCCAGCTTTTAGAGTCACTGAACATTCTTTAAAAAAATTAGGAACAATCCAATTGTGCAGAGACTGTCTATGTTTACTCCTTCCATGAGAACGCTTCTCAGTTTCCTTTTGAATATGATTTGTTGAAACAAGCTAATTTCATAACCAATGATTTGCAGTTGCCTTGTTTCAAGCAAGCAACAAATATTAACAAGTCAAGTGCAAATGAAGTGGAAGTAAAATTTCTTATTTCCTTTTAGCAGCAGCACAAAAGGAAGAGGGAGAGGGCAGCATGCTTGTTACTGTCACAATAAACCATGGTTTATTGCTTTGTCAGAACTCAAGCTAAGCCAATGGCCACAACTGCACATAAGACTTAAACTATATTTAGAAATCCATACTGTGCGCAAGCCACATGCTGGAGCATGCAGCTTATGCCCTGCTGCTTTACACAAGCACATGAATAAACCACAAAGTCAACAGCTTTGAGTAACATCTGAACATGAAATCATGTTTTTTTCTCCTAACAAATGACCACTTTAGCCACTCCTAAATCATAGTTTGTTGGTGGCTTAGTTGCTATGGTTTGTCAAGGAGAAAGCAAACCATGGCCCCAACTTCAGTAATTATTGTAACCTACCTATATTATGGCTTGTTTACCTGCTTGCACAAAGGAGAAGTGAAGCAGGAGCTCTTGGGTTGCATGAACCAGCACACAACTAATGTACTGTGTGGCTTACGGAACCATACTTTATAGCTTAGCATTATGTACTATCACAGACAGTAAAAAGAATGGATTAGTAACTTTTACCAGTTTAAAAAATGTCAACATACACGTTGACCCAGAATGTTGCTCTTCAATAGCAATCATACCAATAATAGCAAATGGCTCAACTAAGATGTTATAAGACATATTTTAAATGGCTTAGATTATAACTTTACTTGAATGGTCACTTACTTTACCTGTTTGCTTATTTCAGTGATGTTTACCCATATTTTGCTTAATCCCGCATCTCCATTCTCAATCTTTTCCAGTTCCTTTTGTTTATTAAGCAGATCTTCAGTCAATCTAGGAATTTCTTGGAATGAGGTTTTTTGATTAGACTCCACTAAAACACAAAGTCAGAAGCAATAGTTATCCATCAACACGAAGATCTGAGAACACAAGCATGAATTCTTTAATAGGTATGCCTTCATTGCTTTGTAATTTGGGACTGAATTCTAAACATATTAGAATTGATTTTAGCCAAGCTTCCACACTGTGCACTTAGGAACAAAGAGTAAGCTAAACAAAGTTGTAGATTAACAGACATATGTGAAAGACATCATAAAATGTATTGCAGGAACCACCTTCCTGTAATCTGTGTCTGCTCTTAAGAGAGAGAAGTTGAATTAAAGAGGCAGTTTATTATTGTCAAGGAAATGAGTTACATACACTAATGACTAAATAACCATTGGAATTATTTTGATGAACAGACAATATGATGCTAAGGTACTATTAGTAATCTTTATTGAATTCCATTTTTACTCAATCATTGTTATGTCCTTACGACTTCAGCTGTGTCATATGCTTCAGCAACATAACAAGAAAAAAGCAATACCCAAGCTGCTTGTACATTTGTTTATTATTAATTGCATTCATACCCCACCTTTCCTCCAAGGAGCTCAAGGTGGCATATATAGTCCCTCCCCAATTTTTATCCTCACAACAACCCTGTGTGGTAGGTTATGCTGAGAGACTGACTGGCCCAAGATCACCCAGTGATCTTCATGGCCAAGCAGCGATTCAAACTCTTGTCTCCCAGGTTCTACTCCAGCACACTAACCACTATACCATACTGGCTGTTGGAAGAGCACAACGCTGAATTTCACCCACTAAGTATAATGGGACTCTCACTACCACTTTATGAAGTGTATATACAATAATATAACCGCTTTCTTTCAAGTTTCAAATATGCTTCCGAACATGCTCTCCTTAGTAATTTTCTTTCATAACAGAGTTATGCCATTAAACTTAACAGTCTGTTAATATCTAGAAACATAGTTTTATTCAAGAATATTTTTATTATATTTTTTCATAAAGATGTGTACTATCAGTGTACATATATCAAGGCAGCTTAAAACTGACAAAATCTAAAACTACCAGTTATCACATTTACTTTTTTTCTTAATTGCCTACATAAGCCTAGTGACATAAAAAGTGTTCAGCAAAAGTTTAAAGACTAAAGCAGATGTCTGCTGAATCTCAACCAGAACAGCATTTCGCAGGACTGGGCCAATGATGCTGAAAGCTTGCTTTACTGGCTACATAATTTGAACCTCAGTGACTCAAAGGATAACTAGCAATGCTCCTACAGATCATATAACTGATTGAGCTAGGATATAAGGGTTCAGGAAGTCATTAAAGTACCGTTGGACTTAAGTTGTCCAGAGCTTTGTAGATTAATACAACAACCTTAGATTGATGGACCTTGGACCTAGCTCGGTAAAATGAAATAAAATTGAATTCTGAATGCCTGTCAAAACTTACAAGATTGGATAGAACTATTTAAAGCTTTTAGAACAAACACGAGAGAGCTCTTTTAAGTACACTCTGTTTTTAATTTTTTTCTTAGTAGAGAATTCAGGTCTTAAAAGCGACAAATACAGCTGAGAAATGCAGTAATTGCTCAGCCTATAAGAAAAACTGTCATATTCAACACAGTACGTTTTCAAGACAGTTCATTAACAGACATAAAACCAAGTAACCTATTTGAAGAATGAATAGCGCTTTGAAGATTAAGCTCTAAAGCTGATGGGTGACCTGAAAGTGTCATAATAAAAAACAAGATAGTATTTCACCATTGCCGTTAGTGGTTTTCCTCCTGGAAACACGCCAATTAATTGTGAAATCCTCTCCCCTACAGAGTTGGATCAACAGCAAAAGTGGTTTGTTATATGCCAGTATATAGTCTCACAAATCACCTGGATCAAGTATCCAGGTATGTATATAAATTATATCAAAAAGGCAAATTATAGTTGCTGTGATGATCAATACATGCATGTATACCTTCCAAGATTAACAGATCGTGTTTTGGAGTTTACAGTGAAGAAAAGCTTGGTTACAAATGAACTGGTAGTTTGTTTATCTTTCATAGCTATATAGCATCAACAGCTTTGAAGAAAATCACTTCCTCCTAAGCAATTCCCTTCACCTCATGGTATTAGCCTTCCTTGGAATTTCTGTATGACAATTTCTATCTCATACTTCTAGTAAAATTAGCAAGGGACCAAATCAATATGGATCTTTCCTGTTCACAATCACCATCAGATGACACAGAGATGTGAACTTGTCTACCCACTGCCACCCACAAGACAAAGCAGCTGCAATTTTTCAGGATACTTTAGCAACTCAGCCTTTCAAAATATTCTTGAGTACTTGAATTTTTTTAACACATTCACCAAGGATCACAGAAATCTAATTACGTGATTTGTAAGCATTAAATAGTTCAAATAAGACATATGCCAATAAATATGGCTTCTGCCTTTTAAAAATACATGTATGGCCATGTGTTTTTAATCACCTGTGGCTTATAGAGGATAGTAAAAGATTTGTTACAACACCTAGTAACAGAGTTATAGTATTTTGTACACAAATGACCATTTGTCAGCATGTTTGCTTCATATTAAAACAGACTATAAAGAGTGTTTTTGGCAATTACCAGCTACATAAGACTTTGTCCCATATCCCACAAGTTATTATAAAGAAAGGCAAAACCAAAGATCAGTACTTACTAGTTCGAAACCGCTCCTTTAATTCATCCAGGTCTTCCTTGAGAGCAACCTGCATCCATACCAAGCCAACACAAGCTACCACACAAGCAGCCAAAATGACAAAAGCACATAATGGGTAGCAAAGCTTGCAGCATCGCAGGTAGTCACCCCTAAATGAATAAATAAATGGTTCAGCTACATCACAATGGCTAAATATCACACAAAATTGGCACTTACATTGTATTCAATATTAATGCAATATATTACTCTCTCACAATTCAATCCAATGCAAAACAGCTAGATAAATTTGAAACTAGTTTATTATTCAAGGGCCTTCACCTAAATCCCTTGACCAGAGGTTGTTATTAATTCTTGACTGTAGGAATTCCATTAATTATTCAGTATCTAGTAATCCAAGTTCTTGCTGATATTTTACCTTTTTTGATACAAATGTTCAAGGAAGAGCACTTGTCATGATGTTCTAGATTAGTATCCTAATCCAACAATGGAAACATTGGCAAAAGGGTACTTGCACAGAATAGCACAGGATCAGAATATCTAGCACTCTGTACATTTCCCTGGTCTTAACGTTAATTACAAATTACTACAACCAGCTTTTTTTGGGGGGGGGAGTTATAATCAAATTTGAAGTACTGTAAGAACTATTTCTGTTTTAATAAGCTTGAAGGAATTTGACCTTTTTTCACAATGACCCACAAAGCAGAATTTAGGGATAAGTCTTATTAGAACTGGTGCAGGGAACCTTTGGCCTTCCAGATGTTGCTGAACTACAAGTACCGTCATGCTTGCTGGGGCTGACAGGAGTTGTAGTTCAACCACATTTAAAAGGGCCAAAGGTTCCCCACATCTGTATTGAGGATTCCTTCTTCCAGAACTCAAACAGAATCTTGTTTTACAACAAACTGCGCTGAAGACTTAATACATCAGATTGCCATTGACCAGTAGAAAGTACACCAAAGACCACAGGAAAGGCATTAACCAGAGGTATAGATCAATCAAGATCAAATGTATTAGAGCATGGTTATGAGCACCCGAAGCTATATTCAGGAGATCTATATTTGGCGTGCTCTGGTCCATGGGGTCACGAAGAGTCAGACACGACTATACGACTAAACAACAACCAGCTTAGCAGAACAGTCCCTGGGCTCCTTCAGGAAGAAGCATGGCATATAAATTGAATAAATGAAATAAACAAAACGACAATAACCAAGCAAAAAGAATGGCACTAGTAGTCCCACCCACACACCTGGGCTTAGTGCAAGAGCAACAAGTTATACCAGAAACACACCCAGCTATTTATGTCGCAGACAGCTTCCCTCTCAGAACAAAAACTCACTGTTTGTGTTAACAATCTGCTCCAGATCCTCAGTAGCCTTAACTCACTTCCAACCCCAGCACACCCAAATGTTACCCACCCAGTCACCAACTTTCCAACTCAGCTGCAATCATGTCAACCTTACACTCCCAACGCCCCAACCCCTCTCCTCTCAGCATACTCCCGATGGAGCTAGTCACGTATCAACTCTTCCACATGCACCTCAACCCCGTCCCTTCATCCCTACCCACCCAACCCACTCTTGAGTCCCAAATACCGCATGGGGCAGCCCCCAACTAATAATACATCGTATCTAAAGTTACATTTCACACTCCTCTCGTCCTGCCCGAGCCATGCCTGACCCTCCACGGACCGAGGTCCCTCGCCCCCTCCTCCCCAAGCGCAACCCCTCCCTGCTTCTCTTGCGGGCCTCACTTGGCAAAGCGGGAGCGGGCGCCCGGGAGTCCGAAGCCGTCCCCGAACTCCGGGCCGGAAGAGCTGCTGCTGCTGCTCTCGGCGGACTCGGTGCGGAGGAGCCGGTGGCCCGAGGCGGAGCCTTTCCTCGGGTGTCTCTTCTTGCGCCCGCCGCCGCCGCCGCTCCCGCTTCCCCGGTCCCCATTCCCGCCGCCCAGCCCGATGAGCGCGTTGAGCTCCTTGCGCTTCTTCATCCTTTTCTGCTGGGCCGGGGCAGGAGCCGGGGAAGCCGGGCAGCAGCGCAACCCGGGAGGGGCTCCCAACTCCGGACCACGGCTCGCCAGCTTCAGCGTCTCGGAGGTTTCCCCGACCGCCCTGGAGCAGCCTCAGCGGGGCTGGCGCGGCGCCCTCAGACGCCGGCGGTGCCGTTGCTGCTCTTTCTTATCGGCTGCTCCTCCCGCCACAACCGCCCGACCCATGGCAGCTGAGCGGGCGCAGCTTCCTCCTCGCCCTCAGCGCCTGCCGGCCAATACGAGGCGCTGCCATTGGCTGGAAAAGGTTGAGGAAGCTGGCTGGACGGCTTTGCTCTGGCGCCCACCAGCATCGGCCGCTCCTATTGGACAAAAGGGCAACTCCTCTTCGCCTGTAACGCCTCTCTCAACCGTAGATGTATTCGGGGATTCTCATTGGCTGCTGAGCCAGTTAATGCCAGCCCACAGCGAGAACGTAGAGAAATTATTAAAGGGCCAGTACTGTATATAGCTTTGGGGTATTAGGTCAGTTTTAAGCACAGTAATGACCGAAACGTACTGAGCAGCTTCCGGTCGGAAAGTGAGACGGCCATTGACCAAGATGCACTTGGGGCTCAGACTCGGTCTCCTTGAATCTCATTGGAGCAGATGCTTCTCATAGTCTTTTGTTAACATGTTCTGTTCTGTTTATGGTTTAACTTTAAGCAACCATCTGAGACAGTTGTGAATAAATCTGAGCTAACAATAATAGCACTGTTCCTCTAATATATATCCATCGGAAAATGGTCACTGATGGTAATTTCACCTAGATGATCTAGTAAACATAGTTTGGAAGGGTTAGAAAATAAAAAAGTGGGCATCATGTGCAAGTTAGCATAAGTCTGCAGAAACAATTTTCAAAAACCACCAGCAACGCTCTTATGAAGAACAGCACCTACATCCATAAAGGGCATGTCAAATTATAAATGTTTCAATAATAGCCAGTGTAATGTAATATAACATTGTTATAAGAGACTATAGAGCTGGGGCTGTGCAGCCCAAAATAAACTAGGTCACGTAAAATATATACCCACATCTCCAGGAGACTGTCCTCTACAAGATGGCATTGAACCGAGTCCAATACTTCGTTGGACACAAGATGCTGCAAATAGTAATCAAAACATATAGTGATTAAGCAGCCTGGGGTGTGCACCCTAAAATAATCTTTGGGGCACTACAAATCTTTGGCCCACACCTCCATAAAAGAATCCCCTGCATCTGGTCCAATGCTTTGGTTGAGGGTAGAACATTATCAAGCATGATGCCCTTGTGCCAATAACCAGAATATGCAGACCAGAATCAGAAACTGCTGGTAAGCGACTGAAAATAATTTTTGGGCTATCACAAATTATTTACCCACACATCAGTGTGGTGGGGTGGCATCACTCATCTGATCTCCTGGCTGTTGAGTCACTGCTGCTTATCTGAGGAGGAGAGGATGAAGCAGCAGGGAGGTCAATGCAAACACACCAGCAAGACCACCAGATTCACAGCCACCTCTCCCTTTCCTGCCTAGTAAACAGTGGCAACTCAGCTGTCAGATGTTTAGGTGAGTGCCACCACCTCACCATGCTGTCAGCTGCTACCATACATTTTGAAGATTGTCTTCTGCAAGTTGACAGTAAACTGTGGGGTCCAGCATTTTGTTTGGGAATCTATGCCAGTAATAGCCAAAATATGTAAGAAGAAAAGAAAACTAAACCAGTTCCTTATTTGTGTTTCCCTCTTTGGCTTTCATTGGCCAAGCATTGACGATGATGCAACTCAATGCCATCTCATTGATGATTCTATCCTGGAGGTGCAGGTGTATCATTGGGGTATCATTTGCATCTACATCACCTGTTCATCATTCTTCTCCCATATTTTGGCTGTTAAATACTGCATCATCATCATTATATTATCTTGCTGCCACAAGATGTGGTGTCGATGGCTACTCACTTAGACAGTTTTAAATGGGGATTAGGCAAATTCATGGATATAGAGTCTATCCAGGGCTGCTGATCACTGATAGCTGTATACTGCCTCCAGGATCATATGAAGCGTGTATCTAAATCCCAGTCGGCCGTTTTTGCGAAACAGGATGCTGGAATGGGCGGACCTTTGGATCATCTTATATTTAATTCTGGTTGAATACTTTCATGACCGAGGACAGCGGCAACAATATAAGTGACGTGGGTTTTTTGGGTTAGTTTTAATGCAACCACGGAGGCTGCAGTCTGCCTCAGGAGCTCTACGCCTGGCAGCGGCGGCAACAGCAGCAGCAGCAGCAATTGCAACGCTTTTTAACCCTTTCCCTGCAGACACAGCCCCGCGCCCCCGCCGCAGAAAGCTGCTCCTATCTCTCCGATCGCCCAGGTTCCCAGAGGCCTCGGTTGCTTCTTCCTTTCTGAGGGCGACCCGGTAGGTTGGGCAGCTGCGCGATTGTATACACTTTGCCCGGAGGTCATCCATAATATGCAGGAAGCGCCGCCTTCGTCTGTCCGTGGGAGGCACATTGATCGAGGCCGCGTCCTGCTCTGAAGCCCACTTGCTCCAAGCCTTCCTGCTGTTGCAATGGATCTGTCGCGGATTTGGCACTTGGCGATTGTCTTTTGCCTAACGTGCGTGCTGGTCAAAGTCATCCAGTTGCATCGCCGGAGACAGGAGCTACTGAAGGTTTTGAGCTGTTTCCCGGGGCCCCCCACCCACTGGCTGTATGGGCACATCTCTGAGGTAGGCGAAAAGAGAGGAGACTTATTGTGCATGGGAGAAAAGCAGCTTCAAATCCGGACGCCGCCGCAGCGCACAAAGCATCGCGAGGTGGGGTGGGGGTGAGGCACGGGTCCAGCATCATCCGGAGAACCTGATACACCCTTCTGAATCCTCCACCCAGGGCCACCCGTCCCAGGGGCGTGTGAGTGCACGTAAAAACTCGCCTACTACGGTACAAAGGTGACATTTACATTCATTACTGTGCCCATTCCCCCTCCTTGGTGAAAGCTTTGCCCACAAGGAAATGTGGCTGGAAAAGGGCTGAAAAAGTTTCCCCATCCCCGATCCAAAGAGGTGTTGCTTGCAACTGAGTAAAATTCACAACTATTAAGAGACATTATTATTATTAATGGATTGTATCATTTATTAATAAATAAAAACACGCATTATTTACCGGTATGTGCTTTGATTAAACAACTGACTTTTAGAAGACATCTGAATGCAGCCCTGTTTAGGGAAGTTTTTAATTTTTGATGTTTTATCACTTTTTATTTATTATTATTAATAATATTCTCTTGGGAGCCACCCAGATGGGTGGGTATAAATAATAAATTGTTATTGTTATTAAGTTAACAGAAGCAATTAGAGCAAGGAAGATGCCTTTATATGGAGTCAGACCACTGGCCCATGGAGCTCGGATTGGTAGCAACTCAGCCTGGAGGAAAAGGTTACATTGTAAATTTCTGAAGTATGAAGCCGAACCTGAATAAGAAAGGCAGCAGACCTTTGATCCTACCTGGTGACCTGAAAACACAATGACTTGTTTATCTAGATTGACCAATGTCACCTTGCATGTTTATGAACCTTAGGTGGCATTCAAGTGAGTTCTACTCAGACCAGACCCATTGAAATGAATGTTGATGATTAAGTTAGTTTGATAAATTTCAGTGAGTCTACTTTGATTAAGGCTTAGTTTAATACCACCCCTTGAGCCATTTACATTAACAGCTACAGCCACATTTTGCGGCATGGAGTTTGTTTTCCCACACTTCTCTGATCAGCGATTGGGATAAAGTTCTGCTCAGATGAAGCAGACCAGAGACAATATATTGTTAAAGTTTGTGGTGTGCCTGGTCTCACCTTCTAATTCCTGGACCCCCTTCTCATTTCTGGGTGCCAGATGCCGAATTTAGCAATGTCAAAATATAGGCCAATCCAGTTTTTCTGTGTTCAGGAAATAGCCTGGAGAATTAAGTCCATGGGTCTTGCTGTGGTTTATATCTTTTCTGTTCAGTTTTGTTCTGTTTATTCTTCCAGGCGTTATTTCCATGTTCATGTTCCCCTTGTGCAGTTACACAATCTCCATCACATATAAAATGCTTTTTCTTTACCAACCTAGTGATGACATATTTTTTTTATTTCAGCAGGCATTTTAATTGAAATTTTATTTTATAGTTTAGTTTTATAGTTAAACATTCCAGGTTTATTCCTTCTCCCGTATTGTGCTGGATCCTAGTTCTATCACTCTCAAGCATCATTTAGATTGAATGTTTGTTCTGATCCCTTCAGGAAAATATTCCACCTTCGCCTCCTTCTTTGCTCTCTTAATTTGTTGCAGCTCTTACCTGTTTCCAAGGTTTTCCAGAAGGTAGAAAACTGGAGCCTTCTGTATCCATTTGCCTTTCCTTTGTGGTTTGGGAACTTCTCTGCCTGTGTAACTATCACACATCCTGATTATGCAAAACCATTACTCGCAAGAGCAGGTAAAAAAAAAAGGCATTGATATCTGGTTGATTGGGGTACATGTGCATTGTTGACATCCTAGTTATTCTGATACAACAAGTTGCAGATGCCAATGATAAGTTCCAGTTATCCACAGTGGGGAAAAGGGAAGTCACAGATGCTATATTATCCACCAGATTTGCATGGTGTCCCACGCTGCCCGTAAGTAAATCTGACCTATGCAGCAGAAAAACCAGGTTTCCCCAAAGGAGTGGAATGGAACATCAGGAGTTGGGGAGCTGATGGTTGCTTTATCTGGCTTTTGGTAAGCCACACACACAAAGCAGGAGACCTTTGTAGGACTTCTCAATGAAGGGGGCATGGTCGTAGTCAGGATTTATTTTATGGGGGGCAGCCTTGGGGGGGCAGAACCAAGTTATCTGTGACACAATTGGTCAGTTTGTTATTTTTACTTATTTACTCCCCCCCCCCGGCTACACCCCTGGATAAAGGTAGGCTAGGAGGATTGGCTGTTTCCAGCAGGCATTTAAATCAGCGCAATAATGCACAACAGCATTTAGTTGCTAGCTTTTTCAATTAGAATTGCAAAAGATCTGCCTGTGTTCCTATCTAGATGGACATGCAATATCCTGTGTGATTCTTTCACATGTACCATCATCCTGAATCATGTGGGAACTGGTTCGCTACATTAGTAAATGTACCACTCACAGCTTTATGGTCTCTTCTCTAAATACAGGTGAGTGCTATGAGTTAGTACTGAGTTTTGTCTTCTTTGCTCTTCTTCACTTTCTCTCTTGCCCTTTACAGAACCAAAGGACAGCTTGGCCTATCGGAACATAACTCCATGGATAGGTATGTATGTTTGAGGCCTTTATTATGAAGAAGAATTAATGTAAGTTCATAACAGGCTGTAAATACTGTAAATAGCATAGGTTCTCTAGGAATTAAAAAGGTGTACATTCTGGGACTGTCGGTGTGGGCGTTCCACATCTAGATTTTAAATGTTTTGGGTTTTGTTTTTTAAAATTTTCCTCTTAAGTATACTGCCCATGACATTTATTTTGGAAGATATTTAAATAAATAAATAAATAGAATCCAATAGGATAGTGAATTGGATCCAGATACTAGCTGGGCTATTTAGGTGTGATTTCTGAAAACTAGAAGTAAAATCTGCAAAGTGTTATGAACTAATAAAATTGTAGACAGGGGGAAATGCACTGTTTTGTGAGCAGATTTCTCTTCATGCAGTGGGACTTCACCATCCTCTCCTCCTCCCTGCAGCCCTCATGTGCCCTCAAAATCTTTCCTCGGGGTCTCCAACCACCAGATCTGGTTTTGAGAGTGTGTGGGAAGCTGCAGAGGAGAGGAGGGGAAAGTTCCTTCACACAAGCAGAAGCCTCTTGCACTAGCAGAATTGGAATGTGGGATACCACCCTGTTTGTTTGCAATACTTTAGCTACATTTAACTTTAGATATCGGAATGACATTTTATACACACGGCCACAGCACAATTCTACGTTTCAGGTTTGAATTCCACATCAATCCCCATACTTATTTTCAAGAAGAGGGTGGAGAGTAAACTATTGTGTAATGCAGTGTCACCTTTGAGCACTGAGGCATCAGAACGACAGGTGGCATGCATGCTTAAGGCAACTTGCTGTGTTTGAAACATGAATCCCAGCTCAAACATGAACCTCCACCTATTTTTATAGACCTGCTACAGGCGGAAAAGAGTAAGAGAGAGAAAGGAAAGAAAGAAAGAAAGAAAGAAAGGGGGAGAGAGAGAGAGACATGTAGAGCAAGGAGCAAGTATAGAAAATTCACAACAAGTTCACTCAAACCAGACAGACAGCAAGTAAGCCATAAATGCAAACATGAAATTGAAAAGGCCTGATTGATACTACAAAATCAAGAACCTTAGGGCAGATTGTGACAAAATGTGTCTATTTTTTGCCATTTGGCTACAATTTGTTGTTGTTTAGTCATTTAGTCGTGTCCGACTCTTCGTGACCCCATGGACCAGAGCACACCAGGCACTCCTATCTTCCACTGCCTCCCACAGTTTGGTCAGACTCATGTTTGTGGCTTCAAGAACACTGTCCAACAATCTCGTCCTCTGTCGTCCCCTTCTCCTTGTGCCCTCAATCATTCCCAACATAAGGGTCTTTTCCAGGGAGTCTTCTCTTCTCATGAGGTGGCCAAAGTATTGGAGCCTCAGCTTCATGGTCTGTCCTTCCAGTGACCACTCAGGGCTGATTTCCTTAAGAATGGATGCGTTTGATCTTCTTGCAGTCCATGGGACTCTCAAGAGTCTCCTCCAGCACCATAATTCAAAAACATCAATTCTTCGGTGATCAGCCTTCTTTATGGTCCAGCTCTCACTTCCATACATCACTACTGGGAAAACCATGGCTTTAACTATACACTACAATATATTGGCTACAATAGAAATGTAAAAAAAAGTAATCGACCTCTGGACGGTTAAGTCCAGTCAAATTCGACTATGGGGTGTGGCGCTCATCTCGCTTTCAGGCCAAGGGAGCCGGCGCTTGTCTGCAGGCAGCTTTCCGGGTCATGTGGCCAGCATGACTAAACTGCTTTTGGTGCAACGGAACACTATAACGGAAGCCAGAACACGTGGAAACGCTGTTTGCCTTCCTGCCATAGCGGTACCTATTTATCTACTTGCGCTGGTATGCTTTTGAACTGCTAGGTTGGCAGGAACTGGGAAAGAGCAATGGGAGCTCACCTCGTTGCACAGATTCAAACTGCCGACCTTACAATTGGCAAGCCCAAGACGCTCAGTGGTTTAGACACACAGCGCCCGCCCCCGCCACCCCCCTGGCTACAATAGAACTGCCAACTAGATCCTCAATCCAAGCAATCTGTGGTTCTGATTGACATCTCAAAAGCTCCCATCTTTTTCTCTACTTGTATCAGGTACCTGTTTCTCCAGTGACTGGAGGAAATAAACAGAGAGAGAAAGAAAACAATTGTAGCTGAATTCTGATGGCTAGAGAAGATTGTTCTGTTTGATATACCAAGACTCTTATGTTTGTAGATGCTCAATTGAAAGAAAATGTATGTGTTCCTATAGGGAAAGGCTTGCTCGTCCTGCATGGGCCAAAGTGGGCACAGCATCGAAAGCTTCTCACTCCAGGTTTCCATTATTCCATTTTGAAACCCTATGTGACGCTGATAGCAGAGTCTACAAAAACAATGTTGGTAAGTCCTGTTGCGGTAACTACTTGGCTTTGTTGGAACATGTTGTTGTTGCTGATGCTGCTTTGTTAAAATCATTTCAATTAATATTTAACCAAGAGTTGAAATATAAAAATGAGATAGTACTATATGGTGGAGTGAAGCAACAATGCATAGTTAGATCCGTGTATTGGCTACTGAAGGAGTTGTTAGTCTGCTCCAACAGTAGGTGGAGCGGTACTCTATCTTAGTGTGTTAAAGCTTACTTGTCTTTCTCTCCCTGTCTGATCTAAGCTAGCTTCCTCTCTAACTTCCTCTTCTCCCCTCCATGCACCCTAAATTCATGCCATAAAATGTTGCTTGCCGTCTACTGTTGCTGTAAGTGCAAAGCAATACTTCCACTGTTTGTGAGGCTGACTTGATTTGTACTAGCATTCTGTTAATACTATATTGTGATTCGAGGACCCGATCCCCGCTTGGGGAATGTAAGGTTAATGGGTAAGGTAAAGACCACAACTTTATTGATTACAGCATGTGAGAAGGTATTGGCTTAGGCACTGGACCACGGAACATTAGACTCCACCCACTCGTAGAGGGGTGAGTCTGAGGAGGGGTTAACCACCAGTAGGGGAAGCCTGTTGATGCTAATCCAACTATAGGCTCTCTTCCTGATGTCACCGAGGGTCATGCCATGGCCCCCCGCCACACGGGCATCGGACAGGATCCACGACCGCCAGATTCCTTTAGCGGAATACCCAAAATTGTCGGGGAAGGCGATGGCCACCCCTTGCCCCCCAAAACACCAACAACACATTCCAATGCCTAACCGCCAAATACCACGAAAGTTGTGACGGTTGCTACGAGGTAGGCGAAAAAAACCAAGAGGCCGGGCCAATTTAGCCAATTGGAAAAAACTCCTACCAGGCCCCCTGGTTAAACAGGGCGACCAACCAGAGGTCCATAGCAAAGTCTCAGGAACAGCTAATCTAAAGGGAGTGGAGGGTGGGTGACTCGAAGAAAATGTGTGTGCAATGGTGGGGATGGCTGGTGCGGCTGCGTTTGAGCAGCAAGCCACGCCCCCGCCGAGCTTCCCTATTGGGTGCCAAACCGGGGAGGGGCGTGGCGCCAGCCCTGGAGTTGAAGCAGGGGGCGAAGCGCCCCCTGCATGACGCGGGAATCATCTCCCGCTCACAACCCCTCCCCTCCTGGGAGGAGGAAATACTTTTCCCAATGCTTTTTTAAAAAATAATACTAAAAAGTGTTTACCCTCCACTCAAAAATCAGTAGGGAAGAAGACAGTTGGGCCTCCCTTAGGAAACAATGCCAAAGTCTTGGGACAGTTGCTGAGAAAGTTGTTGTTAGCTGGCAGCAGGATTGGTAGAATTCTAAAGTAATGAGCTGGATTACACCTGTTTTATACACCAGATCAGTCTGTGCCAACCTGGTGCCCTCCAGGCTGCAGCTCCCATTAGCCCCAGTCGCTGAGCTAGCTGGGGCTGCTGGGAGTTTGGTCCAAAACATCTGGGGTACACCAGGCTGGTGAAGGATGCACCAGGTATTTTTCCATACCATTTATATTTACTTAAAATATCTTCCGCAGTTCAAGGTGGCTTTCAAAAACAGCAACATAGAAAAGGAACAAGGAGCAAGAAAAGCCATCAAGAGACAAGTTTAAAACATTGTCTCGTTATTTTATCAAGGGGCTGCAGCCTATATGGGAGCCATGAATAAGGGCCATTTGTCTTAGGGTATAAAGCATATCAGACAGGTTGCTAACAATCAAAGCTCAAGAAAAGTTTGCTTCAAATCTGTGTGTCGGGAGTCAGAAAAAGGAGAGTTCTGATTCTTCTGCCACTTGATAAAGTCGCAGTAAAGTTGGATGTGCCCAAAGTCTATTCTTAATTGAGACATAGTTGCAATGTGTGCCCCAGAGCTGGGAATGAAGGATTCTCAAAAGCTGGAAGAGAAATTGCTGAGACCCAGAGTACAAAGAGAAAACGCAGTAGACAGGCTCCAGACACGCAAAAGGGAGAGGTCCATTATTTGGAACTTACCTGTCTTCATGCTAATATTTTCCTACTTAAAAATCCCCCATAAGGACTAGACTCTGTGTGCCTTACTCTACCAGAAATATTCAGGAAATCTTTCCAAGTCCTTTGGATGTTAGGCTCTTTCAGAGTTAGGCCCACCAACCAGTATAGGGAGATCTCGCAAAGACACCCCTCTTTTCTGCTTTGCGCAATGTGCTTTTTCCATGGTCTAAAAAAACTAGATTCAGTTTTGCACTCTGAGAACATCAGCGGTGAGATTAGCTATGAACCATTTCTCATCTCTTGTCTTAGGATAAATGGGAACAGCTGATCACACAAGGTAAATCAGTGGAGCTCTTTGAACACGTGAGCTTGATGACTCTTGACAGCATCATGAAATGCGCCTTCAGTTATAACAGCAACTGCCAAATGGACAGGTTAGTAGTATTAATGTCTTTTAGCTCTGAGACAAAAGGCTCCTCTCACAGACTAGGAATGTACTGAGCGGTAATTTTAAAAGATCCATCTGGCTCACCTGAATTTACTTTCTGCATTCCACACCATAGTTCACTGCTCTGAAATACACAGTTGATGCCCACTTAAACTACCACATGTGGCAGTGCTATTTGCACAAATATTTGGGATTCTCTTATGATCTGATTCAGCGCTGATTGCTTATGTAATTAGATGAAAACTCCAGTAGCTTACAAAAATAACCAGATTTTTCTTATTATGCATAAACATTATGTCATTGAGAAAATGTTGTTTATATTAGTGTAGTAACCTTTCCTTCTCAAAAATAAAATAAAATTGAACTTTTAATATAGTATTTATAAGAGGTAACAGCAGTATTAGCAAGTGAAAAGCCAGAGCTTTCTCACACCCTTTTCACATTTTGAAATATTCACCTATTCATGTGCTTTGTTGTACGATTTGGTGCCACAGTGCTGATTTGGTGGCACAGAGTTAATTTAATGTTTTAAAACTATACTGTAAGAACAATGTTCATTGGTAAGATTTGGCATCTAAACCAGGATTTCATCATTTGACTTTCAGGGAGAATTCCTACGTCCAAGCTGTCATGGATCTGTGTTGCTTAGTGTACACCAGACTGCATACAATCCTGGGTCAGAGTGATTTGATTTACTGGTTTACCCCCGAAGGATATCGGTTTCGGAAGGCTTGCCAGGTTGCCCATCATCATACAGGTAATTTCCCTGAATCATTCTTTCTTTTTCTGCCTTAGATTTTAGAAGTCGATTCAAGCAATGCCAGGCTGCTACTGACCCAGAGAATACAGAAGCGGCCATACACATTTAAGCTTGTATCCAATGCAGTGGCTAAGGAACCATCCGGTCAGTGCAAAAAAAGATGCTCGCACAATAGGACTTTCCTTCTCTTTCCCCTGCATGTCTCCCTAAATCTGTTCTGAGGGGGTTCACGTTATTTTAAAAGGTTGTGTGAATGAGGCCACTAGCTTGAACATAGTGATTAGCTTTGATTACCATATGTTGCTTATAGTCCTCCTGTTTCCCTATACAGCTCTTTCTTGTGTGAAGGTCATGGGAATCCTCCAGAGTTTAGCATGCAAAACATTAAAATTGTCATGAAATAAAAGCCTATGTCACATCCACATCATCCATTTAAAGCACTCGTATATCACTTTATCAGATGGGGATTCCCCCGAAGGCTCATGGGAACTATAGTTTATTAAGGGCCTCCTAACTATTCTCTCTCTCTCTCTTTTTTAAAAAACAATTTTTATTAAATTTTCTATTTTAACAATCCAATCAAATCACATTAAATATTCCAAATTATACAAATACATATCATATAGTCCAAATATTCTGCCAAATTATAAATTTTTGGGGGGACTTCCTATGCTTCAAGTTTGGGGTGGGGGCTCTGATCATCTTATATCTCTACTGCCTTGAGTTTCCAATAGTTCCTTTAAATCTTCCTGTTGTTAACCTTTCTTCTTTCATGGCCTCTGAGTTGAAGGCGAGTTGAAGTAAGCAATGATGTGCTTCTGTGTGAATTTTGTATGCTTGACTCTCCTATTGTTGCAGCTTGTAAGCCTATTGTTGCAGTTATCTCCTCACACGCTGGTGTTTATGCCGAATCAGTCCAAAAGTCATTCCGCTGCTGGCAGACGCCATCTTCTCTCAGTTCCAATGAAATCAAATCTAGGCATTTGCTCATTAATTTTCCCAGACCGGTTGCATCAAACATTAGCCTTTCCAGGGGAGATTTGCCAAATCGGACTTGAAGTGCAGATATAATAACAAATTAAGAGCTCACCTCCCCCTATGACTATTTATCTCTGCAGCTCAGTCTTTCCCAAGTTTTTTGAAGTGTCTCTAGCGGCTAATGAGATCCTGCTTCTTTCTAATATCAATATTTGGAGGGTCTTTTATCTTCTTCCAAGCATTTCAAAAAACAAAAGATTTAATTATATAGTATTGTTATTTCCACACAGTTTATATTTTCCCATCTCACTTGCTGTAAATAATGTAAATGGTTCTTCTGGGGGCGAGTTTGTCAGGTATTGTAATAAATCATAGTAAAAAAAGCTTTACCCCCCCCTCCTTTTCCCTTCCGTTCCAACATACCAACTTAGATGTTATTCTTAGATGTTATTCTTTCTTCCTCTCCGTCTCTCTTGGCACCTCAGTGGCTGGCTTAATTGGCAGATTAATTTTCACCTCCTCACTCAAAGCATGTCCAAAACTTAAATCCAATTTTTCATCTTAAGAAATGGAACTTAGTGCGCTCGCGGGGACAGCGTCCAGGAGATCCGAACTCCCTCGGGGGCCTTCCATCCAGTGCCCCCACCCCCTCCTTCTTTATGAACTTGGGGGTGGTTTATTGGGCATCTGCGGATGAGACTGCATCTTCCCTTACACCGGGAAGAATTTGAGAGGCTGATTACTCCCATCTCAGCCTCTAATTACCTTGTGGGAGCTGGAGCCATGGTATTGTCAGCCATCTTCCGTGCCGCCTCAAGTGGAAGTGGGGCCTCCTAACAATTCTCAGCAAGAATTCTAACAAGCTTCAGTTCCCATAAGTCTTTGTGGGAAACCCTGAATGTGGTATAAGAGTCCTTGCTCCAAATGAATATAGTAGATGTGAACATACTTGATGAAGTATGCAAGAGATGGAGTCTTAAAAAAGAATATTAGTGGTTCATGCACATTAAAATACACTAGCATGGTGCTGATAACACCAAGGTTGAAGGTTCAGTCTCTGGGTGGGACAGCTTCATATTCCTGCATTGCAGGGGGTTGGACTAGATGATCCTAAGGATTCCTTCCAACTCTACAGTTCTATGATTCTATGGCAAACATTCACTTATCCAGAAATGTGTAAGGGACTAAACATAGTCATTTTAACAAATCTGATCAGTGAGCTAGTAATTTCTGATGAGCTGTTATAGTATTCATTTTCCGACACAGATAAGATAATCAAAGAGAGAAAGAAATCTCTGAGGGATGAAGAAGAACTCCAGAAGATCCAGAAAAAGCGGCACCTTGATTTTCTCGACATCCTTCTCTTTGCCAAAGTGAGTAGTGGGCGGGGGAGGCATAGTCATTTCAATATTTGAATCTGTTGCACCAAATATAGCTGTGATTTCCAAGTGACTTGTAATACTGGTGACACTTTTTAACTTGAATGTAGGATCTTGCAACCATCGTTCATAATTTTGCATACTCGAGGCGAAGCTTCACTAATTCACTGTCCCAGAGCTTTCCTTGGAATGTTTGGAAGTTTCATATGATGGAGAAAGCAGTGCGCAACTCTTTTTCTTTTTGGAGAGGGGAAGGAACAAAATACGATTGAAGGAAAATATTGCACCAGTGTTTCAACATCTGTACTGACTTCTTTTTGTTTTCAAAGAACAAATGGTGACATCATATTTATCCTGCCTTTTGGCACGGCAGAATGCTGCTACTTCTTCATTCTGTGCCAAGAAAACCCACATTCTGTGAAAATGAATGTTGCAAATCATGCAGTTTTGCAGATGCATTGTGCAAAGGGTCAGAAACAATGGATCCCTGAATGAACCCCAGGTGACATTTATCCATCTTTAGGATGAAGATGGTAGTGGGCTATCTGACGAAGATCTGCGTGCTGAGGTGGACACTTTCATGTTTGAAGGCCACGATACCACAGCCAGTGGGATCTCCTGGCTGCTGTATTGCCTTGCAACAAATCCGGAACATCAGCAGAAATGCAGGGAGGAGATCAAGGCCATTCTGGGGGAACGTGACACCATCCACTGGTGAGTGCGCATTTTTATTGGACAGTTCTCCACAATACAGGGAATTTAGGAGAACACACCCATTTTCCCAAGGATGTGCCAAGCAAAGCATGGGTACAGTGGGGGATAGCACTGAGCTTGCAGGAGAGACCGCCCAGCCCATCTCAAGGCTCTGGCCAGAGTTTGCCTCAGTACAGTGGTACCTCGGGTTAAGTATTTAATTCGTTCTGGAGGTCCGTTCTTAACCTGAAACTGTTCTTAACCTGAAGCACCACTTTAGCTAATGGGGCCTCCTGCTGCCGTCACGCCGCCAGAGCACGATTTCTGTTCTCATCCTGAAGAAAAAGTTCTTAACCCGAGGTACCATTTCTGGGTTAGCGGAGTCTGTAACCTGAAGCGTATGTAACCTGCAGCATATGTAACCCAAGGTACCACTGTACTTGGCTGATCCTTAACCGTAAAGTGAGTAGGGCTCCAGAAACATTGCCTCCTGATTATCCCCACCAGTCTCCATTGCTCTGTCATTGCTGCCTGTAAGTTGTGTGAGAGAGGGGCAAAGGGAAAGGCAAAGGAACAAATCCCTTTCTCCCCCCCTTTTTATTTATTTTTTTATTTTGACAAAGTAATAATCATAAATAAATAAGAATAAATATGTGCACTCTACCACCAAGACCATTCTGTCGTAACTATCCAGCCTCCCAAAATTTCAACACTTCTTGCAATGGTTTGACCCCTTTCCGTTTGAACAATACAGATTCTACAAATCCCCTCCATATCTCCTCAGATCCCCGTCTTACCTTAATGGCACATGTTAATTTATCATTAATAGCTATAATCCACACCTCTTTATACCATTCTTCCATGTTATATTCTGCTTGCCCCTTCCACGTCCTAGCTATAGTAATTCATGCAGCTGTCAATAAATTTGTGAGCAGGTCCTTCATAGCCTGTGAACCTTCCACCCTATCATAAATTGATAATAATGCTACAAATCTCTTTCTTCCGGTCGGCCCCACCCTTTGCCCACATTGCATTTTCACATTGTGTTGGTGGCATTGCATTAGCGTTTGGTTCTCCTGCAGTTATTGTGCTCCATCTGCTGAGGGAGCGTAGGACTCTCAACAACATTATGGTGGCACCAGCATAACAGCTCCTGGCACAGTGAGAAGATAGGACTGGTCTGCCTGAGGAACAGAGCTGGGCTGCTGGGGATGAACTTTCACCTGTTTTATTGACTTGCCTTTCTTTTTCCTCAGGGATGACCTTGGCAAGATGACCTACTGTACCCTATGCATTAAAGAGAGCCTCCGCCTTTACCCTCCAGTGCCAGGAGTGTCCCGAGAGCTCAGCAAACCTATCACATTCTTTGATGGACGGACTTTACCTGAAGGTTTGCTTCATTTTGTTTCGCTCACATAGCCATAATTTGTCTTTATAGATGTGATCCACATTGTCTTCCATTGTAAAAGTGAGTTATAGATTATAGCAAGAGCGCTTTAGCAATGAATCACTTCTCCTAGGTGAATTCAAAATGGTCATTACAATATTCGTGACTTGTTGTTTTAGTGTTTATAATATTAACTTGTAAGATATGGATTTGTTTGTTTTTCTTTTTTAGTTTTCGAATGTTGATTTTTGTGTGTTTTGTATTGTTATCTTTTGATATCTTTCGTGTTGTTGTTGTTGTGTGGAAAATACTAATAAAATTCATTAAAAAAATATTCGTGACTTTAAATCTGAAGCTTTGCTGCCTCAAACCCACTTTAACACTATGGTTACTCCCTCAACAATCAGATAACCCAGGGTCTTGTAACACAACTTGACATTTTTTCCATGTTGACTTCTTCCCAGGAACTTGGGTTGCGATAAGCATTCATCTCATCCACAAGAATCCCAGCGTATGGAAGGATCCTGAGGTATGGTACTTCTTTGGTATTCTAGCTATTTTACTTTAAGGCAACAATGCTCCTTCAGTTTGCTAGTGTGAAGTCATTGCTAAATACCATTCACTCTGCAAAAACAAGCTTTTAATGCAGCAAAGGTCCTTCTCATCCACAATCAGTTCAGGGATGAGTGAGGTCTTGCTCCAAGACGACCAGGCATTCAGCAATACCAGCTGCAGACTGACTGCAATTCCCCATATTGGAGGAGAGGCTGACACATGGCATAGTCACCTGTGCCCCTTACCTGGCCTGCCCCACCTCCCACACCATACCTCCCCTCTACCCTGAACCTCTGTGATTGTATCCCATTTCTCTCCACAGCTCCTCTGCTCCCAAATACATCTCCCCTCCCTAAATAACAACAGCAAGAACAACAACAAACCCACACAAACAGTCCCCCAAGCCTTGCAGCCAAGATGTCTCTGACATCCTCAGCAGCCTCAGTTTTGTAGCTGCAGTCAGTCCAGTCCCTGCCCTCCTAGGCCAGGTGAAAGAGGCCTGCAAGGCAGGGAGCAGGTCCCCTAAGACTCACAGCCAAGATGGTGTGGAGTGCCTTCCATCAGCTTTGACTGGTAGGCCAGCTGCACCCTTATCCGGATAGGGATAGCCTAACTTCTGTTGTCTATCTTCTGGTAACCTCTAGGTTAGATTACTGTAATGAGCTATACTTAGGGTTGCCTCTGAAGACCAGCTGGTGCAGAATTAAGCAGCCAGGTTGCTCACCAGGGCAATCTGGTTTGAGCACACCATTCCTGGCCTGATTGCACTGGCTGCCAATTAGTTTCCAGGCCCAATTCAAAGTACTGGTTTTGAGCAATAAAGCCTTAAATGGCTCAAAACTACAATACCTTAAGGACCACCTCTCTGCATAAGAACCACCCCAGTCCCTGTGATCATCACCTGAGGCCCTTCTTTGACTGCCTTCTCCACGAGGGGTTCAGTAGGTGGCAACAAGAGAACAGGCCTTTTCTGCGGTGGCTCGTGGCTTGTGGAATGCTCTCCCCAGGGAGACTTCCCTGGTGCCTTCATTGCATATTTTTAGGCACCAAATAAAAACGTTTCTCTTCCACCAGGTGTTGGGCTGATTAACATTCTATGGCTTTTAAAATGTCAAACTAATGTTTGGGGTTTGTTTCTCTTTTTAAATAATGAATGCTTTCATTTTAGGTGTTTGATCCTCTGAGGTTTTCTCCTGAGAATGTATCCAACAGAAACTCTCATGCCTTCCTGCCTTTCTCTGCTGGGTCACGGTGACGTTTATATAATATGGATGTAAACTAGAGCAGTGTTTAAGATATTAAATCGTAGTGGAAAAGCTAAACTCTGAAGACTCTGTAAGCTTGGCATAGTGAAGATGAATTTAAAATGCATTTTTAGCATGGGGGATATCAACAAAGTCACTTTCGGGTAGCTCCAATCTTGCAGAGAAGTCGTTGTTAGTATCTTCCATCTATGGGGGAGGTGAGGGGAATCCTGCAGGAGTCCTGGGTAAGGTGGCATCCAGGAGCAGGGCATGCTTTCTACTTCCACCCCTCCCCTGCTACTTTGGCCATTCCACTAGTCTACTTTCTTTTGCCCCAGATCCTCCTCTCCTCTCTCCCTGCCACTGCTGCCCACTTTTTTAAAAAGCAGCTTTTTGGCATCTGGGTTGCTCCTTTCTCCCTCCTCAGCTTCCACCTTGCTTGTGGCCCAGAGTCGTTTCTGGGGAAGTGAAGGGGAAGGTGGCTTCCTATCAGTTTGCCACTACCACTTGCTCTCTTGCATCACCCCCCCCAAACCCCTGCCTGGGCTGCAGGGCCCAGCACTTTGTCTTGAATCTCTGCACTGCCCCCTACTACTTCACAATTCCTTTGGGCACAGTCACATGGAAAGGAGGTCCCCCACCCCTGCCTTTGGCCGACAGAAGCTTTAATTTGGGCTTATCCCCCAATGCTCTCTGCACATATATTCCCACCTACAGTAGGGGGGGGGAGAACATCCTCCCTCTGCCTGGGGACCAGAGTCCATTATGGATAATCTGATGAGAATTGCATGCCAGTGATGGGGGGGGGGAGGTGCATAGGATGCAGTAGGTGTGGCCAGATCCTGAAGTTCCCCACCCCTGACCTAAGGTGGAAATGATGCCAAAAGTGTGTGTGGGGGGGGGGTAGAGCTGCTCCCCCTTCTGCCATGCTCACAGCATCCTTCCATTTGCACACACAAGCATCCCCCAGCATTATCCCCACCCACCTGTATTTACACATGCACCTGTTTGGATGTGTGTGCACACCCAGCTTTTCTCTCTTTTCCTTGCTATTCATCCTCCCCTCCTCTCTTTATCTCTCCCCTTTCCCAGCAGCCTCCCTATCCACCACCCATAGGATAGTTAGAAAGAAGCTTCCATTGACATCAGTGGAATTCTGCCCCTGCCCCATGTCTAATTGTTATCCGGGACAGTTTTCAGGGGAGGGAAGCAGGTGGAGGAAAGGATGGCTATTCCTTCCCTCTCCAGCTCCCATACCCTGAAAATCCCCTGCCCCCCCTTCAATGCAGGACCTATGGGGGAAAGGACCTATTTGTGCAAATGAGACTTTTTTTGGCAAGCCAAATTGCCACACCTAGGGGGTCAGCTGCTGCAGGGGAGGTCATGGGCCACATCAAACAGTCCAGGGATGTTCTCCAGCCTTGGGTCAAGGGCATTTGCAGGAAGGTTCAGGTTTAGCATGGAGTCTCCGCAAGCTGAGGTTCTCTGTTGTAACCCGCTCTCTTTGTCCTTCCAGGAACTGCATTGGGCAGCAGTTTGCCATGAACGAGATGAAAGTGGCTCTGGCCCTGACTCTGCTTCGGTTCGAGCTTTCGCCTGACCCAACTCAGCCTGCGCCTATCCCCACCCCTCAGATTGTCTTGCGTTCCCACAAAGGGATACACCTTCGCATGAAGAAAGTGGCGCAAATCTGAAGCTGCAGCGGGAATAATGTGCAGTGGAAGACTTGGAGCAGGACGTCGCATAAATCATTTGGTGCTTCAATAAAAGCCATTTGTGGCTGAGCACATTGATTGGTGTGAGCTTTCGTGTTCATATACACATCTTCAGATACACTGAAACAAAAGTCACCAGGCCCTTATATATAGTGAGAGGGTATATTTGAAGAAGTGTGTATGCACACAAAAGCTCATACCAATAACAAACTTAGTTGGTCTCTAAAGTGCTACTGGAAGGAATTTTTTTATTTTGTTTCGACTACGGCAGACCAACAAGGCTACCTACCTGTATCCAGGAGTGGGTCACTTGTGTATCATCTGGTTTGGCTCTACAGTAGCTCACTCAGCTGTTTAATAAACAGATATGTACTGACAGAATAAAACTGACGATTGCGGCATAGTGCTCAAATTCCTCCTTTGATTTACCCAAGCTTCTCCCCAAGGGCAGATCTGGGACTCACCTCTTCCCTACCTTCCCACACTTCCCCGTCCATCATCACTAGCCTTTCTGTTCATGGAGAGCTGAATTTTCAGGAAGGCTGTATGCACACCCAATAGCATGTGTAGGGGAAGGACTGGACTATATTTGGAGGAGTCAAAGACTCCCTGGTTTTATAAAGTGTAACTGGTACGTGTGTCAGAATTATCTCAGTTTGACCTTTGGAATTATTCCTAATTCCAAATTTTTGTTTTTGTTCTTTTGTTGTTTTGATGTATCCCTTGACCTAGGCACGCCCAACCTAGGAAGGCACATGTCTAATGCTTAAGTCATTATTGACAAAAGCACACATGTACAGCAACTCACTAATGTGCACACACTAATAGCCTCTAGGCAGCTCTCCTCAGATTTGTTCCCGGAAGAGCATTTACAGCCAGTGCTTTTTTTCTGGGGGGGACGCATGCCCCTACACATTTTGTAAATCTAAGTTTGGCCACATTGAGATGCAGTATTTCAATATGAGTAGGAAAATGAGAGTACCCCTAAACATTTCTAAGAGGAAAAATAGCACTGGTTACAGCAACCTCCCTCCCGAACTTATGTATTCTCAATTGACAGGGTGCATGTTACCAAACAGGCTTCTCCTACACAAAAGCCATCTGTCAGGGTTGGAGCTAGGAGTAGGTCAGCAATGAAACAATAAATCTACTGAGGCCAGTGAAGTTAACTCTTTATTGAAGGAAACAAACCACAGCCTAGGCCTAGTAGTCTCAGCAACTCTTTCCCGGAGGTCAAGGATGATGGGAGTTGTGGTCCAGCAATATCTGGAGTGTGCCAGGTTAGCTATCCCCCCCACCCTTCTCTTCTTTTTCCAGCAGTTTGGTCCCTGATCTGTTACATGAGCGGTGTATGTGTTTTTGCTTTACAGTTGCCCCTGAAAAAGAGTCTGATGACTGAAGTCTTTTAGGCCTTTGAGGTCTCTTCTTCAGCAGTTCTTCCAGTGTACTTCTGCTGTGCTGTGCTGCACTGCAACAAAACAAAACACTCAGGAAGAAGATAAGCAGACGAAACCAATTTTACTCTGCTATAAATAAAAAATTGCTTAATCTCATTTGGAAGCAACAGAGTAGGGAGAAACAAACAGCTGGACATGTTTGTATAAGAGAATATATGAAGAGGTGTCAGTTATTCTTTTGAACGGAGCAATGTTAAAGGCTTCAATGTTTTGAATTTTTTCCTTCTTGCAGAGCAATGGAAATGCAGTAGAGCTGCTTTCCCACTGCATTCAAGGGGAATGAAGCTATTCAAATGCTATAGTTTTGTTTCCATGTAAGTTAATGTGACCACGTTGAGGCTAGAATTGAGAGGCTGGTGTCCAACTAAGTCCTACTTACAGTAGACCAATTGAACTTCAGTCTAGGTATCCTACGTTTGCTGGAGGAGCCAACATGGCGCCGAGGTAAGACGCGCTTACCGGTGCTCTTCGGACTTCTTTTAATCTTTTTTAATCTTTTATACTTTTATCTCAACTGACTCAGTCAGTTTTTGAAGTATTTTATAATTGCTGCAGCCGCATATCTTGGAAACTCTTTGAGAGATTTGGCCCTGCTCCAGACTGCTGCAAGCCGCTCTTTGTTTCTCTCATATCAGCGGGCTGGCTTTAGCTGCTAAAGGAGTTGAGAACGCCATTATCTTAATTGCGTGTTAAGTGTTATGTTATTTTAAGAATCGTATAATCTCTGGCCTGAGGAAAGCATGGGTCAGAAAAAACGCTTGAGAGACTTTGACGAGCCCCTATCATCCCCTAAACCAAAACTATCAAGGTTGGTGCCACACCGGAATGGAGGAGGGAGTGACCATGCCGAGCAATGCTTTGCAGTGGAAACCCAAAATCGCTTCCAACCTCTAATTGATTTAGAAGCTACTCCGATTCCGATGACTCAAAATGTTTCAAATGTAAAGCCTGTAAAGGAGAATACGAAAGAAAAACTCTCATCGCAGGAAGATGGTTTGGCATCTGTTATGGGGGAGTTCCCCAGTTGTGAGCAGTTACACTTAGTAATTAAGACCCTTCACTGTATTTTTAAAAGGCTGGACGAGGTATCTTCACAATTATCCAATATCCTGCTGAAAATCGGAAAACTTGAATCAACAACACAATCCTCAGTTTGTGAGGTCAAAAACTTATTGCCTCACCCCCATTCAGATAAAATACTGGAGACTAAAACTAAATATGTCTTAAATTCCCAATTGAACAATCAGATATTAACTTTGCAACCCAAGAAAAGTTGCCTTTCTGTCAGGTCGGAAATAGGAAGATGGTCAACGCTAGAAGGAGCTAAAGACTGCTTAAGCAAACTTTTAAAAATTAAGAAATATCAGATTGACCTATATGCTGTAATGCCCCTTCCCGGCAGACCAACTTCTTGAAGGTGATACTTGCGTTCCACTCTGAAAAGATACCATCTATTATTGTTAGGAGGAAAACGCTTTTGTCCATGGCCGACATTGTAGCAACGAGGGTTTTTACAGACAGCAAGATCAAACCCCTTCTAAATAGGTGCCCTGGCGGTGAGGACATTAGGACAAGAGACTCTGCCTTACTTCAAAATACTGTCAGGCCCAATCGCGATGACTCTGCAGCGTGCCATCCGCGACCAAACTCGATACCCTCTCAAACTGCTATATATGAGGATGATAATCTGCAGACTGCCCTCGACGAAAGGGAACTTATTGATTCATTCAGAGCCCTTCCTCCGAAAGAACAGTCGGTGATGATGCAAAGATTTGACACGCTTAAATCTCAGCTTTTGCAAGTCCAACATAGAGGGGAAGATACTAACGATGTCTCAAATAATCCCACTTGGGCCCACCGGACAGAAGTGGTTGACCTTCTTCAGCTCAGCCCCACTCTGAATTCAAAAACCATCCGACAAGACTCAAATCTTCAAGTTGCTTCTGCAGCGTGCGCTACATCACGAGACGACCAGGCTCTGCCATCCTCACTGAACCTTCATCTATATTCATCAACCAACATACCTAAGGACGAAATTCTGATTTCCCTGCTTGACTCAAATCCCTCTTTAACTCACTCATCTATGCCAGAGCTAGAATCTTCTCCAGTTTCGTCCAGATATAGAAGTAGTCCACAAGTGATGCCCCTGAGAGAGTCTTCCGTAATTTCCACCTCCGTGATGCCCCCTCAATTACCTCCTTCAAAGGAAACTGCGAATGTTACACCTCGGGACCCGCCGTCAGAAATGATTGAAGACCCGATGGGACGCATCAATAAAATAATCCGAATGTCGGATGACAAATCTGCGAGAGGGTTTACCCCGACGGACTCAATTTCCCCCTACCTGGGTATTTCTCTGTCAAGTTGTACCAAGAATTTCGAAATGAAGAGACTTCCTGTTCAGAGACCTACTTTCAGTGGATCATCCACGGTGTGCCAACAGTCGAACCAAATTGTTAAAAACTTTAATTTGCAGGGCGCCTCACAGTTACCATCTTCCCAAAGTAAAATAACTGACTTTTTGTTACATCTTCTGTCCTTAACAGAGAGTCTGCCCCCCCTCCATTTTGACTGTTAAAAGAACAACATAGAAGTCCCCAGCTAGCAGTCCTAAGTTGGAACATTGCTGGCTGGAAAAGGAAAAGATTAGATCCCGAATTTCTGTCCTATATAAACTCTTTCCAGATAATCCTTTTGCAAGAAACATGGGAAGAAGATAAAATAGATATAAATGGCTTTGAACTGATATCACTTCCAGCTATCCCCTCCCAGAAAGGTGGCCGGTCCAGAGGCGGTCTTGCAATCGCCATATCGCTTAAAATGAGAGCTAAACTCTCGCTAGTTCATACCTTTCCTCCTTTTGCTTTTACTGGTCTGATTTCAAGTGAAAAATTCTCATTATTAATCACCAATGTTTATCTTCCTCCAGGTGGTCTGATATCAGACCTTCATTATAGATGGGATTCTCTGGAAGATCATTTATTGGCATGCTATGTTAAGTACCCTAATATTCCATCGATAATGGGTGGTGACTTCAATGCACGTACAGCTGCCAACTGGAATGGGATAATTAAGGCCAAGTGGTGGGTATCTCCCCCCTACCCAAAATCTGATTTAATCTCTTTCACATCAAGAAGATCTAAGGACAACAGAGTGAATGAGGCGGGAGTCCTTCTTTATCAATTGGCCATTCGTATGAATTTGAACATTCTAAATGGCAACTGCCCTCCGGACGTGCCAGGTGAATTCACTCATTTGGGCACAACATCAAATAGTGTCCTAGATTATCTTCTAGTCTCAGAAGACCTATTTTCAAATTTCTTTTATCTCAAAGTAGATAATGTACAATCCAGTGATCACCTACCTCTAGCGGCCAAGCTAACGCTTGACTGGCACCCGGTTAGCGGAACACACCCAATTCATGTAGGTTTAAATGCCACAGCTCAAGTAAGAGGCATTAAATGGTCCATGAAACAGGCCCAAAAATATGCAGAATTCTTTCAGAGGAATAGCTCCGAATCCCTTATTGTTTCATTGGCGGAGCTGTCTGAACCAAATAGGATACTGGAGTGGTTCTTCCACTTCTCTGCAGATTTAACTAGTTTCTTTACGATGCCGGCTCACCTCGCTAACCGAGATCAACCCAGGTTCGGTGCACCTTGGTTTGATGCCAAATGTAAGCAAGCTAGACTCTCTCTCTGTTGTATCTACAACAGATATAAAGCCTCTGGAGCTGAAACTCTCCCCCCAGAGTACTTGCAGGCCAAAATTGCTTACAAACAGGCTCAGAAGTCAGCCAAGCACGAGTGGCAGCTAAGACGTTGGCAAGCGCTGATTGCTGCCTCTAAGCTTCGCAGCTATCGCGCTTTCTGGAATTTAATCAACAAAAGATCGAGGAAATACCCATTGACGGTTATCCCAGCCCCGACATGGGAACAATTTCTAAGAA